GCATCAGCATCAGCATCAGCATCAGCATCAGCATCAGCATCAGCATCAGCATCAGCATCAGCATCAGCATCAGCATCAGCATCAGCATCAGCATCTTCACCCGCATCTGTATTGTCCACAGCCTCTGTTGCTTTTGGAATTGCTGCTGCTGAAGATTTCAAATGTTCTCCTGCTCCTTGTTGAGCCTCTGATGGGGTGCAGGTCAGCATAGAGCCATGAGCTTGCAGTGTGCCACCGTCAATGGGCACTGCACGTGGGTCGGTCATCTCTTCGTCGCTTGGTTGCGTGTCTACGAGCTCCTCTTTGATGGTAATATCGTCGTCGGTCTGCAGGTGTCTGGGCGGCCTTGTCTTGATACAGAGAGCGGCTCTGATGGCGGGTGTTGAAGCTTTGTGCCACGTCCTGCAGGACAATGCCAGCTGCCTAGCAATGGCCATTTTCCACCTCCTTTCTTCCCTGAAATCAGTCTGCATCCATTTCATCTCGTCCAGCGCATAATCCCAATGCGCCTTCCGGACTACTGGGCCCTTCTGTTTCTTCGGCTGGCGAAAGCTCCAATTCCCTTCTTCCTTCAGCTTCTCTATCCGAGCCATAGCTCGCAGATATCGTTGTTCAGAATATGCTACTCTCCAATCCTTCGTGAGTAGGCACTTGTCTGCCTTTCCCACCAAGCCAGCACCTGGACTCGCTCTCGAGCGCACGAACCATCTCCAGAGATCAATCTGGCCACCACCGCCAGCTGGCCCAGTGGGGGCATGAGAGGAGGCCTTAGGCTGTGCAAGGGGCTGTACCTTCCGCAAACGGTGGTGCACGGCTCCGCCACCAACTCCAGAGCCCGTATATCGGCGAAATGGATCCGCAGGGAGGGGTCGCAAAGAGGATGCATATGTCACAGAGTACGGGTTTGGAGCTAGCTGTTGCAATGCCTGCGGCATGAGAGCCGGCTTGATATTACCTGTGGACTGACCAGTCAGGACTGGTGCTGATGAGTCCGGAACCACGTTGTTGGGCGCTGCAGCTGGTGTTGGTGTGGGGCTTGTAGGCTGAGATACCTGGTGGACTGGTGGTGGTGCAAGTAGCGAAGAAGCGGCAACCGCGCGAGCGGTTGCGACTGTCTCTAGCCTGGAAGCAGGCTGCGTTAGAGGGTCGATGACGACCTCAACCGTACCAGGAGCACTCCGAGCCATTGCGGGCGATTGGTCTGCATTCGCTATTGAAGGCGACGTGTGTGAAGGAGGCGATGTGCTGGGAAGCCTACCTGTCGAGTCTCCACGCTGATCGAGTGGTGCGTCCACGGGCGCTGAATTACCAGAATGCAGTGGTGGTTGAGTTGCTATTGCAATGCTAGGTGATGCACCGGCTTTTTGTGCTTTCGTGCTCGCATCTGGACTTCTTGCGGCCATGCCTGCTTTCGTCTTTGATGCGACGGAGGCCTTGCTAATCTCGCTTACACTGCCACTGGCAGCCGAAGCAGCGGCCGCTGCAGCCAACCTCTTTCTCAAGCCAGTCGAGGATGCGATCTTCACAGATGCGATGGTACTTTTCTCGTTTCCCACTCGGAGCTGGTGATCGGCATAGAATTTCTTGAAGGTCTCGGGGTAGAGGGCTGAATGTGCATATTCCTCTGGCATCTCCCAAGGTATTCTGATAGCGCCGTCTGTCTGGTTAGATGTTTTGAGGTGCTCATGTAAGACGAAGAAATCTCTCAATTCACCAGCATGGTCAGACTTGAGCTGCCTATATGAAGAAGGAGAGAGCTTGAGCGGCTCGTTACCTTGGGAAACTTTTCGCTCTATGGCTCACCTGATGTCAGCCTCGACGGCCTCAACTTTCCCCCGGCGTAGGTCTTCCAGTGTCACCTTTGAGCTGCTAGCTTCGGAAGCCTCGATCCTTTCATCGACAGGTGCGTGAGTTGCAGCACTCGGTGTCGACATCATGACCAGAGGCGAGAGCACCTAGACGCGGTGGACAAATGACGACGCTCTACTGGCCAGGCGCTAGTCTTTCTCCTCTTTGCTCAGCAACCCGGCACGAGGCCTGAGTGAATGGTGTCGCTTCGCACTGTTCTCCGCGGAGAAGACGGACTCTAGCTCTTGCAATCGGAGGGTTGGCACGTCCTGGTCGCCAGAAGTTTCGGCTGCTCGACACGATGAAGGTCGACCTTTGGGGAAGTAGCTGAGACAGGGTTGTGCGAAGGCGGACGTCAGATCCAGCCAGATTCGCCGTGAAGCATGTGATTCCTATCGAGCCGAGCTGACTCACAGCTTGCGGACGGCGATGTCCTCGGAGGTGAACCCTGATGCACCGGGTGAAGGCAAGCAGAAGCTATCCGGAAGTGACTGGGCACGGCGGCCGAGGAGACGTGGCGGAAGCAGCTGATCGGGGACGGGCAAGTGTGAGGCCGTGCTGGAGAGGAGATGCGGGGAGATTACGATGCCGAAATATCCAGGGAGGCGTCGACGAAAGCAGGGACACGAAGGATGCTACCGGTTTGAGCTTACAGTCCCATTGGAGGTTTGGGTCCATCCGCCCGCGAGCGTCGAGGGGGAATGAAGCCATCCGCTCAGCGCTTTGGCAGCCAAGTTGCGCGCGCGGCTCCTTCAGTCTGCACTCACTGGCCGACTAGGCCGGCTCACCTACTCGGCCAAGAAAGACACTCTCAGAGACGTGCTGCAGAATACAATTGACACGACAAGAAACGCCCACGATGCTCTCACACCAACAGCGACCGAGGCCCGTCTCCTATCCTTCATTTGCTTCGCAGTCCTCTTCGCCGACGCGTGAAGACCTTCCTCCTTCCGCTCCACTTCCAGGATCAGATGGCTGCTCATTCTGAGGTGCAACTTCTCGTGATGAATTCCCCCTGGCCTTCGAGAGCAGAGCTTCCTTTCGCAGGTCCGGTAAATATCCTTCGATGGAACGGAGGAGAATAGCGTCGCTAACCAGGCGCGCATACCTGTGTCGTATGCTGTTGAGCGGCGTCGAAGCAGCCGTCTGCCCAGTCAGACCCTCTGCGCTGGACACCGCAGAGGCCAAAGCAGTTGAAGGATGACTTGTCAAATTGGCGGGAGATGTTGAGATGAGGGGTTGCACACTATGCAGAGAGGTGCGGCGGCGTCAGCCTTGCTTCGCTGCGCCTCCGTATGCCATCGATACTCACTCTCCCTCCCACAGCTTCTGCGTGCTTGTCTCGACAGTATCTGCCATGTCCCTGAGTTTCGCCATCTCACCTGCCAGAGTGTCCAGGAAGATCTGCGCCTCCTTCAAGTTCTTCGGACCTTCTGACAGCTGTTCGACCGGGTACGACAGAAACGGTAACAATTGCTTGACTGCCATGGTCGAGGAAGTGTAGAGCTGATGCAGCATCAGCACCGCATCATGTACCGTAATGCGAGGCATTACGAGCTCAAACAGGGCTGGCCGACTTGGTAGGCTGATGATGTAGAGTTCGGTGACTACGAGGGTGAAAAGAAAAGTAAAATGCCAATATGAGAAGGCAGACTTATCCGATGACAGCCAGGAGACAAGGACATATATGATGGAGTTGACCGTGTAGAACATCAGAGAGTTACGTAGACCAACGACCATGTGTTCTCTGTATGAGAGCGCATCCTTCCAATGCAGGACGCTCATGCCAAATCTTTGCAGCAAGTGTATGGAATCCGTCAGCCTTCAATGTAAGTCTACCCACCAGCTCATTGTCTCTCCCACTAACCTGTCGTATGCGAATCGCTTCACAGGATCACTGAGCACGTCGTGACTTCTCCTGAGAGCAATGAAGAATTGTTCTCCTTGAGCCCCCACCTTGTCCGGGTGGTGTATCATCGCCATTCTCCTGAAGGCCTTTTTCACCTGTTCCACGGAAGAGTCCAAGCCCACTCCGAGTAGTTCGTATGCCGATGGCTCCCGAGACGCTACAGTGGTAGTGAAAGACCAAGCCAGGTAGCCTCCTACGAGAAGAGCTCGTACGCGAGAAGACTGCTTCATGGCCACGTCCGGCGTCTGTGGACGCGCGAGCAAGCTGAGGCTGTACAGGAGCTTGAGGGAGAAGTCTGTTGCTAGCGCTGGGATGAATGCCCAAGCCAGCCATGGGAGGTATGGTGCAAGGGCAGACATGGGAGCCAAATGACTTCTAGCCTAGCTAGCGCAGGGGAGAATGGCGGGTGTCGCAAACACTTGTCTGTCCCATCGAAGGATCGGGATGGATGTCTGGTAACGGGTCATGGTCAAAATGCTCAGGCGCAAGTCTTGCCGTCTGCGCCTCCACGTCCCCCCCGCGACGGATACACACCAGCGTCTTCGCTGCTAACCCGACCTTGACCTCCTTACCCACATCCTGCAGGTCGCACCCACATCCTTCGACTCGTCTGCCATTCAATTGCTCTTGGCTCCTACATCACCCACCCTCCTGTACCATAGACTCATGGCAGCAAAGGCACATGCTTCCGCAACGTGCACTGCCGCCGCTCCGCCTCCCCCTACGAAGAAGCCCAGCAAGTCAAAAGCTGCTGCCCTAGACCCAATCCAGATCGAAGCAAAGCGGAGAGAGCGAGCAGACAAGAAGGAAAGAGAGGCTAAGCACAAGGCAGCTGCGGAAGAAGAGGCTCGGGCATCGGGCCTCTCCGCACCACTTGTAGATGCCTCTGGGCGTCCTCTGTACAAGCCGAGACAATGGGGCATGGTCAAGGGAGCCTCCGGCCAGAGCTTCCCCAGCGAAGAAAAGACCAGGCTGAAGATACTCAGCTGGAACATGCTTGCTCAGGGACTTGTACGTCGAAAGCTCTTTCCCGGGAGCGATGCCCTGCGGTGGAAAGACCGAGAGGCGGGGCTTGCTGCTGAACTCACCGGCCACGCTTGGGATGTTGCATGCCTCCAAGAGGTGGACAGGCAACATACTCACGGCGAGACTCTCAGAGCAGCTGGGTATTCCCACATCTTCGCAAAGGGCTATCCGCAAAAGCAACATGGTTTGATGCTTGCCTGGCGGACCCGCGAGCAGACTCCAGCTTCCAAGAGTCCAGTCTTCGAGGAGGCTCCCGTAGCGTCTCAAACTCTCTTCTATGACGACGAAGAAGTCAGCACTGGTCGGACAGGCTGCTCGAGGATCACGAGGAACATTGCTCTATTCGCTGCTATCAAATTCAAGCAGGCGACCAGTGCAGCTGCCACCCCTTCCGCCTCCTCGAGCTCGCCCAAGGGCCTCATCCTAGCTACCACGCATCTCTTCTGGCACCCAATGCACGGATACGAGCGAGCACGGCAAGCTGGTCTTCTGACGCAGGCGCTCAACGCTTTCAGAATAAGACAAGACGCCGAATGGCAAGATTGGCCGACGATACTAGCGGGAGACTTCAATGATCAACCCCACTCGGCGACCTATAGCCTGCTGACGGGGAGGGACGTCGACTCAGAGAGCCTGCAAGAGCTACTGCAAAGCCGGGTCGTCCATCAAAGTATTGATGAGCGAGAGCACAAGAGAGCCAAAGGGCTGTTCGACAACGGCAAGGGTAAAGAATCGGCGAATAGCGACGCCAATGAGGGCGCTGATGCTGCAATCGATGGCGGAGAGGAGGAGGAGCAGGAGTCGGGAGGTGAAGAAGAAGAAGAAGCGGCAGCTGACGACCAGATGCTCAAGAATTGTCGCACTGCTACAGCAGCCGATGACCTGCTCACATTCGAAGAGCTGCAGCAGCTCAACACCATCTTTCCATTGACCAAGACCGCCAAGTCTTCACCTCGACACTTCCGCTCTGCTTATGCTACCTCCTACCCTGACCTGGAACATCCGAGCGAGTCTTCCAATCTCTTCTCCTCATCCACTCGCGGTCGCGAGAGGTGGGACGATGGCTCCTGGCAGGAGGGAGTCTCCAACAATCCCCATTTGCACTTGGCAGGCACGCCAGCGGGAGCGGAGCCCATGTGGACGCTCTACTCGAGCCTGTTCAGTCTCACGCTCGACTTCATCTTCTTGATGCCCTCTCCGACAACGCAGCACTGGAGGCGCACACCAGATGACGCGCCGGATGCACAGACAGAAGACAGTTTTCCAAAGATCACCAGGCTGCTGAGGACGCACAGAACTGCGGACATCAAAGAAGGACTGCCTAGAAGGGGTGTTTGCGTCAGCGACCACATCGCTATCGGGGCTGAAGTGGAGCTGTAGAGCTGTCCTTCCGACCATGCACCGTCAGGAGACGCGGCCCCACCGCAACAACACAGCTCAGCCCAGATTGCAAGATAGATCACAACCATGCAATGTAATTTATGTAACAAAGAAACTGCCACTTCTGACTCCTTCTTTTTTTCGCGTCTGCATTCAACAAAAGTATCGCTCGTGCCTGCTTCTTTTGCACCTCCCAAATAGACTCACGCTGTATTGCTCACGCCATCACCATTGTCAGCAGCGCGATCCTGAGATACAGACCCGCCTTCATCTGTCGGATATAGGCTGCTCTCTTGGTGTCGAAATCGACCTCCGGGTCGAGTTCACCCGTGCGGGGCAGAGGATGGAGAACCTTGCAAGTGTCCTTCGCACCGAGGAGCAGCTTGCTGTTCACCACGTACGAGCCTTGCACGGCTGCATACTCTTCGTCAGAGGCGAATCTCTCTCGCTGGATTCGGGTGACGTACAAGACATCAGTGGTGGGGAGAACCTCCTCGATACTGTTAGTCGAATAGAACCTCATCCCGCTTTTGCTGAGCTCAGCTCGTAGCTGAGCGGGGAACTCGAGGCCGGGTGGGGAGACCAGGTTGATCTTGCAGCCGTACAGTCCCAAGAGTCGAGCTAATGAGTGAGTTGTCCTGCCGTTTTTGAGGTCCCCCAGCAGAGTCACCGTCAGGCCGCTGACCGTCCCTAATTCTTCACGAATGGTGAAAACGTCGAGCATAGCTTGCGTTGGGTGCTCACCGATACCATCTCCTCCATTGAGAATGGGCACGGGTGAAAATTTGGCAGCCTGCTGAGCAGAGCCGACAGCTGGGTGTCTCATAACAATGGCGTCGGCGTAGCAGCCGAGAGTCTGGATAGTGTCTCCGAGCGTCTCTCCCTTCTGCACACTAGATCGGGATGTATCGATCTTGACCACTTGACCACCGCACCGAAGCATAGCAGTCTCGAAGGAAGCAGAAGTGCGAGTAGAATCTTCGTAGAACAGCAGTGCGAGCACTTTGCCCTTCAAAACGTCTACCATGCCGTCTCGTTCGATCAAGACTCTCATCTCGGATGCGACAGCAAACAGTGTGTGCAAGTCTTCTCGATTTACTTGTCGCACACTCAGAATATGTCGCCTGGAGAATGTCGGATGCCGGATAAGAGAGCGTAGAGATGGTAGAGTAGATTCTTGCTCCAGTCGCTGTCCATTCAAAGCGAGTTGTTGCTGTTGCGGCTGCTGCTCAGCCAGAGTCGAACGAGGAACTAGTGACATCGGAGTGCCAGAGTCATTTGCGGCGATCTGAGGGGAGCGCAGGCTGTTGAGCGGGCCAATAGATGGCGACATAGGAGTGCCAGCGACCTGATGAGGGTCGTAAAGACCCCTGTCAACAGAGGCACGACGACCAGTAGAGTCCACGAAGGAGGTCCTGCGAGAGGTCTTGACAGTCTTCATATTGGCGGAGAGATTCGACACGTTCTGGCCAAGAGTGCCATTGGAGAAGGCGTCTCCGTCTATCACGACTGTCTTGCCGCGAAGCAGCACTCGGTGAATCGCTCCCACAGTCGCCTGAGATTCAAGAGGCGACCAGTGCTGTCCCTTCACGAAGGGCACTGGCCTGTCCGCTTCAATTTCTACATGAGTATCTGGCTGCTCTGAGATGCCAAAGACCTGTCTTGGCTTAGTGTGCAGTCGCTCGAGAATGTCATCGAGCGAAAGCCTACCGTCGTTTACCGCCCCCAGCAGCAGCGGCAGCGTCTCAGCTACACCCGCCTCCGCGGACGGACTGTGTCCGAGCTCCTTGGACAACTGATATGGCGTAGTGCCCACGGAAAACATGTCGATCTCCGTGAGGTTGGCCCAGAGAGCAGCCTGGTCCTTGGTCGAAGGCAGACACGTAGCAGCAGGGAACATCTCACTTGAGAAGAATAGTGCATAGACGGTTGCGTCACACGTGACCTGCAAGCCCTTGGCTTTGCTCAGAGCGATCAACTGGATGTCGTCACGGTATAAGACGTTGGTGACGTGGATGCTGCGGCTGTGCAGAGAGGCCAAAAGAAGCACTGATGCTAAGTCGGTGCCCTGAGCGTCCGTGACGATGGGCTTGTCTGCCGGCCAATTCGCAAAGTGAGCAGCGATAACAGCTGCCTTGCTCACATTGTTGCCTAGACCGTTGAAGGATATGAACAACGATCGCGTTCGCTCGGCGAGGATGCTGATCGTCTCAACATTGTCGGCAGTAGCCAACAGACTAAGGGAGATGTCACAGTGAGATGATCCTGCGACTTTGCCCTCGGCAACTGTCAGAGATGCTTCGTCCGTAAGGCCATTGCTGGGCGATGTTCCCAACGGCAGCAGTTGCACATTGGTGAAGCCGCCAGCCAGAGAAGCCTTTGTGAGCTGCGCAATTTCCCGTGCACCACTGGCAACATCCGTCACACCAGGTGCGAAAGCTTGTATATTGACCAGGCCAGGGAATGTGTGAGTACGGTGGCTTGTCTTGAAATCAACGGTAGAGATCGGGAAGCGGCTGCCGTTTCGGCGATAACGGGCCAGAGCTTCAACAAAGAGCTTTGCGTTCTTCACGTTGGTGATCAGAGGGACCGAACGGTCAATAGCCAGGCGTCGAGCTCGGTAACCCATCGAGGTGAATGCAGCGGGTCGGCGATACTTGTTCTTCGAAGGCAGCGAGATGAATAGAGAAGCGAGACCCTGGGTCAGATGGCTGAGTAGAGAGTAAGCTGCCTTGCTGTTATCCTCTCCAGGCGTATCATCCTCTGGCAAGGCCTCCAGATGAATGACGGGAATGCCTTGCTCAGTGTAGAAGTCGGCAGAACCACTGGAACCGTACAGAGTAAAGCCGAGCTGGTGCAAGGTGCGCACTGCAGGCAGCAATTCCTGCTTTTCGCTGAAGCTACCAATCGAGAGCAAGACATTCTTTGTGGGGAGCTTGATTCCACTGGCCAGCATCGCCTTCAGATAAGCCTCATATTTGTCTCGTCCAAAGCAAGCAACCTCACCGGTGGAAGCCATTTCAACACCTAGGATCGGGTCAGCTCCGGCCAATCGAGAGAAGCTGAATTGGGGAACCTTGATGCCGACATAGTCACGTGGGAGATTCAGCTGAGGGTAGGGGGTAATAGGCAGATCTACCATGATGCGAGTAGCCATCTCGATTGCGTCAACATTTGTGACCTTGGACACGAAGGGGAATGACCGAGCAGCTCGTACATTGCACTCAATGACCTTGATCTCGTTGTTCTTGGCGATGAACTGAATGTTGAAAGGCCCAGTGACGTGCAAACTGGCAGCGATCTTGCTCGTAGCCACCTCGATGCGGCGCACCGTCTCAGGGTCAAGGTCTTGAGGGGGCAGGATGAGTGTGGCATCGCCCGAGTGGACTCCGGCATTTTCGACGTGCTCAGAGACGTAATGCATGACCATCTTCCCGTCCTTGGCAACAGCGTCCATCTCGATTTCCTTTGCGCCCTCAAGATACTTAGTGATAACAACGGGATGATCGCGGTTGACAGCAGTTGCCTGCGAGAGATACGAGTCCAGATCCTCAGGCGAATAGACAACATTCATCGCAGCGCCACTCAAGACATACGAAGGCCTGACGAGAACGGGGTATCCGAAGCGTGCGCAAGCATCTCGTGCTTCGTCGAAGCTAGTCAGCTCCTTCCACAGAGGCTGGTCCACACCGATTCTGTCAAGCATCCGAGAGAATTTGTAGCGATTCTCCGCCATGTCAATCATCTCAGGCGAAGTGCCCAGAATTTTGACGCCCTGTCTGTACAAGGGCAGTGCGATATTGTTCGGCGTCTGACCCCCCATAGAGATAATGACTCCAGAGGAGCGCTCAGCGTCGTAAATGTCTAGGACTGTCTCCATCGAGATGTTCTCAAAGTAGAGGCGGTCGGCTTCGTCGTAGTCCGTGGAGACAGTCTCGGGATTGTAGTTGATCATTACGGTCTTGAAACCAGCACTTCGCAGAGTCCTGATCGCCCGAACAGCGCACCAATCAAACTCCACGGAAGACCCAATGCGGTAGACACCAGATCCCAAGACCATGATACCCTTGTCCTCGAATGCGACATCGTGTTCGGTAGCGTTGTAGGTTGTGTAAAGGTAGTTGGTGAAAGCCGGAAATTCGGCCGCAACGGTGTCGATCTGCTTCGTAAATGGCATGATGTTATTTTCAACTCGCAATCTTCGCACGGCAAGCTCTGTGCTAGCCATGCATTTTGCCAGTCGAATGTCACTGATACCAAGCTGCTTGGCCTGACGAAGCATACCAATTGGCAAAGTGGCAGCAGAGTAGGTTGAGAAGACCCGCTCTGCTTCTGTGATGTTGGCAAGCTTGCGCAAAAACCAGCGATCGATGAAGGACAGCTCGTGGATACGATCCACAGAGTAGCCTTGCTGCAGCGCATTTCCAATGGCAAACATTCGCTTGTCGGTAGGTGCACGAAGCTCCTCGTCAATCTCTGCGGGGTCGGACGGACCGTACGCGTTCGCACCAAAACCGTCGAGCTGCCCGTCGATGGCTCGAATAGCCTTCTGGATGGCCTCCTCGAAGGATCTTCCTATACTCATTACTTCACCGACACTCTTCATGCTTGAGCCCAATTTGCTAGACACTCGCACAAATTTGCGCAAGTCCCATCGCGGAAATTTGACCACGCAGTAGTCGAGTGACGGCTCAAAGCAGGCTGATGTCTCGAGAGTGACCGAATTACGGATCTCGTTGAGGGGTATGCCAAGACCAAGCTTGGCAGCAATGAAAGCCAAAGGGTAACCAGTAGCCTTCGAAGCCAGTGCAGAGGATCGTGATAGACGTGCATTGACCTCGATGATGCAATACTCTCGTGTATGAGGGTTCAAAGCGTACTGAATGTTGCATTCACCGACGACACCCAGGTGGCGGATGACAGAAACGGCGGTAGACCGCAGCATGTTGAAGTCATGGTCATCCAGGGTTTGCGAAGGGGCAACGACGATAGAGTCTCCAGTGTGCACTCCCAAGGGATCAAAGTTCTCCATGTTACATACGGTGATGCAATTGTCTCGACCGTCTCGAACGACTTCGTACTCAACTTCCTTCCAGCCCCGCATACTTCTCTCGACCAGAACTTGGGGACTGTTGGCAAAGGCCTGACTGCACAGCTTGCGAAGTTCATCTTCATTGTTGGCAAAGCCTGAGCCTAGGCCACCGAGGGCAAAGGCGGCACGCACAATGACTGGGAAGCCAATGTTGCGAGCAGCTGCGAGAGCTTCCTCCCAGGTGACGGCACTAGCGCTCGGTGCACACTTTTCGCCGATCTCCTCCATTGCCTTAGCAAAGAGATCTCGGTCCTCAGTAGTGATAATGGTGTCAATGGGAGTGCCCAAAATCTTCACACCTTCCTTGACTAGTTCATCTTTGATCTTGATACCGACATTGAGGGCGGTCTGACCACCGAATGTAACATAGATTCCATCCGGTCGCTCATGCCTCACGACGTCCATGACGAAGTCGGGCGTGACGGGCAAGAAGTAAACCTTGTCTGCCAGTCCACTGGAGGTCTGAATTGTTGCGATGTTGGGATTGATGAGAACTGTGTAAATGCCTTCTTCCTTCAAAGCTTTGATCGCCTGTGAACCGGAGTAGTCGAACTCGCCAGCCTGACCAATTGACAAGCCCCCCGAGCCCAGAACTAAGACTTTGCGGACATTGACCCTCGGGTAGCTCGCCGCATTTTCGGCAGCAAGACCCCCGACCCACTTGACGGGTGGAAGCCTGAGACTCTGATCATCTGCACTCGAAGCCGAAGCGGCCTTGACAGAAGCGCAGTCAACCACGGACCGGATGAAGACGTCGAACAAGTGCTCTGTGTCTCTCGGTCCAGGTGTCGACTCTGGATGGAATTGTACCGAGAACCATGGCCCGAGAGTAGAGTAGATGCCCTCGTTGCTGCCATCATTTGCATTGACGAAGAGCTCATTCCATCCAGGAGGCAGAGTGCTAGCGTCCACCTCGAAGCCGTGATTCTGACTGGTGATGTAGCATCGACCGCTCAAGACGTCGTTGCAAGGAATATTGTGGCCTCGGTTACCGAACTTCATCTTCTTGGTCGATGCCCCGGCAGCCAAGCTGAGCAATTGATGGCCCAGGCAAATACCAAAGATGGGCAAGGCCTGGGCGCCACGCAAGGCGAGGAGCTTCTGGACATTGGCAATGGTGGGAGCACAAGCGGTGGGATTACCGGGACCATTGGAAATGAACAGACCGTCAAAAGGTTCCGCTTCAACGGCAGAGTCCGTAAAGTCATGATCCCACGGCACCACCTTGAGTTCCACGCCTCGACTAGTGAAGCATCGGATCTGATTGTACTTCATGCCCACATCGAGTGCCAAGATTCGAATAGGTCGACCAGAGGGGTGAAGAATGGCGGGAAGACTTGCTCGTGTGAAGCCGCCTGGAGCAGTGTTAGCGGGCGTGTACAGCTGCGGTCGAGGACTCGAGACCTGAGCGACTAAATTGCGCGTGTTCGGATCCGCAAAGGGAAGATCGGCGAAGTGGCTCTTCCAGTCTAGAGGCTCGTCGACAGTGCCGCGTACAGGCGCGTCAAGCTCCTTGGCGAGAAGTCTACCGAGCATACTACCCTGCTGACGGATACGCTTGGTGAGTGCACGCGTGTCGATGCCATAGATGGCAGGGACGCCGTTCTCTTTCAGCCAGTCGCCAAGGGAGCTGGCGGCCAGCCAATGGCTGTAATCCTCGCTGTAGGAAGCTACGACGAGACCTGCGACGTGAATTCTGGAGGACTCAAACGGCGAGGCAAGAAGGGCATCGAGAGACTTGGTGGCCTCTTCTCGGGAAGGGACACCATAATTTCCAACCAGGGGGTAGGTGATGACCAGAATCTGACCTTCGTAGGAAGGGTCCGTGAGAGACTCCACATATCCGACCATACCTGGAGCAAGTGCAACAAGCAAGAGGGGCGAGAGTGTGAGGCAGCCAAATTTCTCAAGTCAACAAAAAACAAACAAGAATGGAGCCGGCTAGCGGTTGCAACGCTGCCTGTCTGTCGAAATCTTCGCATCCTCACCTGTTTGGAATACACATTCTCCACTGACGCTCTTCTCTGAGGCTCCGAAGCTGATGCCTTTCAAGGCCGTGCCATCAGCCAGCTCGAGGACCATTTCCCCGCCGCCGGTGCCGTTGAGCGGGGCACTTGTAGCGGGCGCAGAAGGAGACGGTAGCCGAGAGACTGTTCCAGCTCTCGATAGGCCAGGACGTCCGATCACGGCCTGAGCAACGGCGGAGCCATGGTCGGGAGCCTTTGCGGAAGATGTAGCTGGATTCAAGGAGGCCATGTTGAACACTTCTTAGTCTGTCCTGCTCTAAGTTCTGATTGCGGAACGGCAGGCAAGATCGCCGGTGCTCAGGTGGTGTTGAGCCGTCTGAAGAGCCGGAGAGTCGCCGAGGCACACGTCGCCAGCAGGAACTTGATGTCCAAGAGCGTCGGCAGTGAGGTGGAGGTGGGAAGGTGTCTATCTAAGAGACGTGGAGGATGTCTAAGTGTAAGGTTCAAGTAGGCGAGTGTCTCCTCTCTGGAATCACATAGAGGAGAGAGGAGAGAAGAGGAGAAGGGAGAGGAGCCGAGGAGGAAGCACTCACCACCACCCCCACGGTACATTCGCTCGTCTGGCAGCTGCGCGGGAAGAAAAGATTTGGGCGGAGTTGCAATCTCCTCGTCCTCCGCCCACTTTTTGACCTTGCGGGCACAGGACATGGCCATGGCACACCCTCGAGCACCTCTTCCCCTCGGCCTCTGTACCATCCTTGCTCGCCTCAAAGACGTCGAGACAATGGCGAGAGACTTCAGGCCAAAGGACAAGAACAAGGTCTCAAGACCCCACAAGGGCGCCAGCGCCGCACCAGCACCTACTCGTACCCCCTCCGCCCGCGCCTCTGCCACTCCCGCCGCCTTTTCCCAGGCGTCTGCGACAAAGTCCAGCCCTCGTCCTGCCAGTGGCTTCGACAAGGCTGAGTCCGACATCGATGAAGACGAAGAGGGCAACGAGGACGATCTCAGAGAGGCGATCGCAGCCCTGGGAGGGGAGCAAGGAGACCTTGATCTCATCTCAGCCAAGGCTCTCAAGGGTAAAGGCAAGGGAAAGCAAAGAGCAGAGGATGAGGCAGACGATGTAAGTTTTCCGTTGGAGAAACACTGATAGGCGACAATGGCAAATTGACACCACTCTACTTAAATTCTTATCCAGCCAAATCTCGGCAATGAGCTTCGAGCATTCATGAAGGGCCTCAAGTTCGACATCCAGGCGCCTTCACAAGTGAAGTCGGAAAGATCTGCCAAGGCGGCCAGGGAGGTGCCTACTTTGACCCAAGACCCCTCGATCATCGAAGAGAAAGCCAAGTCGGCTTCAGCATCGAATGATCAAGAGCAGAAGCCGAAGAAAGACAGGAGACCCGAAAAAATTGGCCAAACAGATGGGGAAAGAGCAGCAGCTCGAGCCAAGAAGGAGCGAGAAGACAAGTTGGATGCCATTGCGTCCAAAGCAAGCCGCGCTGCCGAAGTGCAATCGTTGCCTACTTCCTCTACAGTCCGCAAGGGAGGGCACCTTCTCCTTGACCCACTGCCCGATTGGATGAATGTTGCCTTGGAGCCTCTGCCTGCTGCTTCTCCGTATTCGAATCACGGCATCCTGCTACCGCATGACCGTCTCTTGTCGCTTCTCTCTCAAGGCGCTGCTCTTCTGGATACTGACAACAAAGCATATCACACATTGCTCAACTCTGGTTCGTCGGCAAAGATGACTTCTTTGGGCGGTCTGACGCCAAGTGATGCCAAATTGATCGCCTCCCTGCTAGGGAACACGACGTCGTCATCAAACAGCACCGCTGTCGGCGGTGGAACACTGTCTGACAGGATTGCTGCACACGCTCTGCTCCTTGGGTCGTCTCCGCACCATAATCTTCGCTCTCTTGACGCTCTCGTGAGTATGGCATCCAAGAAGAGCCGGGAAGAGAGCGGGCGGGCGACAAGGGCCTTGGCAGACTGGTTCGCTGGAGCTGGACTTGGCAAAGGTCGCAAGTTGAGATATCTACGAGACCAACCACATCTTGCGACGACAGCGGAAGCTCCCGAAGGAACAGCGAGAGATCAACGTTTGGCCTTATATGCCTATGAAGATCGCCTGAAGAAAACTTACTTCGCCTTTCTTCAGGCCTTGGAGACGCAGTCGCACGATACTTTGGCCTTCGTGCGTCAGCAAGCCGTCACGCAAATCTACCTACTTCTCCGCGAGAAGAGCGAACAGGAGCAAAATCTTCTACGGCTCCTCGTCAACAAGTTGGGTGACGGCGAGCGATCAGTGGCCAGCAAAGCGACGAACTCTCTGCTCGAGTTGCTGAACACACATCCCGCCATGAAGTCAATCGTCGCACGCGAGATAGGCGAGCTGATCCGCAAGCCCACTAGATCTACCGGCCGAGCGGATAATGAAACGACAAAGAAGCACCACAGTCATGCCAAGTACTACGGTGTGCTGGCTCTCAATCAAATCGTTCTGACAAGGCAGGACGCAGCAGTCGCTACTCCACTGGTCCACCTTTACTTTGAATTGTTTGAAGACGGCCTTGGCCGCCTGAGTCAGGCAGTAGAGGGCGATCAGGTTGGAGAGGCCGCGCCAAGTGCCGCTCTCAGCGGCAAGAAGAACAAGAATCGTTGGAGAGATAACAAGAGCAAGAGTCAAGGCAAAGGCAAGGGAAAGATGAGCACTACCACAAGCACCGAAACCTCCAGGGTGCAAGACGCGGACAGTAAGATGATGGCGGCAATCCTCACCGGTGTTCGTCGGGCTTTCCCATTTGCTGATCTCGACTTTGGCGCATTCGACAAGCACCTGAGTACGCTTTTCCGTATCACCCATTCTGCCTCCTTCAACATCGCCGTCCAGGCTCTTCAGCTCATCCACGTGATTGCGACGTCTTCAACAAGTTCATCCCAGCACATCTTGGATCGCTTCCATTCGACCCTGTACTCTTCGATGTTGGACCCCCGATTGGCTAGTACGAGCAAATCAGCGATGTACCTCAATCTCTGCTTTAAGGCTATACGTGAAGACATTGACGAGTCGAGGAGAGCGGCCGAAGTCAAGCGCCTACTGCAAATCCTTGGACAGATGGATGTCGAGTTCGTATGTGGTGCCCTGTTCCTTGTTGCCGAGCTCCTTAGAGCTCAACCGCGGCTTCGCAGGTTGTTGACCGACCCTGAGGATGATGACGAGGTGGCGGTCGCCAATCCGCCTGATGAAGAGGAAGTCGGTCCACAAGCCAGCAATCTTACTGAGACGCAGAATGGGCCGGGTCTGGTCGGCCCAGCTTCACACCGTTACGATCCCTTCAAACGTGATCCGCGGTATGCCAATGCCCAGGATACCTGTCTTTGGGACCTCGTACCCCTTCTCGGGCATTTCCACCCGACGGTCAAACTGCTAGCTCATCAGCTGCTCACCAACGAAGCACTGACAACTGCGCCTGATCTGAGCCTCTACTCGCTGTCTCACTTCTTGGACAGATTCGTATACCGAAATCCCAAGAAGAGGAGCACTCTCCAAAAGGGGGCTAGTGGCATGCAACCCGCCATCGCTGCCGGAGGCGGCATCGAAGGCGGAATCAGAAGGATCAAAGGATGGGGCGGAACAGGAGAAGAAGTCAATACGCCCAGATTCTGGAAACAGAATGTGCAAGACGTAGCTGTTGACTCCCTCTTCTTCCACAAATACTTCAATCTGAGAGAGGCGAGGCCGAGCGAAGGTGGCGCAAAAGGCACGAAGATGAGAGGAGACCAAGACGTTGAGAGTGAGGATGAAGAAGCAAGTGAGGCCAGCTATGTCGGCAGCGATGTCTCTCTTGCCTCTGACGAAGTGGACGAAGCTCTTCGGGACGGAAGAGCTGAAGGCGACAGCGGCAGTGAAGCAGACTCCAGCGACCTTCGCGAGGGCGAGATCTGGTCTGCGATGAAGAGAACGATGCCTAAAGAGGTCGGAGATGAAAGTCTCTTTGCGGCTAGTGACGGTGACGATGAAGACGACGAAGACCTCGCCGTGTACGACTACACCGAGAGCGAAGAGGACACGGGGCAAGACGAGGATGGCGACGACGAAGTTGACGGTGTGGCCGGAAGGGATCAGGACGATGACAGCGACGATGAAGAGGCGTCTATGTTCGAAGAGGACGAGGATGATCTACTGCCCTTTGCGGATTTCGGCAGCGAAGCTTCTGACGATTCAGACGATGCAGACACGCGCATTGTAACCCCCGCGCCTGGAAAAAGCAAAAAGCGAGATCGCCTCGAGAGCGCAGACCAAGAGAGCAATCAGCCGAAGAGCAAGAGCCAGCTGGCGAGACATGAGAGGAAGAAGCGCAAGGCTACATCAGCATTCGCCAGTGCAGAGGATTATGCTGCTCTTATCACGCAGGGGGAGGCAGACGAGGGAGAGGTCTAGTTGGCCCATTGATGTGTACACTCAATACAAAGACCTTCAATATCTCGTTGCGCTGAAATTATCAGGCAATATCGCCCAAAGCTACAAGTCAGAAGTCGTCTAGTAGTGCTTTGTTCATGGTATAATTTATTCCGTCGCATCAGATGAAGAAATTGACAGGTTGCAATAGGCGACAACGGGAAAGTTGGACAGCACGGTGCAGACGCTGCCACACTCTGCTTTTGAACCTTTTTGACGTGGACACATCTCAGCGTCGAGGTGGTGACTAAGTTTGCTCGATACGCATGCGCTTGTGACTCAGGTGGGTAGGTATGAAAGTCTCATCTTCAGGTGTTCTGGCGCCGCCCAGTGAAGATGACGCTGAGGGAAAACGATGATGGGGACGGAGACTCGAGGGATCGTCTTGGTTGGCCATAACACTCTTCTTCCTCGCTGCTCGAGAGAGTCTGGTCTGCTCTCTTTCGTATCGTTCTAATTCATCTTCCGTATCGTCTGTGAGGCGATGGTCGTCGTCGTCCCAATCGGCCACACCAGCCTCGTTGACGGTGACGTTGTATGGCTCGGCTTTGATCTTTGTCTCGTTCTCGCGCAACCAGGCAGGGTCGAAGATGCACTTTGGTAAAGTCTTGCCCCACAGTCTGACTGGAAGTTCTAAATCAACGCCTCCATCACGGCGCCAACGAGGCATCTGCTTGGACTTGGATAGGGTATCGGCGATATGGTATGCTTTGGTGAGCTGCATGGCGGATAAGAGAGGCAGCAATGTTAGCAGAAGGAAAGTTTGACGGTCAACGATGCCTATGAGAAGCTGCTCACGTGGCGATTCCTCCACTTCGGTGCAAGGGCCTCCCACCCTCGTTTACTTTGCAGCTTTCTGACTCTCAACTTCCTCCACTCTTCCTTGTCCATGTTATGCATTTCCTCCTGATCGCTAGCGGCATCGTCAGAGTGCAGGCCCATTGTCAGCAGTGCGTCTGGTATGGGGTGCTTAAGTCGCTTCGCGCCAACTTCACGATTGCGTACTTTCGTACGATGACGCTCCTGCTGTTTGTACCTCGTAGACTTGGCCTTGGCGTCCGCCTCGTCCTCCTGCTGCTTCTTCAGGTTCGCACGATATCCATGCCTCGCTGAATCCATCAGGTCTTTGGCGACATCCACTACGACGTCTTTCGCGTTCACTCCCTCTTTCATGCCATAGGCTTCGGGCTTCTCCTCCACCTTCTGCACGCCTAGCTCGATCAACTCCTCCAAGAGCTCTTTGTTTGCAATGTACAAATCGGATCCGATCTCAAAATTCGGCTGAAAGACCCTTCGCGTCCCTTCCATTGGCTTTTCGGCATTGATGGGCACCGTGATCCAGCCGTTTCGACCGTTTGGATAGCTCTTTGCGATGCGACAGAACTCTGTGGTGTCTAGCCACTTGTATAATTGCTCTCTCATATCAACGAGCAGTTTTCTGTTGCGGTAGCGCACTGACTCTCTCCTGACGCCTTCAATGGGTGGACGAGATTTGTGCTTGATGAGACCGCCTTTTGAGGAGATTACGGGCGCTTTGCTGGAACCAGGCCTAGAAGGGTCTGGCGGACTGTCATCGCCGTCGTTGGCGCCACTATGAATGCGCTGTGGACCCGCTGAAGCGCGCACTCCTGCTTGGTTCGCGGAGGAGGATGAACCGGCATTTAGGAAATCGAGCATCTGCTCTGCTGGTCCAGGTGGTAAACCTTCGCCATTGAGCAAGCTTAAGAGTAGAGATGGCTCCACTGCTTGATTTGGAGTATTTGTAGCAGAAGCATCTGCTTCTATTCGGTTGCTGTGGTGATTGGGTGTGTCGTCATTAGAGCTTGAGATGCCGGGAGAGTTGTTGTTGCCAGACTGATGCCCTTGCAACTGTGCATACATTGCAGCGAGGTCTGGCGGCATCGATGCCTGCCAGGGATATGTCGAAAGGGCAGTGTGCGGCCCGTTGTTGGACGCGCTGGGATCCTGCGACAAGGTAGGCAGAGGTGGTAAGCTCCTGAGAGCAGCAGAGATCGTGTGAAGGTCTGTGCAAAGGGTTTGAGCAGCGGCCTTGACAGTAGACAGACAGCTGAGCAGGTCGGCATCAGGAGAAGTCAGACCCATGGCCGTTGTGTGAGCACGAGACATATCCAAAGAGAAAGTGTTCAAGGAGTGCGACGCGGACGACAATAGGCGAGCATGATGATGCGGATCAGTAACGGCGCCCGAAGCTTGGCCAGGAGGCTGCGGGAGCGCCTGTATGTGATTGGAACGGTCATGCTGCTGAGGGTAGAAATGATTGTGTAGCTGAGGGTAGTGATGCTCCGTACGATGCTCGCGCCCTGAGTCAAGACCTGAGAGATTGTTGTGCTGTGAGTTCGAGGTAGCTTGTTGCAGCATGGGATAGCCAGGCATATGAGTATGAGATTGTGTAGAGAGGTGCGGAGAAGAACGGCTAGAGAGGTGATTGTTGGAGGATATGCTACTAAAGCCTGCTTGATTGGCCATCATTTGCCTGTTGGACTCCATGAACTGACTCAGTGCGTCCTGGAAGTGATCTGCCGATGGATTCCGCGATGCCGAGGGGCTCGCTCTCTGGCTGTCCCTACCGCTGCTGGCGCCTGGGGGCAGACCCGGCCCTATGCCCTGGAGTGCGGCTCTCTGCCTGCGCCGTATGGCATCGAAGTCCACTGCAGGCGGGAGGTTGAAGTGAGCCGAGGACGATGAAGACGAGGGTGCAGCATGATGAGCTGTTGATGACGACGACGAAGCTGCTGTTGGCGCATTGGCGCTTGTGGCAGTTCCATTCATTGCCATGTCATCTGCTCTTGCGCCTGGCTAATCGGTACGCGCCAGGTGTTGCAAGCCAGGGCAAGAGTGGCGGACAGTGGCACGGCAGCAGACAGGAGCAGGACAAGCAGGGTGAGCACCGTGACTAGAAGGCGAGGCAGCAGTGTTAACGAATGTACCCAGCTTGGATCGGGCGATGGTGTGGATGGGAGTGGCAGACGGGAGGCGAGATTAAGGGCGCGAGATAGCAAACCTGGTGCGCTTTCCATCGACAAAAATTCCGTGGCGGCATCGAGGCAGGCAGGCAGGCAGGCAGGCAGGCAGGCAGTCCGTCCGCCCTTGACAGAGCACAGCCTTCTGTTTACTCGTTGGCACCTCAATGGATCAAGCTTTCGATCCGGTACAGACACATCCACGCACACTGAGCATTGCAGCAAGAGTACTTGGAATAGTACCACACCATCTCTCGTCTCACTCTTCTGACCCAGTGGCCTGCGCGTTCTATGAGGGGCCACGTGGCGCATTGTCCCTGACCACTGCGAAGGTGCTTTGCTACGATGAGCAGACTTGCCTTGCCTCGTCCACAGCATCGTATCGAGAGCCTCTCTGTCCTTGCCTAGAGCTCACATCGCCTTGCTACCTTAGCTTCTGCCTTCATCTCAATCAAAGGAGGCCAACATCTGCGCAAGCGGGTCGTTGATGTATGACTCCGCCCCGCCCAAAGTCGTGCATGCCTATCAGCCCTGGAGATCCGCTCTGCCTGGCCCTCCACCTGCCTCCGCACCTCCGCCCCCTGTCACACTCACCTGCTACCCACCGTCTTTCGGCACTCGGCCATTCCAGAGGTCTCGATTCGCCTCTTGATCTCCACTAAACACGATGCTACCCAGCTTCGTCTCCCTTGATCACTTCCGGTCGAGGGTGTACCGATCACGCCTGGCGTTGGTCGTCCTACTGATCCTTCTGAGCGGGAGCGCAACCTCGCCATCTCGATCCTCATCTGCGGCTTACGTCGACATCGCCGTGCGTCCATCCAGTGGATCAGCATCCCCTCAGATGCCTGTTGCCTCGGATGCTTTGATCCAAGACGCTGCTACTAGCATCAGTGGCTTGTCCAAAGCAGCCTCATGGGTGCAGCAGTACCTCCCTGTTCGCATACCAATTGCGGCTACCCCAGCCGCCCATCCTCCTGAATCAGTCGCCCCGGTCTGGCATCCCCCTTCGCCAGTATGGAAGGCACGCAGCTGGGTCACGACATTCGTAGAGGACAAAGTGGCATCAGATACAGCCCTCTTCAAGTTGCAGGGGCAAGGACAAAGAGAAGAGGAACACTTGCAAGCTGCAACAAGAGGCTCCCCTGCCCGTTTGTCCTTGGCCATCCTCCTCACTCCGACCATATTCCCTACCCTCCTTCAGTTACACATGCTTTGGCTCGTGCGATTCACTGCGGGAGAGGTGGAGGGAAGGACCGGCTTGCAGCACAAGGACCTGCGCTTCTGGCCGACGATTGTGACCCTCCTCTTCCTCAGCTCCTCGATAGTCACAATCTTGCTACCCAACACGACAGCCTATCTCCGGCAATTTGGCGATCGGTGGTCCTCAGTGGCGATGAAGCCCCTGTCTCCACCAGGGTCTCTGTTCCCAGCCCTCCCCGTGCTTCTGCTCGAGGCGATTCCGACATTTCTTTCTCTTGCGCCCCTGCTGATTGCGGTCTTCCCAGCGTCCTTGCCCTTGCAGGTGCGGGTCATCTCGCCTTCTCACGCCTCTTGCGTACTCGGTGTCGTACCTCTTTGGGTCAAAGCTCCGTTCCTGCCGGCAGAAAGAGCTAGAGCAAGGGCACAGGCAGCAAGGGGCGGAAGGTCTCGTCGACACCGGGACGGTTTGGGCAGTCCATTTCAACGTAGTGGTCCTACGGAGCCTGAGGCTCCCCCAGGAGATTCGACTGCTTTCGACAACTCTGGCGCTGCTGAATCTTTCCGCCTTCTCCAGCTGCAGCAAGACATGGTCGATGAGCTAGAGAGAGCCGGCAGACTATCGCCTTCAGCTATCGATCAAGTCCGTCAAGCAGTGCGGGAGCAAGCACGCTCATACAGTGGCAAGGCGCGCCTTCAGAAGCCAAAGCAGAGGGTTGTTCTGCCAGTCTCATATATACTGTCTGTGCTTCTGATGCTATCATCGTCCCTGAGCCTTATCATATGCTACGCATTGATCGGCTTGCGGCTACCCACCCTGGCTCCTACGAGCGCAACTGCTCTCGTAGATCTGCTCGCGCTTCGAGCTGAACTAGGAGCATTGGTCAAATATTGGAATGAGGAACGCCGGAGAGTGGAAGGCCTCGAATTTATCAGAAGAAGGTGGGGCATCAGCACGATGACTATAAGACCTGGCCCTGGCCGTTCGGAGACCGACCGATTGAGGTGCCTTGAAGGAGGGGCACAATGTTCGATTTGCTTTGAAAAGATTGATTGGATCAACGAGGAAGAGGACGTCGCAAGGCTGGACTGTGGCCACGAACTGCACGCAGTAAGTTGCATCGCGACCGAAGCGGCGTCAGCAATCGCTGACAACTCTCTTTTGTGCTCCTGACCCCAGCCCTGCCTGGTTCCCTGGCTTCTAACGCAAGCTTTCTGTCCGGTGTGCCATCGAGCTTTGCGTCCGGGAGGGGGTGATGTGCGTCCGGCTAGAGGCGTGGCTGCTACGATGGGCAGAGAAACACCAGTCTCGCATCTTGAGGGCGCTGGTACGCCCACGTAGATTGTGTACATACAAAGCCAGACCATGTTACGTTACGTTGAGAGAATAACACACTGCTATTGAACCATGTAGCAGTGAAGTGTTCTCTCCTCCCCACCAATACAGCTCGCTCTTTGAAGTACTTTCGTGAGGGGCAAGCTTTTCTGCTGCAGATGTGGAGATAGGCGGAGTGGAAGCAGGAGAGGAATGGCACGTCGGACAGTCAAAGGTGCAATCTTGACGCTCGCATCGTGACTCGATAATATACCCTCGTCTCCATACACCACTGTCGTACAGACACCATGTCATTCTCATTCTTGCGACTGGCTACTCGCTCAGCTTCTTCCCCCATCGGCAGATGCTCGACCTCTCCTCGGCTCGTACGCACCTTCTTGTCTACCTCTAGCAAATGGCATAGCTCTTCCGGCTCACCGGGCCTCCTCCCACCTCACCTTTTGACACTCGCCGACCTCTCCACCTCGCAAATACAAGCTCTCCTCAACAATGCCGCCAATTTCAAGGCTTCACTTACAGCGCACAACCACGACCTCGTAATGGGCGCTGTCGCTTTTGACGACGGGTCTGAGCTGGAGCAGACGCTCAAGAACAAGACGGTAGCGCTCCTCTTCACAAAGAGAAGTACTCGAACGAGGGTGGCGAGCGAGACTTCTGCTGTGGCTCTGGGAGGTCATCCGATGTTCCTTGGTCCGAGCGATATACAATTGGGAGTCAACGAGAGCCTGTACGACACTGCCAAGGTTGTGGGAAGCATGGTCGATGGAATCATGGCTCGAGTTGACGGTCATGAGGAGGTCGAGGTGAGCAATTGAATGCTGCTTGCTGTGGGTACGCCACGAGCTCACATATTGTCCTCACTTCTTCTCAGTTGCTGGCGCAACACGCAGGCGTTCCCGTCATCAATGCGCTTTCTGATCTATATCATCCCACTCAGATCCTGGCCGACCTTCTGACCATGGTTGAAGCATTCCCAACGAACACATCATCGTCCAAGAGCCCAGCATGCCTCTCTTCTCTGGCCGGCCTGAAGGTAGCTTGGGTAGGAGACTCGAACAATATCCTCAACGACATGCTGGTTGCTCTTCCGCGTTTGGGCATCCACCTCTCAGTTGCCACGCCCAAGGGCTACGATAGAAACGAGAGAGTATGGGGAACAATGCAGGACGGGATTGAGGAGGAAAGGAAGAAGGGAGGCTCGGTCACTGTCGCTGGAGTAGACTGGTCGAACGACCCGAAGGAGGCCGTGAGGGACGCGGATATCATCGTGACGGACACATGGTAAGTGCAAGGAGAGTACCAGAGGATAGCATCACGCGAAGCATGACAAGAATGTGACACTTCCGCTTCTTCTTCTCAAATGCCAGGATCTCCATGGGGGAAGAATCATCGAAAGAGCAGCGTCTGCGAGATTTCTCTGGTTTCCAAGTGACAGAGGCTCTGGGAAGGGAAGGAGGAGCCAAGACAGACTGGAAATTCATGCATTGCCTTCCGCGGAAGAGCCAGGAGGTAGACGATGAGGTCTTCTATGGCAAGCGGTCGATTGTCTTCCCTGAAGCAGAGAATAGGAAGTGGACCATCATGTCCGTCTTTGAGTGGGTATTTCGTGTTGCTACGAGGGCGCAACATGAGCAGAGAAATGAGCGGGTATGGGAGGAACGACCACTGACGCATTCTCGCTTTCTGATTGCAGTGCATACATGGGACGTTGGACGATCTGAAGCATCTTCAAGCGTGTGCATCAACGTGGTATCATCTGTGAGCGGAGATGGGCGGTCTGCTGACTCGTACAAATACAATCTACCTAAACTCGTCGATCTAGCCTAGCAGGAGCAGCTGTCCCTTGCTGTCTGTATGCCGTCATTCAGGCTCACGTTGCCTGCGACAGACTGAGAAGCGTGTTCCGCTGGCGTACCACCTGGCATCCTGTCACCTGGCCTCCTTGTGCCGCTAACTTGCGATGACCACAGCGAAGGAGTCGAGATGATCTAGGAAAGAGATTGGTACGTTGCCAATACCGAAGTGAGCTTTACAGCCTTGCACCAATAACTCTCAGCCCCTATAGGCACCTGTGGCCGTACCTACCTGATTCACCAGATCATCAAAAGCTCCCTGTACACCTACTCCCTTCTTTGCGCTCGCTTCGACGAAGATGGCTCCCTGATCGTGTGCGAAGGTCTTGCCTTCCTGTGTGGATACCACTCGCGAGAATTCCTTGTCCACCTTGTTGCCTATGACACATTTGACGACGTCCGGAGAAGTGGAGAAGGTCTCGAGCTCTGAAAACCATCCCGGTAGGGCGTCGAAGGATGCTCGTGATGTAACGTCGTATACTGAGGGCGCAAAGAAACAGTGGGCAATTGCGCCAAGCTATGGTCACCTGACTGCTGATGGAAATCATTGGACTGCTACCCATGATCTTTTGACTGCCGCCCTCGAGTAGAGGGCACATTGAGGGCAGTCATGTCGCTGTCCCGTAAGACTCACCGACAATGACGCCTTGAATTCCTCTGTAGTAGCTCCCCGTAATAGCACGATACCTCTCTTGTCCCGCTGTATCGAAAATGTTGAGCTTGAACTGCTTACCACCGACAGTTATATTCTTGAGCTTGTAATCGATGCCGATGGTAGCTGAAGACTCTTCAGGCGGGGCGAACTCGTCATCTGTGAAGCGCAGAAGGAGCGAGGATTTGCCGACAGAGGAGGAGCCAATGAGGACTACCTTGAGCGTGGGGACGGGCGTATGGGACATGTCGTCTTCGTGAAAGAGGCAAAGGCGGAGAAGGACGATCGTGTGGATGGAGGAGGAGTGAGCGGCAAGTTGAGACGATGTCCTCGGCTTGTTGAAACATTGCCTGCCCCGCGCCTCCTCCACTCTGCTGCCGTTCCGTTGCTGCTCGAGGCTCTGCCCAGAAACAAGAGAACAACAGGGGCGAAGAGAGGCTTCGCGTCGATGCACCTTGCGTCCCTTAACATCTCCTCAAGTGTCCTTGACAAGCGAGGAAGTACCTTCCAGCACACCATGGCTGGCAACGCCTACAACGAAGACGTCTCGCTCTTGATTGCCTATGTGTCGTTGATTTCAATGGCCATCTTGCCAATCTTCTTTGGCTCCTTTGCCTCTCTTCGAACACCAAAGTCGGTTCTCAAGGCTCGCAAAGCGCTTAAGAAGGCGAAGGCAAGCAAGAATGACAAGGGTCAAGAAGAGGACGAGGAAGACGACGACGATGATGATGATGAGCCCGCTGCGTCGGAGACGCTTACCTCATCCGATGCCTGGCTGTTCCCAGTCGTGGGCAGCTGTGTATTGTTCTCCATGTACCTCGTATTCAAATTTCTAGACCGCAAGTGGGTGGACAGAATCCTGGGGTCCTACTTCGCCTTTGCGGGCACTGGAGCTGTATTCAAGGTGAGTCTAGGTGCTGACATGTGTGGATTGTGCATTGCCCGAGTCAATATACACACATGTCTTTTCACTCCTACCAGGCTAGCCTCTCCATCGCGGCCGGAGTGTTTGGGACACGAGCCTGGCGCAGCAAGCTCACTTACAGACTTGCGATCACGAAGAGACTCTCGGACGAGGAGCTTCAGGAGGAAATAAGAGCAAGGGATAAGGCAAACAAAGAAAGTGATGATGTACAGAGCGATGACGAAGAACAGCCCACCGGTAGAATCCGCAGTGAGTGACAGCGATTAGGGGTCTCGTAGCAAATGCCAGCAGCGCCTAATCACCGATCCTCCTCTCACAGAGGTGATGTCTCTGCGCTTGAGTGTTCTCCACATACCACTATTCTTCTCAGCGTTGCTCCCCGTCGTCACATTCTACACCACCCGACACTGGATGTGTTCGAACGTCATCGCTCTCTCTCTGTCCCTGCAAGCCATATCCCTGATGGGCCTGGATTCTTTTCTCACCGGATCAATCATGCTAGGGGGACTCTTTGTCTACGACGTCTTCTGGGTCTTTGGCACCGAGGTGATGGTTTCAGTTGCTCGCAATTTCGATGCTGGGCCGATCAAGATTCTCTTCCCAAAGAATCTGCCAGACGTTGCGTTGCATTACATCAAGCAGAACAGCAATCGCCCTCAGGCTGCGACTCTATTCGGGCATGCCTTCTCCACGTTCAGGGCTGCGCCCCAGTGGCAGATGACGATGCTCGGCCTGGGTGACATTGTCATCCCTGGAATATTCGTTGCCTTGTCCCTCCGCTTCGACCAACATCTATATCTCTCAACGCTCTCGGACAGCAAGCTAGCTACCTTCACCCGTCGCGATGCCTCCTTCCCAAAGCCTTACTTTACTGCTACCCTGACAGCCTACATCGTGGGCCTGATAACTACAATGGCTGTCATGCACACATTTCAGGCCGCCCAGCCTGCCCTGCTATACCTCAGTCCAGCTTGTGTGGGCGCTGTCACCTTGAAGAGCCTGCAGAGGAGCGAATGGAAAAGGGTCTGGGCCTGGCAGGACGAGGAGGAAGAGAAACAAGTGATGATTGCCAAGGAGATTGGCGAATCTATCGCTGACGCGACTGGGCAAGGTCTGTCCACGCTGAGGAAGCGTACTACGGCTCAGAATTGAAATGGTAGACTCCCTTCTAGCTGTAAATACTTCGTGTCAGTCGCAGTGGCTGAAAGTTTCAGCAGAGAAAAGTCGAATGCGACACAGACTTCTGCCGGAGTCTTTCATCAATTGTTTCTGTAGGGCGACAGGAGCGTAGCTTGATCAACGTCAGCCCATTCAGCCCATGTACCCGCCAAAGAAGCACTACTCACTGGCTGAATTTGTATCCACAGTTGGGGCACGTATAGAAGACTGTCGTCCCTTCATCTGCACTTCTCATTTGCAGTGTACTAAATCTCATCTCTTCGTTGCCGCATTTCGGGCACTTTTCTTTGATTGTTGCTTCGTCAGCTCGAGCTCCATCCTGCGCATCTCCCGCAGAGGAGACGGTCGTGACGAGTTGCCGTTTGAGGCGGAGAGCAGAAGGGAAAGCGGAAGGATTTGAGCGGGTTGTGAGGGTAAGATTATCGTAGACTGGTCGTGGGGAGAGATGGTGGCAGGGTCGCCTTCAGCTCTTCGGGACTTTCGAGTATAGCTGCTTTCTCGCACTCTGCCTGCGAAGAGCTCACCTCCAGCATCTAGGTCTGCCCCGCAAGGAGGGCACTTGATCACATCCTCGTCCGTCGGCGCATCGAGCAGACTACCGCAAGAGGGACAGAACAATAGGGGACCAACCTTGTCTGGCATCTGCAACGTAGACTTTGGCGCCATCTTGGATATGAGACGGGTCTGTGAAGGCGAAGGCGACGACAAGACTATTAAGTGGTAACTGCCTCTGACCTGGTCAGTGGAGAAAATTCATACGCAGGCGAAGGGGGAGAGGCGGAATCTGACACTCGGAAAGGGCTTCGGAAAGGGAAGGGCAAGGGGAAGGGATGCGGGAGAGGGAGAGTCGCGCCGCGAGGCGGAACCAGGTGTTGGATCAAGCTCGGGGTGATGACGCTCCTGGATTCCCTTCGGTCTGCTCATACCAATTGCCCCCATCATCTTGACTTCCTCACATACACCATCGTCTTGTGTGTCACGCTATGTTGAAATGGAGTATTCCAGGAAAGCAGGTCAGTCTCGCTGCAGCCTCGCCTCCTCTGACTCTCTCGTCGAGCGAATATATGCTAAGCCTCCCCTCTCCTACCTTCGGACGACGTAGGTCCTTCACGGATACCGCTACCCAACGATCTAGCTTCCGACAATGTCCGGTCTAAGAAGCTCAGACCACGCCGTCTCTTGTCCATACTCCATCACGATGACGAGGAAGGAGTGCACGGCGTCCGTGCCAGCTCAGAGATATTAGAGGCTAGTTTAGAGGATTGCGCAGAAGTCGATCAGGCCTACACCGGCCTCTACAAGCCTTCAGAAGCCACGCTTGAGGGACGAGGGCCCCTCGGTAATTACATCTCTGGCTCTTCTGAATGCGAATGTCAAGGCGCTGACAGCCGTAGTCAATCCGAAGAGCCTGTTGAACAGCGTCGCGGTCGAGACCAGCCGGTCGCTGCTACAGATCCTCCGCTCGAGACAGCTAGCGATCCCTGGACCACCTCCGGCATTCCAGAGAGGCGATTGCCGCGTTTCGTTGGCAACGCCGCGAGAGACCCCTCGACGTCGAAGGCTCCCGACCCCAGGGACGTTCAGCAGCACACGCAGCTAGCCGGGATACAGACGCAAAGGGGGAAATCATTTTCATTGCCGACGGAGTCAAGTGAACAAAACCTAGAGATTCAGCTGCAAAGCCAGGCGAGTCGGCCCCTTTCGGCCCAGACCGGAAGGCAGGACTCAGGTCAAGCAAGTCTATTGACAGAGCAACAGCCGGCAGATAGCAGCAGACGTCCTGCAAGGAAGCGCCGATCTGACGAGGAAAGTCAAAAGACCCCCGTGACTGTCAGGTCCTCGAAGAGGCGAATCCGGCAACTGGGCGACAAAGAAAATGCAATTTTGAGATCCAGCTCTGGCCTTCCTGTCGGAGATGATCAGGAGTATTCTCTACAAGGTCAGCGCGAAGGCCACATTGGAGCTGTAAGAAGCAGGCAGATTGACGAGGGAGGCGCTGCTGCCCCTGAAGTGCTTCGGTCAGTAGAGCACAATCGTCAGCGCGTGCAGCAACATCTGCCGCTTCCCGATGAGATTGACTCAGGGGACTCTGTTGGATCAGGCAAGGCCATCTTGTCCCATGAGAGGCAAGGGTGGTCTGGGTTGAGCGATCGCTCGCTGGATGTGCTCGAGCAATGCGCTGCGTCAGATCAAAGAAACGTGGGACTCAACGCGGGCGACGTCACGCGTCTAGAACCAACCTCTGGTGCTGTCGCAAATGGAAAAAGTGAGGAAAACAGTCTGCTACACGATCTCCATGCTATCAGTCAGGAATTCAGCGGCAAGGGTCTTTGGGAGTGTAATGAACCGAGTGTTCGTCCCGTGGACCTGAAGACTGCGTCCTACACCGCTGTAGCCTCACCTACTGCCCCGCCGGCGGACGATTGGCGTCGATTCGGTCATCCTTGCCAACATGCCGCTGAGCCAGCCACGTCGTTGACTCCTCCCTCTGCAGCAATGGTCACGCCAAATAGTTGGGTCTATCGCGTTCCAGTGAACAATGGCACACAAAGCCCTCAGTACCTTCAGTATATCAACGAGCAAACAATGCAAGCAGCGCACGAGCACATGCAGCTGCCGCCCGTCCTGGACAACGCTGAGGTGCAAAAAGGGGCGGTTGTCACACCAGAAGGAGCAGCCTTGCAGATGCTTGGTAGACCTTGTGGTGAGCAAGAACCCACGAGTCTGCCTCAGCCAGAGATGGAATTGTACAATCCTTCGACTCAAGCTACCGGGCAGGACGCGGATGAGGCGACGTGTCTTGTCGGCAAGCAGCGCGCAAATGATACAGAGGTAGTGTCAGCAGGTGTTGTGCCGCGGAAAGGTGGACAGGCTTCCACCAGCCTCGAGTGCACGGCTTCCGAGAGTATAATGGGCGAACCAGCTTCTGATGTAGCATTGAGTCTCACGCAAGCCTGCCACATCGAGCATGCTCGAGAAGATGCCCTTTCCGCAGCCGCTAGGAATGCGATCGCTGCCGACTCTTCTGGACGTGACGGCAGCTGGCAGGTATGCACTTCAAGCGGCCATGCTCGCCTGGAACAAGCCAACGAGCGTCTTCTGGAGGGCCTTGACGACTTCGACTTCGCCGACCTGGATCTGACCCCAGCTACACAATCAGAGACCGGCACGAGCCCTCAAAGAGCTTCTGATTGGTCGACTACGAAGCGCGACCCCCAGCGCACTCGCAGTGGCAAAGGAAGAACAGATTCATTCGACGATCTTGCAGAGGATCATGGCTTCTGGGATGAAGTGTTCGATGGCGAGATGCTCCCACACGCCATGGCTATTGAGGAGGCTACTGAGTGGCAAGACTCTGAAACTTTGTCTGACATAGAAGCTGCTGCAAGTGCTGCCTCTGAGCTGCCTCCAATGCCTTGCTGCCCGCCTCCAGGAGTTCACTTGGGCTTCAGCACTGCTGCAAACAAGAGATTGGCCCAGCCAAGCGAAGCCGCTGTGGCTCGAGTAATGAAGCGGCTGGGACAACCTGCCGGTTCTGAAGAGGCGCCCGAGAAAGACATTGAGAGGATGGGTGCTGCTCTTAATACACGAAGAGCGGCTCAATCGGTCCCTTCGCCAGCGATGCGAGCTTTCCAATCGTACGCAGCGACATGTGAAGGACAAGATCGCAGGGATGAGTATCAATCGGAGGAGGACCAGAAATGCAGTCAATTGGCTCCTGCTGCATCTCCGACAATGCCTACAACTGTCTCGTTCAGAAGAGCAAACGGGCTCCCCCTTGAACTGAGCGCCTCAGCTCTCGACAGCGCCAAGCGCAGAATGGCACTCTGGGAGGCGCAGCATCGCCAGGAAAAGGACAGATCGCCTGACTTGAGTGCAAGTATGGAGCACGAGCAGATGTTGACCAATTCCAGCTTGGTCAGGTCTGTATTGACACCTCGTGAAGCCAGGAGTGCTTGTGTCGTACCTGCGATCGAGCCGTCTCTGACAAAGGGGCCTGTCTCACCTTCGGCGCAAGGCCTGGTTGAGATCGCCCGCAACACGCCAGGGCAACACTACCCGGCCAAAGGCGACATCGGACTCTCAAAAGGCCCTGAGCTTGATGCAGCCAGCATCGATCCTTTGTATGACTTCCTCCCGCCAACTCCTTCGGAGACTGCTGAGTCTCATCTTCAAGAGCATAGTCAACTGGTCACGCCTGCGAAGCCTGCCGTTAAGCGCCTCACCGGTAGCCTTGCTACAGCAGGCAAGGAAATATCGACACCTGATCGACCGGTATTGACCCGGTTAGAGGGTCGGTCATCTCGCATCTCGCTCGGCATGACGCCACGAGCGAACCTTACTCCAAAAACAGCCGGAAGGTCAACGTTCAAGACGCCCTTCAAGACCGGTACTGCTGGTGCACGCCCTTTCATCATGTCCAGCAGCGGTTCTCCCCTGGCGGTCACTGCGCAGATTCGAGCCCATCCGCAAGAATCCAGGAGGTCTCCGAAGAGACTTGTCGGCGGTGCTCTGGATGCAAACCAAAGTGAGCCATCCGTTTTTCAGCTCGGCGCCATTGTTCCTCGTTTGTCGTTGAAGCAATGTCGGATGCGACCGTATGCAACGAAGCCCCTGCTCGCCGAAGAAGTGCCGCACGAGATCATGACAATCATCAATGAGCCCCGGAAAAGCTTTTGCTGGGTCTTCGATAGTCCCACAGGGGAAGAGCGCGGCGTCAAGGCGGCTTTCGAAGAGCTGAAGAAAGCTGGTGCTATGCGTGTCGACCTTGCGTGGGTTCGGAACCACTGGATCATGATCTTATGGAAGCTGGCGCACTACACTCGATGTAAACCTCAAGAGGCCGCTCTATGGTGGTGTTTTGAGCAGGTCATGCGCCAGCTAAAGTATCGCTATGAGAGAGAAGTTAATCTCGCGCAGCGCTCTGCTATCAAAAGGATACAGGAGAGAGATTCTCCCGCTAGCCTGCCGATGATACTGCGCGTCTTCGGCCACCACAAGGTCAACGCCGAAGATGTGGACAGCCTGGGTGCGATGAGCAAAGTCAAGGACAGAACTTGCGGAGATTATGACTATGAACTCGAGCTGACTGACGGCTGGTACCGGATCAGAGCCAGAATGGATCCAACCCTGTCTCGCGCTTTCAAAAGAGGCAAAATTGCGCAGGGGATGAAGCTAGCCATACAGGGCGCTAGGCTGAACTCATCGTCGATGGACGGCAATGACGTCCTAGCCGCTTCTGGCATTTCCCACCTTGTACTGTCAGGAAACGGCACGTCCCCGGCGCCGTGGGACTCTCGAATGGGCTTTCAGAAGCACGCCTTCTCGGCATCCCTCCGAAGCCTCACCGCTGACGGTGGGCTTATTCCGTCGATGGAAGTCACTATTACTCGCCTCTTTCCCATCGCTTTCGTCGAGTCAAATGGGTCCTCTACGCACCAGATGGGAAGCGCTAGAGGCGCCGCTGAAGAAGCAGATGCGCAACGTGCTTGGGAAACGCTCCGAGACGACTCTCGCAGCAGACTTGAAGGCAAGATCGCGCAGAATCTGAAGCAGATCACTGAGATCCAGGACCTACTGGCTCCGAGCATGGGTTACGGCAGCGGCAGTGCGGATCTGGATCGACAGGAAGATTGCGAGGCAGAGCGAGACTCGAATCTCACTTCGGAATACGAAGCTGAAGCAGATGATACTCTAGAGAACCTTCTTTCCTCCGACACACCATCGTCGACTCTCGCGAGTCGTCTAAGGTCCATTCCCAGGACAGCGCACCGCCATTTCCTCTGCCACCTCTCCTACCTTGCCTCTACACGGTCCGAGCGCATGCAAAGCGACGCCAGAGCTCAGATGGAGCAGGAGCTAAACAAGATGTGCCCCCTCAGAAGAGTCAGAAGCTTCAGAGTCTGCCGCTTCGTTGACGCGCGAGAGGGAGACAGGAAAAAAGCTTGCAAGCGAACTGTGCAGCTGACTGTTTGGGATCTGGGTGATACAGACCAGGATACATTGGAGGAAGGGGCGACGTACAAGGTCACGAACCTTGTTCCTACTCAGCGCTCCTCGTGGCGCAGCTGTAAGGTGGAAGCCGATGCCTTCCTAGCCACGAGACGAGACTCGACCTGGAAGAGGCTTACCTAGCGGCGAGCCTCACACACCCTCATTCTCAACAAAATTTGTAGCCGATCCTTTGTCCGCCTAGTCAGCCTCACGTCTTCCGTTGTATAATTCACGCTTTTGTGACGCTTCTTTGACTTGCAATGAGCTTGTTGTTGAGCCAATCTACGGATGTGTCCTCCAGATGGTCTGCGCCGAGGAAGGGAGGAGGGTCAATCCCCGTGTCGCAAACTGGGCAATGCTTGTCGATTTTTCCACACTCACCGTCTAGATCCCTCACTGCCTTCCAAGCCCCCTTTGTCCTCACTGCCTCCGTCAGAGTCCTGATTGTTTCCTCTGCATCCTCTACGGCAAGCTTGTCCTGATTGAAAGTCTGAGCCGAGCTCGAAGGAGGTACGAAAAAGGGCTTGAGTGCGTGCGAGGTAGGTTGGAGGACGGAGCCATTTTGCAGCTGTTTAGTGGGTGAAGGAAGGACACAGATTCATGGTGGCTTAGGTAGGTTGGATCGCCCGAGTCTGTGCAACACTTCCCACTCGCTGCTACGAGCCACTACTCACCAACAAAGCAAGGCATGCTTGACGGCTCCTTCCTCCAGCCCCACCATCGATCTCCTTGCTCTTTCCCTTTGCGATCTGCTGCGAGACCTTCCCAGCCAAGCGAAGAGCCGAATGGGAGAGGACGATAGCGCTTCCCTTGGCCGGAGCTTCGTACACACCGATCACACTCAACTTGGACGAGGTTGATGCGAGGTGAGAAGTGAGCTATTGATTCGTGAGGGTTATGTGAGGGAAGCAAAGAGGATGGTACGTCAGTCGCAATGATTGTCTGACCCAGGCACAAAGCCCTCTGGATACGTTATGACAACGTACAAGTTCGAGGCCCACGTCCTCGACAGTCCCAAGGTGGTTCCAATGATGTGCTAGCGGCACGACCTCGTCCACTGTCAGCTCTCCATCAGCATCTCCGCTTCCGTCCACTTTGCCCAGCAGAAATCCCGTCACTGTCGACTGAGGGTGAGCAGCTGCGTGTAGGATCAGCAGAGAGTAGGCTGAAGATGTGAGTCTGATCGAGGAAGGCATCTTATATGAGAGAGAGAGATTGCGCGTGACAGTGGAAAGGAAGCAAGATCCGCGGGGAGGTGTTGGATCAAAATGGCACGAATCTCGGTGGAGGCGCCTGCTTCGCTTTCCCTTGTCCTGCCACTGGCCCCATCAACGGCCGTCGACGAGAAGTACGTACATCAACAGTGATGATGCGTGGACCTCTATGGCAACGTCGGTGAACCAGGCCGACCAGAAAAAGCCCTCTTCGCGATCACTGATCACAGAGGCCACCTCGTCCAATGTCACATTGCAGGCCCAAAGAGGCCCTTTCAGCAGTAAGGAGAGGCAGGCACGCAGAGCTATTGTTACAATGACGACAAACTTTCAAGGAAGATCGCAGGCTTCATCCGATAGGCTTCAGCCTGAGGTGGAGACTGAGCAGCGATTGAACCAAACACTGTCACCGCGTGGAAAGAGCAGCACGGGACGAAAGTCAGCTACGCAGCCAATTGGTCCGTACCACCCGTGATAGTCCGACTTACCTTTAGGTCTTGCACTAGATAATACATGACTCGAAGTCCTTCTGGGTCTTCGCTGTCCTGCACATCCACCAGTGAGCCAATCTTGGCAGTCTCGAATGAGATGTGCTCATTGCCCAGTCTCACTTCCAGCTCTTGTCTGCCTACGACATTCTTCTTTGGCCATTTCTCGTCGTCTTCGCTACGAGGTCAGAAACGACCGTGGGGGAGATGTGTGGATTCAGCGATCTAGTTCCAGACCACACAACCGTTCAAGGAGGGTGTGTGGACCAGCCTTCTGCTCAAGGCGGCTCACTCACGCGATGATCTCGCTCTCTTCGATGATCCGCTTGAACTCATCCACCAGAGCGTCCGAAAGCCACACTGATATACGTCGGAAGAGGAATTGGGGAAGCGTAAGGTTGGAAGCGCTGAGGAGCAGTAGCACCCAGTCGGTCTTGCCAACGCTTCGCCGCTTTTGGCTGAAACTTACTCTCTTTTCTGATAAGCGAGTCATTCCTGTAATTGCTGTTGTTTGCGTACCTGAGCCGTCCTCGACTGAGCTCCCACTCGAAGAACTCGTGACCATGCTGAGAGTGCGAGAAAAAAGAAGCAGCGAGGCGAAGATCAGATTCTGTTCTTACTAGTGTTTGTTACCTTGCATCTAGCTTGTGAGCCGTACACCCACCTTGCCCTGATGGCCCGTACTGGACGGACAGCGCAGTGACACACGAAAGCAAGATGGTCGCAGAGGTCAGCAGGAGGTTGAGCTGAGTCGTGCGCACGACATCGTCACTCACTAGTATCTCACGTAGAAATCGTTTGACATTGCCGTCTGCCTGATGCCGAGGGTTGCCGTCTGCGAGGAAGAAGGTGCTCCTCCTCGTAGGGCGACGGAAAGGGCTTTGAGCCAGGACCAGAGCTCCTGCAGTCACGAGTCAACAGACGCGGAAAGGCACGAGGCGCGACGACTCACACGGGGCACAAGCAACCAGAGCCAACCAACACCTCGCACCCTATACCACATCATCCTCTTCGCCCCAGAGCAGCGCATACAGACACATAGAAGCCTCTACCTTGCCTCCCTGCAGGGGAATTCTGCCCGCAATGAGAATCGAAGAGCTCATCATTGATGGCTTCAAGAGGTGAGAGCTGACAGCAGGCGTGTCGTGTGTTGTTGCATCAGCGTTTTGCCAAACACCCTCTCCTTCATCACCACCCTCAGCTATCCTGTGCGTACTCACGTCTCGGGCTTCGATGAAAGCTTCAACGCCATTACAGGTCTCAACGGTAGTGGAAAGAGCAATATCCTCGATGCAATCTGCTTCGTCCTAGGCATCACAAACATGTCTGCAGTGAGTATTGATGCCTGTGATCTTGACCGATAGCAGCAGCTCACAACAAGCTGGACTCCTCTCATTCCGCCGACAGGTACGAGCAACCAATCTGCAAGACCTCATCTACAAGAGAGGTCAGGCCGGTGTAACGCGCGCTTCTGTCACCATCGTCTTCGACAACACCGATCAACGCCGCTCGCCCGTGAGCTTCGAGGCGTACTCTCAGATCACTGTCACTCGTCAAATTGCAATGGGTGGCATGTCCAAATACCTCATCAATGGTCACAAGGCAACTCAGCAAGCTGTACAGAACATGTTCCAGTCTGTCCAGCTCAACATCAACAATCCAAACTTTCTGATTATGCAAGGCAAAATTACAAAGGTGCTGAACATGAAGCCGGCTGAAATCTTGAGCATGATAGAGGAGGCGGCGGGCACAAGGATGTTCGAAGACAGGAAGGAGAAGGCCATCAAGACAATTGCCAAGAAAGAGATGAAGGTTAAAGAAATCGATACAGTGAGTGGAGATCCTTGAGACCAGCTGTGCGAGCTTACTCTGAGGCGAGAACATACAACCATTCTTCACTGGCAGCTCCTGAAAGAAGAGATCATCCCGAAGCTCGACAAGCTGAGAGAGGAAAAGCGTTCCTTCATCGAATATCAGCGCGCAACCTCTGAATTGGAGCGCCTCACCAGGTTAGCCAAGGCATACGAGTGGCAAACCTCTACAGTCAAGTTAGAGGAGAAATCCTCTCTGGTGGCTGCAAAGAGGAGCGACGTTGGTGAAAAGTGCGCGTTCATCGAAGCGCTGAAGCGCCAGATCGCCAGCATAGAGCAGGAGCTCGCAGAGAACGAAAGAAAGCGCGAGCAAGAAATGGCAAGGGGAGGCAAGCTCAAGAATCTACTAGAGAAGAGCAAGACTCTGCAGCACGATCTCGTCAAAGCGAAGACTGTCCTCGACCTCAAAGTCTCAAGTATAGAAGAGGAGAAAAAGAAACTGGCGGCTGATGAAAGCGCTCTGGCTGCTTCAAAACAAGCACGGAATCAGAAGGCGAGGCAGCTTGACAACATTTCGAAATCTTTCGACACACTGAAGAGCGACTTTGATGCCTCGACGTCCGAGCTCAGCAAGCAAGACGAGCTTCTGCAATCTCTTCTCACAGGAATGGCTGCCAAGTCGCCTAGTCAAGCTGCAGGCGGGCAAGGCGGCTACATGGGGCAATTAGCAGATGCACGCTCTGCGATATCTGCCGCCACCACGGAGATCGAGCAAGTGAAGTTGAAAATTCGCTCGTTGGAGAAAGAGGTCAAAACGAAAGGACCACAGGCGGAGAAGGCAGAGAAGGAGGGTGCTGGGCTCCTCAAACAGCTGGAAGCCGCCGAAGCCCAGGTGAGGAAAGTTTCATTAGCTCTTTCTATGAGCGGCTGGGATGAGACCAAAGAGCGAGAAGTCGTGCAGCGCAAAAAGAATCTCTCAGCCAGGATCAACAGTCTGTTGGAGACCAGGGACCGCATCAGATCAGGTCTTGCTCGTGTCAGCTTCGACTACTCGGATCCGGAGCCCGCCTTTGACCGGTCAAAGGTCAAAGGTCTCGTAGCTACGCTCTTGGATCTCAAAGCCGAGAATCACAAGTACTCTACAGCGTTAGAGATTTGTGCTGGAGGTAGGCTGTACAATGTCATTGTGGAGGACGATGACACTGGTGCAAAGCTGCTAAAGGGTGCCAGGCTGCGACAAAGGGTGACACTGATTCCTCTGACGAAAATCAGCAGCTTTGTCGCCGCCTCGCACAAGATTGGGGCCGCACAACAAATAGCAGGTGACCCTTCCAGAGTACACTTGGCTCTCAGCCTAGTAGGTTACGACGATGAAGTCTCCAAGGCCATGGAGTGGGTCTTTGGAAATACTCTGATCTGCGCGGACGCCGAGACAGCCAAGAAAGTCACCTTCGACAATCGCGTCAAGATGAGGAGTGTTACCTTAGACGGCGATGTCTACGATCCAGCTGGCACATTGTCCGGAGGCAGTCAAGCTCACACCGGCGGTCTGCTTGTCAAGGTCCAGGAGCTGAGGTCAGTGGAGACCCAATTGGCTGCCGGCAAGAGCGAGCTGGAGGCTCTCGAGCAAGATGAGCAGGGGGCAAAGCAAGAGATGGTCAAATGGGGGAAATTGAAGCGCGAACTCGAGTTGCGGCGCCACGAAGTCGCTTTGCTCGAAGGACAGGTGACGGGCAGCAACGCCACGAGGATCATCTCCGAGGTAGCAGCTGCCAGGAAGACTATCGATGAGCTGCAAGCTGCACTGACAGCCGCTACAGGACGCCGAACAGACGCTACCGCTGAAGCTAAGCGTATTCAGAAGGAAATGGCGGAGTTCGAGAGCAACAAAGATTCTAAGATCGATGAGCTGAAGGCTGAAGTGAAGACTCTCAAGGCCGCTGTACAGAGACAGAGCTCCACTGTCAAGATTCGTCAGAATGAGGTCAGGACAATGGAACTTCAGCTGGAGGGAGCAGACAAGGAGATCGAAGAGGCTACGGATAGCCTGGAGGAGTTGCGGCGAGGTACTCAGACAGCGCAGGAGGACGTCCTCAGGGCGCAGAAAGACATCGACAGCATGCAGACTGAGTCAGACCAGACTGATGCCGCTTTGAAAAAGGAGCGGGCTGCGCTCTCGGCATTCGACGAGGGTAGACATGCACTAGAGACTGCCAGGAAGTCGAAGAAACAAGAGATCGCCGACACAGAGCTGGAGCTCAAGGAACTGAGGCATGACCTCGAGAAGGCCGAGCATGAAGTCACGCTTGTGGAGAAAACCATCAAGGCGATCGAGGGCCGATACGAATGGATTTTGCAGGAGCAGCGGCTCTTCGGTCACTCCGGAACGGCATACGACTTCCGCAAACACAACATGTCAGAAGTGCGCCGCATGTGCAAGAAGCTGGAGGAGCAGCACAGTGGCCTCAAGAAGAAGGTCAACACAAAGGTTATGAACATGATCGACTCTGTTGAGAAGAAGGAAAGCGAGCTGAAGTCCATGCTGTCTACTGTCTTGGGCGACAAGTCCAAGATCGAAGAGACGATTGGCGAGTTGGACAGGTACAAGCGGGACGCGTTGCAGACAACTTGGAACAAGGTCAACGGGTGAGTCGAAGAAATCCTTTGAGGCAAGGTAGATTTGTATCGCTGATGTGCCTTCGGGACCTGACCTGTGCTGTTCCTCAGTGACTTTGGGGACATCTTTGCCGAACTTCTGCCGGGAAACTATGCCAAGCTCCAGCCTCCCGAGGGTCAAGACGTGACCCAAGGGCTTGAGGTCAAAGTCCGTCTTGGCCAAGTTTGGAAGCAGTCCCTCACAGAGCTCTCAGGAGGACAACGCTCCCTGATAGCCCTCTCGCTAATCATGTCTCTGCTGCAGTTCAAGCCCGCACCAATGTATCTCCTGGATGAGATCGATGCTGCACTGGACCTGAGCCATACACAGCACATTGGTCAGCTCTTCAAGACGCGATTCAGTGGGAGCCAATTCATCGTCATTTCCCTCAAGGAGGGACTCTTCAACAACGCCAGTGTGATCTTCAGGGCGCGGTTCAGGGATGGCACCAGCATCGTTGAGAGGACCGCAAACGCCCTCGCCAGCATGAATGCCGCGAGTGGGAACGCCCGCTCGGCTCATAGGGGCGTATTGGCGCCTTTGTCGTCCTCGACGGCTACGCAGCCGCTCAGGAGCAGAGGTCCAGTCGCGGTCTGATGATGCCATACGGGTGAAGGTGTTCCTTCTGCAAAGCTACATGGTCAGTATTGTACCAATCCCCCTTGTAAAGTATGCCATTTGCTGCTCAGAACCTAATACATAATTTGCGCTTCGACGAGGTACTGTCTAGCGTTACGCTTCGACTCCGTTTCGCGAGCTAGCAGCTGCGTGTACTCTTTCGACCAACTGTCCTGGTCTTCACTTGGCTCCATCCTCTTCGTTCCATCGCTTGTCTCCTCTGTCACTTCTTCCGCTCCATGTTCTTGTCCTCCGTCTCCTTGCCTCGATGCTGAATCATGGTCGTTCTCTGCGGCCTCCTCAAACCTCGGCAGCTCGGAACCAAAATCGCGTCTGTGTCGCAGGATAGCTCGGACTTTGGACCTGATTGCCTTGCGTGGGACTTCGTCCCACGTCTTCCGATTAAAGGAGCGACAAAGGCGCTGCGCATCATCGCTGGTTCTCAAGCGGATGAGAAAAGTTGCGGTGGCGTCGGGGTCTTGGTTAGCTAGATCCAAGTCAATGTGATTCTGATCTACATTCCAGGTGTTGTTCCGGTTTCCGACAACACCATGGTCAGAATCTTCGCCTATGCTCCACTGACTAGGGCCAGCGGCTCTGTAGGCTGTGTATAGCCTCATTACTGGGTGCACCGCGATGCCGTCCCAGCTCTCTTTTGCTTTGTTGAAGCACCGTACGCGCCATCGTGCAGGCTCGACCAGCGCATAGGCTCGGGAAAGTCTGGCCTCGACGATGCTCGGGGGAACACCGGGTGGCAGACCTCGAAGAAGCACTAAGCGGCCAGGAGAAGCCGTGATGATGGCATTGAGAAGTTTGGATACCTGCTCACGATCGCCTGGCCTGATGTTGTACAAGGTCTGCATAGACCCCTGAGGCGTGGTCATGTCGACCACATTGTAGGTGATCAGGCGTTGCAGGTCTCGATCCTGGACGCGTGAGACCTTGATCGACCTTGCTGAAAGATATTTTCGCGAGAGATGCTCCTCGAGCTTAGAGCTGTGCTTATGATGTACTACTTTGATCAGAAATTTTCCGCTGCTTCGGAGCGAGGTAGGCTCATAACAAGGCCGCACTGTGTGCGCGTGAGGAGAGGTGGGTGTGTTACTGTTCTTGACTCGCACTTTGTCTTTCACGTTGCGAGTAGGACGCTGTCATCGAGCCTGCTCCATTACTTACCCTCTGCCACAAACCGTCTCAAGTTTACTTGGTCAGTATTTTCAGCTCGGACTGATGTTCTATCAACCACAGCATTCGAGTAGACATCCTGAGAAAGGAGCCGTAAGATATCGGATGGCAGGGCTGTCGAGGGAAGGCCACTGAGAAGTAGATGTCCCTGCGAGTAGTCGCTCGCGAACGGCTTTGGAAACTGCTGTGATGACTGTTCGGCCCTAGGCCGCAGGACAGTCAAGGTTGAGTTCGAACGAGTGATCGATCTGTTCAGAAGAAGAATTCAACCTTTTGCAGGAATGTCAGCTGATACTGGACTCTTGTAGAAGCCGAGGAACGAACAGAGCAACGGACGGCAGCAGCTTCTGTTGCAGTTGTTCTGCGCAGTCCGCGACATTGCTGTGGCCCTCGAGGATCTTTCGACGGATGTCAATTCGTTGACGTGGCCAGGGGTAGCACTTTGCACTTGGTCTGTTTCTCAAGTCTGTTGAGGATGTTGCGTCTCGTCAAGCATCTCTTTCATTATCTCTTCCAGAGCTGAGTTTGGGAAACTTCTTCGACTGGTCTAGGTATAGTTCCCCCATATGTTGAGTCGTGTAGTGGCTTTCCCTACATTGCGACGCAACCTGACTGTGGGAGTCAGGCGGCCTTGATATTGGGAGCAGCAAGGGGACCTCGATCTCGGACAGAGTGAAAGGTTGTGGCGGTGTCCTAGAGTGAGCAAAGCCGAAACACGATGTTCGTGATGCACTGCTGCTCAGCAACAGCAGGTGAGGAATGAACGCCTACTCGAGTATCTCATAGCGGAGTGCAGAGATGCCCCCTCATGGCCTTGAGCTCTCGTCTGCCCAAAGTGGTGGTGGTGGTGCTGCTGCTGCTGCTGCTGCTGCTGCCGCCCTTTGCAACGATGCCTGGAAGTGTCACTCACCTAGTCAGCTCTTGAGCAATGGTTGGCGCGCTGCGTAGCGCCCTCTGCGCCATGGTCAGTCGGCTGTATGGGCACTGCCCTGCTTCAGTGCCGGCTATGGGGAAGAGGAGCGACGGTGTGCAAGTCTGATTGATGTCCGATTTGCTGCACCGACTTTGAGCCCAGTGTGGAGCGTGGCTGCTTCCGCTTCTTCCTACGGATGCTACCAGGGCCATCCCCTCCCGCCTGTAGAATCCACTTGCTCGCCTCTCCAAGTGGGCAGCACGCAGCCTGCTCTACAGCATCATGGCAGACGTCGCTCAGATGGACCTCGACGATGCGGCCCAAGAAGATGGACTGACCGTCGATGAGCTTGGTGAGCATGCGAGCCCGATCCGTCCACTTGTCAGCAAGCAGAATGCTAACTCGCCTGGGCCACATTGACCCGTATGCACAGTCGCCTCATCCTCCTTGCCATCATCATCGGCGAACACCGCGGCGCTATTGGAGACCTTTGAGAATCGCAAGCTCTCGCGCTCTTTGGCGGTCCCCACAAATGACTCAGATGTGCGGCTCCGCCTGCGACACCTTGGCGAGCCTACCACATGTTTCGCAGAGGCAAAGGTGGACCGCAGAGAGAGACTACGCGAAGCACTGGTCAAGGAAAGACAGAAAAGACTCGAGCTTCGCCTGGCCAAGGGTGAAGAGGACGATGAAGGTCAGGAAGAAGATGTCAGGAGCGAAAGCGAGGAAGAAGGAGAGCAGGAAGAAGAATTCTTCACGGAGGGCACAGCAGACCTGTTAGCGGCTCGGAGGGACATAGCCTGGTATAGCTTGGCAAGAGCAAAGGCCAGGATAGGGATTCAGAGACACGAGGCAAAGGCATCTCTGTCTACCATAGTTGGCTCGCGACGGGCAGTCTTCGACCCTCTACGAGTGAGTAGCGCAGCATCTGCAGACCCGTTTGAATGAAGTGCAGCTGAATCTGGCCGGCTACATCCACATCCACAGCGTTTCACGTCTTTGGGCTCTCAGCCAGCGGACGAGCGTCCAATATCGGTAGTGCGCTTCTCTCCTGATGGCCAACAACTGGCAACTGGTTCTTGGTCTGGCGCACTCAAGCTGTGGAACGTTCCCAGCGCCTCTCACCGCAAAGATTTCAGGGGCCACACGGACAAGTTGGGGGGCGTAGCTTGGCATCCTCGGTCTACTCTTGGTCAATCATCTTCAGCGGTGAACCTTGTGTCAGGAGCAGCAGACAACAAAGTCTGTCTCTGGAGCCTAGAGAAGGATACACCGCTACACATTCTGGAAGGACATGCTGCCAGGGTCGCTCGGGTCGCTTTCCATCCCAGCGGCAACTACGTAGCGAGTGCATCATTCGATGGAACCTGGAGATTGTGGGATCTTGAAAAGCACAAGGAGCTCCTACTGCAAGAGGGTCACGCGAAAGAAGTCTATGCGGTCGAGTTTCAAGGTGACGGAGCGCTGTGTGCCAGCGGGTGAGCAGCTGCCCTTCTGAGCCAACGTACCGTTACATCCTCTGACCCCGCTCTGCTCCTTTCACTTGCTCCACAGCGGCCTCGATGCGATCGGACGCCTGTGGGACCTCCGCACCGGGCGCACTTCGATGGTCCTTGACGGACATGCTAAGGAGATACTTTCCATCGACTTTCATCCGAACGGCTATCAGGTCGCAACCGCTTCGGGGGATGATACAGTCCGCATCTGGGACTTGCGAACTCTCTCTTCTATCTACACTATTCCAGCCCACCAGTCATCCGTGGCAGACGTCCGCTTCTTCAAGGGCCGGGACAGAGTTGTGGACAAGATGCTGCAGACGAAAGGAGGCCGCAACGGCGTCAAGCTGGAGCAGGCGGATGCAGTGGTGCAGGAGCAGGAACTGAAGCGAAATCCCGAGTTGAAGCTTTCTACTTCCGGCATGTATCTTGCTACGGCTGGCTATGATGGCTTGTTGAAGATTTGGAGCGCCGACGACTGGCAGCTGCTGAGGAGCTTGAGCGGTGATAATGGCAAGGTGATGAGCTGTGATGTCCACCCAGGTGAGAAGATCTCAGAAGACGATTTTTGACCGGGACTCAGCTGACCAATCTCCCCTGCTTCTTCTCATCGGCTCTACAGATGGCCAGTTTCTTGCTAGTGGAGACTGGGGAAGAACATTCAAGGTGAGTGTGGCAAAGGCGGACAGCAGTCTTGGCACACGGCCTAACATCATTTCTCTACTCCTGCCCAACCTTACCACAGCTCTGGGGGGCCCTGTGAGCAAGTCAGTAGCAACTCAGTAGACTTCTTCTTTGGGTGAGGCTGAGGAGTCCCTGCTTCACCACACGACGTCATCACAATACCCTCTGCGCCCAGATGAAGATATCGTATTGCGCCGTCAATGTAATTTGGCTGTGAGAGACACTGCAATCACAACAATACTGCCGCAAGCCTAGACCGCGCTCGAGGAAATGAAGAAAGACTTCTGAACCGATGGGTCGATGGGGGCAGGTGGGAGAGGGTTAGCCTGCGGAACAGCTGCAGAAAGAGTTGACGCATCGGCGAGTCCCTTCGACCCTTGGACCGTGGAGTTAACAATGCTGACCTCTCCGGCGTCAACTTGTCCAGTGATGAGTCTCTTCCATGCCTCATGGCATTCGTGTACGACCTCGGTAGCGTACTTCTTGTTCTTTGCCTCTCCGGAGAAGGCGAATTGGTTCTCGGGCTTTCCGTCTGGGATCTTGTAAATTCGGAACCACTCGTTAGTGGCTCGGATCAGACCAGGTAGGTGGCGCTCGACGTCCTCGATGTCATTCAGCTTCGAGGCCAGAGGGTCATTGATGTCGACGACGATGATCTTCCAATCGGTCTCACCTGTAGGGGATGGAGTAGAGAAGCAACGACAGAAATTGATAAGGTGCCCTTGGGACGACGAAGGGTAGCAAGGCCTGTAGGCTTTCCCGCCGCCAATACTCACCCTCGTCGAGGAGAGCCATGACCCCGAGGACCTTGACTTGCTTGATCTGACCAGGGTACGCAACCTGCTCTCCGATCTCACAAACGTCGAGTGGGTCATTGTCTCCCTTGGCTTTGGTGTCGGGGTGGGTGTGGTTGGGGTCCTCCCACGTCTACGGTGATGGAGCAGCAGAAGAGGTGAGTTACAGGAGGGCGGTGACGTTAGGTGCTTCTCCCACAAGAAGATACGATTTACAGCTCTGCTGCGCCAGCCACGTACCTGAGGAAAGGCTCCGTAATTCCAGATGTAGCCGTGGTGCGGGAAGCAGTTGCGGACGAATCTGAGCTTTCCCTTCTTGATATCCTGCTTGACAGGGTTGAAGGGTTCCTCCTTTGAAATCTCCTGCTTGGCATTGGTCCACCTGGGAATCTCGACGAACATGTTCAGAATGGTCTTCTCCTCGTTGGCGAAGAGGGGCACATCGTGAAAGGGAGATGCCGGCTGGCCGGTCTTGGTGTTTTCGAGGTAAACTCGGTATTCCAGAGTATACTGTGCGCCCACCTGGCGAGTCTTGAAGTCGGCTGCAGTCGTAGTCATCGTTGGCAGAATGACTTTGGAAGCGAGATGTCTACCTTGTTGTGCTAAACGAGTGAGGGGTGAGGACATGAGGATCGCAAGGAAGAAGAAGAGGCGGCACGCTCGCTGTGCCATGCCACGCCTTGGCTGCCATCACACCCGGTCTGCCGCGGATCAACTCAGAGGCGGGGCCGGACCTGCCGCGCGACACGGAAAGGGGCGGCGAGTGGCGCCCGCCTTGGTCTGAGTCGGAACAAGGTACTCACACGCTCAGGCCAAGAGCAACATCCCTCACCACCTCCCACCTCCGGCAAGCCTCGCTCCCCTCACTGGTTGGCCCACTTCGATCGCAGAGGAGTCCTGGCGAGGTGCAGAGCGCCGCAGGATACCCAATCGCGAGGTCGCTTCACCCTCTTTCCGGCTTCAATCTTCCTCGTGTTCACCGTACCTCATGTTCACTCCCATGTCGGCGGGCGCCGATGAGTGGCCTACAATGCAGAGGCCTGCCTCGTCGTCGGCTCACAAGCACCCGACCGTGCTGGAGATCAATCAGCAGCTCTCTCGTGGCGCTTTCGCAGCTGGGAAGCCCTCGTCTGATGCTTCAGCCCGGCAGCTTCGGTCCCCAGCTTCGGCCTCTGGAAGCCTCAAGGTTGGTCACTTCATGGGTTGGAAGGGCAAAGGTAAGCAGAAGGACAGCAGCACTCAACCAACATCTCTGAGGGGGGCTCAGTCACACACCAAAACCTCCTCTGGAAAGACATCCAGACCTCCAGGAGCCACATCACTTGAGGCCGTTGGTTGGAATCAGCAAGGGCTGCTCTCGGAGACGAAACCCCTCTTATCGCCAGCTGGAGAAGGTGCCGTTCGAGATCGCGAAGGTAGGCGAGCCACAGCCAGGTATCTTCGGCATCTACGCCTGCCACCCTCGTCAGCAGTTGCGATAGTCCCTCCCAAGGCTCGCTTCGAATCTATCACCCAGTCGACCTCGGTCGAAAATCTCCTTGTACACTCGTCCTCTGGCCAGAGCCTTGGCAGTCGCGCATTTGCAGAGGCCGCCAAGGAGAGACCTTGGTACATGGAGTTCTTCAGACCCACGGTGCAGAGAGTCGAGAAATGGGTCGATTCATGGTCGGGCAGACATGGTGTCCTCGTCGTCTTTCCTAGCGTCATCGTAAGTGGTGATCGACAGATTTCTGAAGTGCCTGAGACGATTTGCAAATCTGACCCCTCACTCATGCTCTGCCAATCCAGGTGTGGTTCTGGTGCGCTGTTCCTTTTCCTCGCAGCAATCCTAGTGGTGTGGGCCGAGCTTGGTGTGATGAGTCGGACGGGGCATCATGGTGCACAGGTCGTCTACACGAGGCACCTTGGAGCGGCCCTATTACCCCAGGATCTCACCATGAGGACGTAGATGCCAATTTTTGGTTCTTTCTTCTCTTCTACTACGGCCTGTATGTCGCCGTGGCCCTTATATACATAGTGAGAACCGTCAATGAACCCTATTCCTTTCACCGGGGATGAGACAGGTCTGACTCCCATTCTCTGGTGCTGTATGCTCTCCTGCCCTGCAGACCCAACTCTTCTCTCTATACCGACTCAATTGGTGGCCCTCTGCTTTAGGAGCCAAAACCAGCTATACCATTTTCTGGCTTCTGTCCATTGCATGCGGATATCTCCTTCATCGCCTCAATATTGATACCGTGACGGCTGGCCCTGGTAGCCCTCGCCCAGGCGATGCAAAGGAGCCATCAGAACTTCTGTCCGTCTCCTGTGTTCACAAGAGCCTTGCTACAATGGTGCAATTTTTCTCGGCTCAGTCGACCCACCTTGCGACTACATACATCAACAATCTTTACCAAGTCGCATGCGGTGCTTCAATCCTTGCCAGCCCATACATGATAGAGGCGAACCTGCGGAGCGGATCTATCGATGCGGAAGATGGTAATGACGACGACGATGTACAGTGGCAGCGAAAAACGCTCTGGGTAGCATTGGCCTTTGCGACAATGTCGATGCCGGCTATTGTCTGCCTGATTGGCCTTCGGCGCTCTGGTCGTCAGACGTATCGTCATTCCCTGACGGACATGCAAAAGACCTTCTTGGAACGGCAGCTGGCCCGGAGAATTCCAGCGTCATACATACGCTTCCTCTGGTTCGTCGCTACAATTGGTCTGAGTTTGGTGGCCCTTCTTGCTGGACAGGGGTACGCTAGCGTCTACTTGAGCACCTTGCCTCATACCGGGTTCGATGGTACGGCGTACGTCACTTTTTGGATGATTACAGTGAATCTCTTGTCCTTGATGAGCGGCTGGATACTCGAAGAGAAGATCAGAAGCAGAGCTTTGCTTTTTGCGAACAAGTATTACTACTTCCTTGTGAGTAAAGGCCGGAAGGGGCTGCTGTTGTCAGCATGTGATCTCAGATGTCCTCACCTCCCTTCTCCGAGCCTGCCAGGTCTACTTCATCTTCTACCGGAATCTCTTTGCTCGCCTGAGATCCTTCGACCAATTCGCTCTGGTGCAGCTGTTCTCCTCTGTGTGGGTCTGCATCTTCTACCCTTTAAGCATGACTTCACTCGCGCACCGCATCACTCAATACTTCAACCCTCGCCCCAAGTCCTGGGAGGAGTACGTCGAGTCCATCGGTCTAGCGATTTACCTTCGCAATCTTGCGCAGAATGTGACAATGGTCGCTTTTCTCGGATGGGTGTCCATCCTACACTTTGGAGGAAACCACTCTCTGTACCCCTTTTTCGCCTTTGCGGACCGTGGAGACCCGTACAATTACCAGCTCACGATGCTCGGGTCAGGAGCCATCTGGGCCTCAGAATTGATCACAAGCTTCGTTGCACGCGCAACATGCAAAGCTGCTCTAGGCGTGGATGTGACGAATCTGGGACTGGACGAGTTTAGAGAATTTCCAGAATTGCTGGCTACGTGTGTGTGGACAAGCGTGCACGTTTTGATGGATATGCTGTTGTTCCTCATTAAGCTTAATTTCAGGTAGACGCGCTTTGAAGCGACATGATGAAACATGGCTACATGCGCCCCTTCCTTTTGCTATCTTCGATCAAGATGTCTATCGCGGCGCTGTAGGCACTACGTGTGTGGGCAGAGCAGCAGGAATGCATGCGCAGACAAGAGACGAATGCAGTGAGCTGCGTGGCTCAAGCTCGCTTCTCGGACGCAAGTCGTGAGGGATCGACTTTGAGCCAAGCACGCAGCGGGTAAGTCTTGCCCCGGTATGCAAAGCGCCTTTCGTCCTGCTCGGGGATCTTCGCTACGTCAACAGAGCGGATCCGTCTCGACATGCTTGCGTAGGCGTCGCCAATGGCACAGCTGGAATGGATAGGAGAAGTCAGACCTTCGAAGCTGGCGAAAGAGGGGACGACGCTTGAAGGACGTCGAACAGGAGAGAAGCACGAGTAGACGGCGCCTGGCGTCGGGCCGAGTAGTAAAAGCTTCAGCTCTGAAGACGTAAAGCGGCCGAGGGGGGACTGAGCGACCGTCTGGACACACACCACCTTCGTCCCGTAGTGCAGCCGCTGTCGAGCACTTGTCCGTCTCAAGGAACGTAGCAGATGTCGGAACCTGCTTATCGTTGCTGCAACTCCACCGCCGATCCCAAGAGACGGTCAGCCACTACCTGACTTGCAGATCCCAGAGGGCACGCTTTCGCCAAAGGAAGCAAAGAACGTACCATCGAAGCAGCAATGTATTTCTCATTTACAGGACTCGAAGGAAGCTGATGGGTCCCTAGCTGATCACAAAGCCACAGCACCTCGAACCAAAGCTTACTCAAGTGACCGAATAGCTGTCTGCCGACAAAACCTGCTGTGATGACCAGGACACAGTGTCCCCACTTGCGGAAGAGATGCTCTCGACCTGTAGAATCGTTCAACACGTCAGTCCAGACATAAGATGGTCAGCAATCTAGAGCTCTAGTCGAAGCCACTCTAGCCTCTGGACTGACCTTCGTTGCACTGAGCGTCTGCTCGCTGACAAAATTCACGTTGACAGGAAAGAAAACGTCGGCCGCTTCCGCACCCTGGCTGACAGTGAATTCAAGACTGCCACTCGAATTGGCAGCATCAACCTGATCTATCGTCCAAAGGAGCAACCCGCTCTCTTCGTCCACACTGTACCCCCCGACAGCAGCCTCGGCGGTGAGGTCCTGCCCAGCTCCCTCTGGCAAGGGGATAGCGATGACCACGTTCCGCATCACTAAATCTTTGGCTTCCAGCTCGAATTCGACATTGACCTCTCCCGTCCCGTCGCCGCTGACTGAAGGCCAGCATGAGATGCTCAGGGGCACCAGACTTTCGTCCTTTGATGTAAGACGCCATCTGAGGACACCGAGGTTCTGATTGACGGGAAAAGGGCGATTGACATCCTTGAGCGTAATGAGTCTGGATGCACTCCACACAGCTTTATCAACGTGTGGGTGAGTCTTGTATTGAAGCTCGCCAGCGTCAGCAAGGTAGGAGGAGCTAGAAGGCTCCGAGAGCTGCAGTCGTACTTTGGCGAAGGCTGGGTCGGTGATCTTGAGCTCCAAGTCTCCCTTCACCTCTAAAGAAGATAGGGAGCCGTCGCGCGTGGCCGCAATGGAGACACGCTCCTTGATAGTCACATGGATTGCCTCCTCTTGCACAGGAGGAAGAGAATCGAGAGGAGCAGTAGGCACAGCATTTGAGGCGGCGGCTGAGGAACGCGCGAGACGATGGGAGGGGGCGGCTGCAGCTTCCTCCCGGCTGGCGGATTCGGGAGTCAGTGCCCCGAGCAGGTCCGTACCTCGAGCCTTCTTACCAAGCTGCATACCTTTTCCCTTAAAGGGTCTCAACGCTGGGGCAGCACTGCGATAAGGGTAAATTTGTTGGTAGCACGATCAGTCAAGGAAGTCGAGAGGCAGTCGGACTATGCGACAAAACTCACTCTGCACCTGTATCTCGCACAACTGGCGCCGCAACAGTGGGCGACTCGTAGCCTCTCGAGAGAGCAGAATAGCCTGAAGAACCCATGCTTCCCATACCACCGTAAGAAGGATTGCCGACTGGGCCCCTCCTTGTAGCGTCTCTCCTCTGAACCTCGAGCTGCTTTGCCCTCCTCTTTAGCTCCTCCTTGGCTTCCAGCTCCTTGTTCCTCTCAATGATCTCCTGGATTTTCTCTTCGTGACTGTCCATCTCTAGAATAGTTCTGACTTGAGGAAGACTAACATTCTCGCGATAGCCGAAACTGACAATCTCGTCGAAAGCTCCGAGGAGCTCGAAGCTGTTGCGAAGGATGTCCCTTTCATCCAGAGATCTGCAGAGGTCGCTCACTACCCTGGCGAAGAGGTGCAGAGTATCAATGTCTTGCAAGATGTTCGAGCTCTTGTTGGTGATGAGTATCATGTAGAGATCTTCTAAAGGCTGGTACACGTATCTCACATGCTCGGTCTCGATTGTAGTATGCTGTGACCCGGTTGGTAGAAGCTTTGGGAACGAGGAGAGGAGACTCTCGACTCGCGATCGTGACATCTCTTTGAATTGACGGGAGATGACGGGCTTCCCGCCACGAGTACAGACGGAGGCGGCAAGTAGGACCATATCGCAGAGGTGCTAGGGAGTCGAGGTGTACGCAACATGCAAAGTCGCGAAGGCGGCCGGTATTGTTCGCTGAGACTGGACCAGGCGAGAGCAACACCCAGCTGGCTTGACTTGGCCAGAGTCCAGTCGAGCTCGGAGCCGAGCGCGCGAGGTCGCCCGATCGATTGATCATCTGGACGGCTACTTCCGGTCGCTACTAGCTTTCCCCAATACCTTCGATATCAAGCCCCTTCCACTCCTGTCAAAGCACTTCATGACGACCATACCAGCACGCCTGGCCCATCGGACCCAAGTCTCCAAGAGTCTCACAGAGGCGTACGCTCGCTCCAGGGCTCTGTATCGAGACTATTATCGATCAGCACCAGAGATCTGCGCCTTGTACGCCCTCGACGTACCACCATCTACCCTACGAGCAAAGTTCAGGACGAAGTTCGAGGCCAACAATAAGATCAGAGATCTTGCAGTTCTAGACCTCTTACTTTTCAAGGGCAGGATCGAGTATCAGGAAACTATGAACGCTTGGAAGCAGGTTCCTCATATCATGAAGTGGTTCACTGAGGAGGAGGTGAGTCATCTGTGCTGACATGTAGCTCTTCTAAATCCACGAGGATACGGAGGAGAGCGCACCCGGCATTGCCATATGACGACACATTGAGGATCCATAGAACAGCCGGGTGGCTTGCCAGACACATTCAATTCAAGAAGTATTGCTGACGAGTGCCCGTCTTCCTCTTCTCTCTTCTCTACGCAATCCTCACTTCGCTTGTCTCTCTGAAGGCGGCCCGTGAGTATGAGTATGAGCATTTTCCTGACCCTCACCAGCGCCTCGTCAATCGTTCTGACATCCTACTTCCAACCGACATACACTGCACCCACTGACAGCCCGACCTGAGACATTTCTTGAAAGATTCTACGCATCAAGGGACGAAGGCAGGGGCAATACACTCGGGGGCTGATGCCTCGAATTGGCCTCCATGCAGTGACATACGTGCTGCTCTACGAAATTTGCAATGCATGCGTGTGTCGATGGCTCCACGCCTCGTGCTCTCCAGTGACGAAGCTGCAGGTACGGCGACTTTGAGGTGTATGAAAGACTCAATTGCACTGTTTGCATTCCTCTAAGAATTGATGTGGTAGTATAGAGCAGTACTCAGATATATTGCCATCGAGAAGGACAGACGGCACTCGAGCGGAGCAGTACATCTACCTTTGGCCTTTTCAGTGAATTGAGCCGTTAACTGTCGTGCGTGGCATCACTTTCGCGGGCGCCCTCATGCCCGCTTCTTTCTCCCCACCTAAGGCAACAGTGTCATTACTGTCACCGTGAGCATCAACACCGCCGACGTGGTCTTCATCAAAGTCGTTTTTTCCGTCCTCGTAACACCAGTGTTCTGCTCCCGTAAATAAGTGTCCACGCCCATTGCGTTGCAGTAGGTATTGCCGAAAGCATCCTGAGCGATATACCTCAGAGGCCCGCCCCATCTGGCCATGTCGCTTCCGGCTCCTCCATTCTCCCCGGCTCCAAGCCCATTAGCTCCAGCGTCCGCAAAGGTGCCATAATCATGCTGCGCAGTGATGTCCCACCGGGGGCATGTCCAGCTCAGCAGGGGACCCGGGCAGTTCCTCTGGACGAACAGGCACGTATATAGACATGGTAATACTTCACCATACGGGCCATCGACATCCAGCTGATTGTCTATGTACGATTGTCGGGTGTCAGAAACGTTGCGATTGAGGACATAAGGCAGAAGTTCTGTATTGGATCCAACAGAGCGGCCCGTCAATGAGTCCACATCAGAGATAGCAGCTGAGCCATTCGATTGCGACTCCACTGGATCTGTACATCGAGGCATGGCGATTGCGCAGAGCCAATCTCTGTAGCTATTGAGGCAGTTTGTGCATGACTGGACGGTAGAATACTGTCCGAAGTAAGTGTCGTTACAGGACCACGTCGACAAGGTCTTCGAGAAGTTGGCGAGATTGGGTGTGACGGTCTCGTTGATGATGTTGAGAGCGTCTTCCGTTGCTACAACAGGGTCAAGCGGGATGGAGTATGCCACCTCAGGACAGAAGTCGATGTCCCAGACGAGTCTGCAGACCCCAGCTGCCGGACGAGGACGGTGAAGAGGTCAGCATGGTCTATCAAGGGCAAGTAGGGAGAGACGCAAGCGATTCGCTCATGAACATTGCATTCCGGCATCAATGCTTACCTTGCTTCGTCTTGAACTTGATAGCAGGGTACAGCGCTACGCTTGAGACATTACTATCACTGGAATTAACATTGAGAAGCCATGCGGTATAGTTGCTCGTAGAATCCAAGTTTCCAATTTCGAATTGCATCCTCTGATCGTTGCCTTGCCAAGATTGAGTCCGGCCACGAGTAGTCTCACTAGATGTGATTACAGGACGTTCCGAGGAGGCCGCATAAGTATTCCAGGCGTCGGCTATGGCACAGAAGGACGAGTTGTAATATGTAGAGGGCAGCGCATAGTCGCCAACGCTTGGCAGAACCATGAGTGAAACGTTGGGCGATTGACCGGCAGTATAGTTGAAGGTAGTGACCAACGCTCGGCTGCTGTCTGTGTCCTCCAGGAGAATGCCATACTGACTGTGGAGCTGCTGCTGAGGTGCTGAAGACGTCAATGACGAGGGTGACAGATGAGTGTCGAGCAGTCAGCAAGATTGGTACTGACTTCGCTTGACCAACAATGCTCCGCGCGTACTAACCTCCCGGGTTGACGAGCACTTCGATCTCAAAGGCTCCAGTCTCTCCCCAGGCCTCTTCGGGTGGCCAGATAGCCACCCAGACTTCCTCGATCGTCTCGCTTCCTTCTTCATTGAGTCTGATTTGAGCTAAGCCGCCTCTGGCGTAGACCATATCGGCAATGTCACTCGAATCTGGGCCGGGTCTTGGGTTGTTTGCGTTGATGCTTACGTAGACCCTAACCAGTGATGACTCTTCCAGTGCAGCTCGATCCGAGGAAGAGGCATTCTCAGCAATCGGCGGTGCAATGCCTCTCGTCGGTCCATTGCAGAGCGAGACAGCGACGTTGATCGGCTCGCCCTGGTCCACCTCTGACAGTGGCAGAGTGAACAGGGCAGGCGTAGCGCCGTCACTTGAGATGTTGAGGACGGATCTTACGGCCACAGAGCTCGTCAGAGCGTAGGGAGCAATCTGTGTAGCAACGACTGGACTTGCTTTACCATCGGCAGCCAACTCTGTGTACGTTGAGACCTGCGCGTGTGCGGTAGAGGACGAAACGATTGCACCACTGCAGATGAGACTGACGATGAGGCAGCGTACGGCAGTACGCAGATCACAGCGGACCCTCTGTGACGCGGGCCCTGAGGTAAAGCCTTGCATACGTAGCATGATCAGCGGTCAGCCTGATCACAAGTAAGACACCCTTTCTAGAGCGCAGAGCAATTACTGTGTTAGAGTCAGTGTTGGCATTCTGATCCGTCGAATTTGCTGCGCTGAGGCTGAGTGGTTTCTGCTGCTGAGTCTCAGACGTTTGAAGCTCCGTACTGGGATCGTCTTTGAACGGTGTAGGTCGTTGCGTTCCAGCTCAGGGCGAGACGCTAGTCTGTGTTGGATGATCAGACAGAGGACGAGGACGTATGGTCTAACGACTTAGGTGCTCCCTTAGTCTACGTCCATCTCGTTTCCGCACTGCAGCACGAGATTGAAGTCGGAACGGATCGATATGTATCGGAACGGCACGGAGGAGAGATAGACATCATCTGTCATGAAAAGGAGAATGAAGGGCAAGTAGCAGCAGGCAGCTAATCAATGGGTACATGAAGCGCTGGATGACAAACAAATTTGAGTTGTCTACTGGAGGAGAGGGTCTCTGAAATGTTTCTGACTGTTATGGACGAAGGCCACCCTGGTCATGTACTGCTCTCGCTTTTGTGAATCACGGAACTCTCTGATGTGCCTCTTCGCTTCGCGCGCCTCTCCTCGATTGCGAGCTTTGACTTCTCCGCCGTTGCGATCCTTGACGGTGAGAGCCGAATTGCGACCATTGGCCCGGCCTGAATCGATCAAGCGGCGAGCCACTGTTCCACCGCTGGTACCAACCGAAGCGGGAGTGCTGAAAAGGGTCTGTCTGTAGTACCGAGCGAGAGAGCGATGGCCCAGACGAGCTCCAGACGGCAGCACCAGTTCCAATTCAGAATCGCCATAATGAAGCGGTCTCGCGGCTTCGTATTCTGATTCGCCATCATCATCCGAAGGCGTATCCCCAGCGCCACTAGCCATCTCCACGTCTTCCCACTCTGATCCATCATCGTCCCTCGCCACCTCTGCGCCTTGTGACCCAGCCGCTTGGTAGTCGGGGTAAGAACTCGAGAAGTCGTAGAAGTCAGACAATTCGAGTTGGTCTTGCTCCCGTTCGTAAGCGACCTTGCAGTGGCTCTTGTCCACCATATGTTTTTGGGCAGCCTCGGCAGAGTTGAAGCCCCGGCCACGGCCATTGCAGTAGAGGCACAAGTGGCCCACTGAGACCTTGTCCGCAAGGTATTGTACGAGACCGGAAAGGTCGATCAGAAAAGGCCGTTCGGGAAGGAAGAAGCCGTGCTTGACCTGCATGTGCTCCAGAGTGTTCGCAAGTGAGGCGAAGCCGCTTAAGCGGCAGAAGATGCACTGGTCCGAGGGGTCGATGCGAGCGGAAGAGGCCAGACGAGCTGCAATCGCAGCTTCGACCTCGGCCTCGGAAGCATCGTCTGCTACCAACAGAGATGTAGGGGTCGTCAGAGGCGGATCGTGTCCTAAGACAGAGGGTCCGGCAACCTTGGCTTCAACTTTGTCATCTGTGTCACGCTGCACGGCCCCTGTGAGACCGATGCTCTGCTGGTGAGGCTGCTCTTGAGGAGCTTGTAATGTCGAAGCCGCAGGAGCAGGAACTCGAAAGACGAGTGAAGCGCTAGGCGCAGTAGAGGTAGCGGATGAGAGGGGCGATTGTTGGCGGTGTATGTTCAGGTGGTTCTTTGCGGCCGTGCCCTTGTGTTTGCGTGACTTCAGATGAGTAGTGAGGGCATTGTCGGAAGCAAAAGACTTTGCACAGTCCTGACACCTGAACCTTTGCGCAGAAGCTTGCAATTGTTGCTCTTCCTGGTCACGAAGCGGGATGCTGTCCCTTTGCTGTACCTTCTGCTGAAAAGCATCTTGACGGACGGGTGGTAGGCCAGCGACTTGTCTCTTCATGTTGTAGCGATGCAAGTCTGACCTATAGTGGGTCCTCTGATCGAGGGGAGAGTGGAAGCCGACCAGACAGGACATGCAGGTGTAGAGGGCTTGGTGACCAGAGTCGGCCGTGCCGAAGGCCGTGGTGGTGGCCATGGTGGGAGAGTGAGTGAGTGGTGGTCGTATGCAGCGAGGGTGACGGCCTTGTCAAGTGGCGGGTATGCGATTGAGTACGAACAGGTGGTGGTGATATTGGTGGTGGTGGTGGTGGTGGTGCTGGTGCTGCTGGTGGTGGTGGTGGTGGTGGTGCTGGTGCTGGCGCTGCTGGTGCTGGTGCTGCTGATGGCGGTGAGAGACAGGCGGTGGAGGTCGTGGTGATTGTGTCACTCGTCGAGGCAAATTTCCGTCCTTCGTCTGCCTAAACTCCGTCGGAAGGAGCCGAGGCGGGAGTGGCAGGGCAGAGGCAGGGGCGGGCCAAGGCAGGCGCGGCGCAGCAGAGAGCCAGGGCCAAAGTCTGGCCAAGGCGCCGCGCGCAATGCTGCGCCCTCTTCCCATGGAACGTCGGCCTGGCCTGCCCCCGTGCAATTTCCACACGACGATCATCTTCCTGTCGCCCGTCCACTCGCTGCACCTCAAACACCACACACCTCATCATGTTAGTATCACCACCGGTAAGACAATACTCAGCAGCCATCAGGTCCCTCGCCGTATCCCACCAGCGGACAACGAGCGTTGGACAGGGTCTGCACTCGCTTCGGTCCTACCACGCCCTATCCACCTTGAGCCCTCACGGCATTCGTACATCTGGGCGCGGATGACGACGATTGCAGTCAGCATCCGCCCATGTCCCGCCTTGCGCAGATTGCGGCGGCGCTTGGCTGCTGGATGCAATCACTGCCGCCTCGCAAACAAGGCTCTTGACGTAGGCGAAATCACTTCCTGTTCTAGCTTGCACCTCTGACATGCCCTTCTCGTCCCTTGCCATCACCCATGTCGCTACAGGCCCCGAGCTCCCAGGAAGCAATCGAAGACCTTCAAGGTCCCCCGAAGGCCTTTCGAGTCTAGTCGTCTCGATTCGGAACTCAAATTGGCAGGAGAGTACGGGCTCCGATCTAAGAAGGAGATCTGGCGAGTCGCACTCGTTCTTTCCAAGATCCGAAGAGCTGCCCGTGAGCTCCTTAAGCTCGAGGAGAAAGACCCCAAGCGACTGTTCGAAGGAAATGCCATCATTCGACGTCTCGTACGAATCGGTGTCTTGGACGAGACCAGGATGAGGTGAGTCGCGTGGCTAGTAAGCAGAGCATTAGTCGCTCCGCTCCTGGCGGCACGCATTCAAAGCAAGTCTTCACTGCAGACCATTGCTGACTGTTACTGACTGTTTCGCTGCTGCACCGCCCCGTCTTCTCATCTCGTGCTCAGATTGGACTATGTACTGGCACTGAAACTCGAGGATTTCTTGGAGCGCCGTCTCCAGACTCAGGTCTTCAAGTCTGGACTCGCAAAGTCAATCCACCACGCCCGAGTACTGATCTACCAGCGTCACATTCGAGTCGGCAAGCAGATTGTCAACGTTCCATCTTTCATCGTCCGATTGGACTCGCAGAAGCACATTGATTTCGCCCTCACCTCGCCATACGGTGGCGGCCGACCTGGACGCGTCAAGAGGAAGAGGGCAAAGGCTGCTGAGGGAGGTGCTGGCGGTGACGGTGGTGACGACGAAGAAGAGGAGTAGAGAGGTCACCTCGGGCTACTGTTCAGCATCAGGCATTGACGACAGACGACACCAACTCTCCAGACGGTCGATCCGGTTGCCGCCTTGACCTTCCTCGCTCTGCTCTACAATTCATCGACAATTCATGTACATCATCACCCTTTTGCCGAGCTATCTTCATACATTCTTTTTCCGAAAGAATCGATTGCGCTGACTGTCACACCTCCACCCGGACGAAATGGATTCCATTGACAAGGCTGGTCGCCAGAAGAGACGGACATGGCTGAATCGTTTGCTTCTATTATACAACGAGTCGGGACGGTCGTGTCGGATAGGCTTTCAGTGACAACGACGTCAGGCACCTGGCTTGGTCTCCTCCCCGTCTCGCAGATGTGTCAATTTTTGCACCTTCGCGTTCTGTCCCACACTCTCGTCATCATGATCTCTTTTGCCGGTCAACTGCCCAAGGGTATGCTCCAGCGCATTCGACTCGCTCTCTTCAAAAATGTTTCCCTCTTCGCTACCAGAAGAAACACGCTCTCGTTCTCCTATCAGCGGAGAAACCTGCGTGCGCAAGGGCTCTTCGTCAGTTGCGGAGGGTAAGTGGGTCTGGGCGATTCCAGTACCACCACCCATTGGCCCAACAGTAGCAACAGCTGCTGCCAAGCGGACGGCGTCAACGTTGTCGATCATAGCTGTCCTCACGGCCTCGTCTTCTGCAGAAGAGTTCCCCTCTCGAGGTGCAATCGCTGCAGTAGTGATGGTGTCCGATGTGGAGGAGGACGCGTTGCCGCCATCACCATGGGCTTTAAGGGTGACAGGGGGCGCTTGTTGCTCCTCGTGCTCTACCTCAGGACTCTGTCCTGCGTCCCGTTGTGACTGATGCTGCTCCGCAGTACTTGAGTGATGATTATGCGATCCCCAGTCACGAACAATTTCCTCTGTTCCGGGAATGCTTTCTGCCTCTTTTCCCAGAGCTTCCCTGAGTCTCTCCACTTCTGCCCTGGTAGCCTCGAGCTGAACCTGACCATCGTGTAGTGCTTGATCCATGAGGAGCTTCTCCAAGGTCCACTTCTCGATGTTGGAGGCTTCGCTGTTCTTGAGCTCACGGATGTAAGCGGCAGCACGGAGGATGATGTCACCTTTGTTGACTCCCTTGTCATTACAATCGGGGACAAGAGACTGCAACTCGCCGATCGCTGAATTGATGCCAGCACGACGCTTACGCTCAACCTCCTTGTGCAGATCCTTCCTCTGCCGCTCCGTCTCCGGCGTTTCTGGGCCACCGACCGCTGCGGCCTTTCCCTTTCTTGACCTGGCTCTTCCCGACGATCCGGAGGCATGCGCGTTGTCCTCGTCTCCAAGCTCATCCGTGTGGCTTCGGATAGACCGGCGCTCAGGAGATCCGTACCCTCGGGTGCGCTCTGAGAGTGCCGCAACGTCACCATCGTGCCCATGAGCTGACAGATCATCCATGGCTGTGATCGCAGCTGCAGTAGCTACCTTGTGGTGATGAGGTAAGTACTGCTGTTGACGATCATTAGAAGAGGGATGCCGCATGGATTGGCTACTCTGACCGCCTTGGTGTTCGGCAAGGATCATACTAGTGGTGTGCGTAGGATCCGCACCTTCGCCCTGCGCCTCTCCCGATGCACTGTCGACGCCGGCGCCATTCTCCGTCGAGCGGCTTGAATATCGGTCTAAAGCATGAGCTGCAGCATCGTGATTGGGCAGGTGAGGCATCCGTGCAAAGACTTGTCTAGCTTGTTCGTACATGCTTCTCTGCTCCTCCTCCGTAGCTATGTCGGAGGGGTGGGGTGGTATTGCAGGAGTCATACAACCAGGACAATGTTAGCTGCATTGATGCTGAGGTACAGCGTGAGTCGTGCTCACTTACGTTGGGCGTTAGTGCTGGCATGGCTCTTGACATTGTTTGTAGCCCCCCTCTAGTGATCGGAGACGTCAGCGTGAGTCAGCGCAAGAGTCGCAGCCGGATCATCCTCTTCGGGCGCGATTGGGTCGTCTCAGAATACTCACTGCTGCTTCCAATATCTTTGCTAGCTGATCTGGGACGCCCCATAGCGCCGTTTGTTCCTGATGAGGCTCGGCGCTTCCTTGGTCAGCAGGTTGGTCAAGATCTGCAGTGGGCTCTCGGGAGCGGTCATGTTGAGGATGCCGTTCTTCGTTCTGCTCTTGGCCACTGGTGGGCTGGTGATGGTGGCCTGGCTCTTGCTGCTGCTGATGCTGCTGCTGATGCTGATGCTGATGCTGATGCTGATGCTCTTGCTCTTGCTCTTGCTCTTGCTCTTGCTGATGCTCTCGCTCTTGCTCTTGCTCCCCGTCTTGCTCCTCCGGATGGTTATGGTCGTGATGTTGGTGGTGTTGATGAGATTGTGAGTGCGGGAGTGTTTGCCCCTCGGAAGGATCCGACATCCTGTTCGTGGCGATCACGAGTGGAAGCACACATCCCCCACACGAAGCAGTCACGAGTCGTCGAAGGTGATCAGCCAGACATTCTTCCGTTCCGGCGCGCACCTCGACCTGGTCAGACCCGCCAGACTGTTTCCGTCTCCACCAGGTCCTCCTCCTCCAATCGCGTCCACCCATCGACGTCACCGCCTTGATAGCTGCGATAGACTTGTGCTGGTCAAGTGCCGTCCACGCTACTCCTTTGCTGTCTACAAGGATCCCATCGTACTAATCACGAGCGGCAAGACAGGCCCTGTTGCCACGTCCTCCCGACAAGCATGTTGGCCTGTCGAAGCTGTGGCTCGAATCAAATCCACTCGCATAATTCGTCGGTCTACTGTCAAGCATGTGGCACGGTACAAGAGGAGTCTCAAATTGTATCGGATGTCACTTTTGGTGAGAATTCTGCGGGTGGAGCAGTCGTACAGGGCTCGTATGTGAGCGCAGGTCAGTCCCACGTACGGTCCAGCAACCCTAGATTCCGTTCAGGCGGCGTGGGCGAGTCTCGTGAACAAACGATGAGCCGAGCTAGAGAGGCGATACAAAGGATGGGCAGAGCCAATCGAGTGTCATTGTCAACTTGCGAAAAAGCTCTGCGATGGTTCAACCTTGCACTTGATGGCGTCCCTGAGGTGCCCCTGCAGAATGGACTACCGCAACCGAAGAATTACATCTTGGGAAGAAAGCAGGAGTACACCGTGGCCGCCTGCCTCTACGTCGCCTGCCGATACGCAAAGACTTCGCATCTACTCATCGACTTCGCCGAGGCCATCGACGTGAGTGGGCCGTTCGCTTCGGTGCAGAGAGAGCTCTTCTCTTCCGGTTCACCCAGTCCTCCTCGTTGCCTCTGCTTTTCTCCCTAATCCTAGATCAATGTCTTTAGTCTGGGCCGACATTACTTGAAGCTCGTCGCAGCTCTCAATGTCAAGTTACCAGTCATCGATCCTTCCTTCTACGTTCTTCGCTTCGCTTCTCTCCTCGACTTCGGCGACGAGACGAACAAGGTAGCTCAGGATGCCACCCGGCTTTGCGCCCGCTTCAAAAAGGACTGGCTTGGCGATGGACGCAGGCCGGCGGGTATCTGTGGGGCTGCACTACTTTTGGCGGCCCGAATGAACAACTTCCAGCGCTCGATGAACGAGATCGTCCAGGTGGTGAAGATGGCAGACGTTACCATCAGGGAGCGCCTGGAAGAGTTCAAGCGTACCCCAAGCGGCAATTTGACAATTCAAGACTTCAAGGAGATCTGGCTGGAAGAGGAGCACGAACCCCCTGCTTTCTATCGACCTCAGCTGGAGAAGGAGCTGAAGGGCACGGTTGCGGAACGTTCAGTTCTCAAGCGAGAAAAAGCGGGCAGCAGCCGGGGAGCAGTCAAGGCCCGGAAAAGTGACCTGGGATCAACGGCTCACCAGCATGACTCAGAAGAGGATGTGGAGTCCGACTATCACTCTCATGAGGCTGTGAATAGGGCTGGTCGGACGACTTCCACCGAGTCCGCCGCGGAAGCTGTCCTGCTCCGCAAAGAGGGCGGTCAAGGGCTTTCGAGCGAGATGGATGCGCTAGTGGAGGAGGCTACGCGACAAGAGATCGGCCTTTACACCCAGGACGAGGACTTCAAAAGATTGGCTGCACAGGCGGAGTCGGAGAGCCTGGCCTCCCAACGGCGAGCTCGACTTGGCACCAAGGCTATCCTACAGAGCGGAAGAACGTCTGCCCTTGATGATTCTGGTGCCAAGACCCCTCTAGTCGGAGACAGATCCAGTAAGAAGCGCCAGGGATCCGATTCTCTAGGCAACACATACATCCAGCAGTCAACAGAGAAAAGCGCAACCACCGGAGGTAGCGATGAGGGCCATGCTTACGAGAGCCTTCATCTACCCACACCAGAAGGTTTAGTTGAGGCTCAGGCTGGACCCTCACAAACACCTGTCAATGCCTCCGTTCGCAACCGTGCTACGAGGGAGACGACTGCTCTCCCTTCATCGGCAGAGGACGCCACTGCTCCTATAGACACCCTGTCCGACTTGGACGAAGACGAACTTGACCAATTCATCCTTGGCCAGGATGAAGTACGAATCAAAGAGCGTGTCTGGATGGAGTTCAACCATGATTACCTGCAGGATGCTCTACAGCGTCGCCTGAAGGAGGAAGCCGACGTCAAGGCTGGCATTTTCAAGAAAAGAGGCCACCGGCGACGAGGCAGCACCAAGGGCTCGGTCAGAGATTCGAACAATCCTAGCGCTGCTACGGCCGAGGAGGCCACCAAGCATATGTTGCTCCGGAAGAAGACCAGCAAGAAATTGAATTACGGCGCCATCGAAAATCTTTTCAGTGGGCAGAAGGCCGCAACTGGGCGTGACGCCAAGCAGCCTGCTCATCGGCGTCATTTCTATGGCAGCAGCCGGGCCAAGCACGGTGCAGCGGGTAGTGAAGAAGACGATGGCCAGACGAGTACCGACATCAGGCGGGCGACGGCTCTCGGCCTTATATCGGACGGACTGGAAGATCTGGAGGAGCCAGGGGCCGCCCTTCCTACCACGCATCCCCTCCATCGCAGCAGAGCGGAAAGGAGAAAGAAGGCGAGTAGAAGCATGGACAGGCTCGATAGCTTGGCCAGTGGAAGCAGCGGAGATGAGAGTAACGGACATGACATCGGCACTGCGCTCACGGACGGTGCAACGACAGAGGGAGAAGGTGCCGATGATGCGGAACTCCTTCCATGGCAGCAGCAGCGCAGCAAGCCTCGGTACACCGATGAATACGGTGACGGGTTCGATGATTGACGAGACAGCGTCCGCTTTATGATACAGGCGTGGCAGATGACAAGGGTACAGATTCAAGGAAGCGACTCGGCTCTTCTCGTCTTCTGTCAACTGTGTCTCTCTTGGTTTCTGCGCGGCTCTGCTGTCCTTGTCCTTTCTCGCCTTCGGCAATAGCCATTTGCACGATCCCATGTGCCGTCGAGCCGTCATTGGAGGCCGAGTTCACCGGTCAAAACACAATCGAAAGGTCACGCTGCCAGATCCAGTCCTTGAGAGCCGTGGCGTGTATGATGATGATGCACGCGGTCTCACACCCAATAATCACAAATCAGAAGTCACGAGATACTCGTATGAGCATGTAAGAGAGCTAGCACATCGATCGGTTCGAGCCGACGTTGGCGCTCTTGCACGTTCTCAAAACCCTCAGTGTGCACTTGAGACGACAAGTGGATTCAGGAACGGAATCGAGCCTTAAGGGCAAGTGCCGGAAAATGGAGCGGGTAGGCAGGAAGCAAGGCTCGACCAAGACAAGTCGACCGAGCTGAGATCATTCCACCACTTCCCCTGCAGTGTCCAATTTACTTGTTGCCGGTGACGTCCTTGAATGACAAAGCCTGCTCCTCGCCCATGGCAGAAACGATGGTCACCATGATGTCTTTGCCGTCGTCGAAAGCAGCTTGAATCTGCTCTCCAAGCTCTCCCTCAGGAACTTTGACGTCATCCTTGCCCGAACCGTCGCCGGTCATGAGGTTGAGGAATCCGTCGTCTGCAGAACGGGAAGTCAGGGCGTAAATCAATCATGCTGACGGAGTTGATGAAGGTACCTTGTGATGGTAAGATCGCGTACGAGCACTTACCAATGTTGATCAATTGATATTCAATTCGGCTGACATTTGGAACGTCCATGTTGTGGGTGGAGGGCGAGATGTCTTCGTACTTCCTCTGAGTAAAAATGTCAGTGGCCACAAGGTGTACCTTCGCGTGACCATGCTTTCCTGTCTTCGAGGTAGACATGTCGATGATCTGTAGGGAAGGATCGCATTATGGGTTCAGCTTCAGACTGCAAGGTGTGTGAAGGTGGACGGAGACAGCGTGTTGCGCACTCTAGGCATCGCCGAGGTCATTGTGCCACTTGTCAGGCCTGTGTCGTGAGATCGCAGGTGAACGTTGCAGCGAGGCGTTGCGACGAGCAGTCCTCGACTCCAAGGGCCGAACGAGCTGCAGTCGTATCCAAACGGATTTCTCTAGGACGCGCACCAAAGGACGTACACCTTTGGTGCGCGAAACGTCGGTCTTCAGTGAGAACATACCTTGCAAGGTCGCCCCTTGATCACGACGTGACCGCTCTTGCGAAGAGCGGAGCACTGCATTGGGTAGGTTAGAGACGACCCGGCGTGGGCGCTCTCGAAGTTAACATTGTGAGCCTCGTCGTCGGACTGATTGGCCATGCACGTGGTATGCAAGCAATTTGCACAGAGAGAAGCGATGATCGAAGAAGAGGTTGAGTTGAGGCGCAGTGAAAGCGGAGGTGGGGACAAGGAGAGGGCGAGAAGGGTCAGCTATGGTGTAGGTGAGTGTACTGCCAGGACGCCTCTACGACGTGGGGCGGACTGCGGGAGCAGCCCACCACGGAGACGGGCTCGAAGTCGACAGCGCTTGCCGATGCGTCTGAGGCTCACCATGATGCTGATCACTTGTGGGGCAAGGTGGGGAGGCAGATGTGTGGGTGTATGCTCGAAGGGGAGGATCGTCGAAGACTGAAAAGATTCGATTGGATTTCGCTCGGGGCCGTGGGCAGAAAAGCAGAGAGGGGCGAAGCGCGACAGGAGCCATCCAATGCGCGAGGTGGCGCCGCGTGGCAGCGCGGCCGGAACAGACACACCCACCACATCCCCACCGGCTCAGCGTCCCAACCGGACTCGCACACAGGGACTCGTACAACACGCTTGCTACTCAGATAGGCGTTGCTCCAGATATCGTGCTGGTGGGCGTCGATAGCAAGATCGATGGGTGATGAGACGGACAGAAGATCAATTCGTCTTCTATCTCCATGTATTTTCTCTGGACACTTACCGTAGCTCTGCTTGTACTCGTCGTCCCATCTTGAAAGGGCAGCTCGATTGGAGAAGACGTCCTCAAAGGTCCACTGCGAGGTGATGAAGATCATGCTGTGTCAATTTTGCACTTACAAAGCCTTTGTCCTCTCGACTGACCTTCATTCCTGGCTTAGCTAGCTTCGCAGAGGTTCTGACCTGTCCTGCTCCGATGTTCAGACCTGGACCGGGATCCGAGCACACAATGTAGAAGCAGCCAGACTCGAGCTTCTTCAGGGCGTATGCGGCTGTGAACGAGGCTGTTTGCCGCCCCAGAGGCTGCCACACTTCGTCTTCGGTCGCACTTGACCCTTGCCTGACGCCAGGCACAAGACGGTGTGCACTTGCTTTGCAGTCCTTGTCGTGCTTCAAGTCGTGTGCCAATTGTTCAGCAAAGACTTTGATTGCGGCTTGACTCACATTGTAAGCCGCGCCCCACATGGGATCGGCGTCGAAAGCCGCTGTGGAGGCAGTGATGACGATGAATGATCGAGAGCATTTCATACGAGCAACAAAGTGCTGCACAGTGTTGATCACTCCATGAATGTTGGCATCCAAGATTTTGGCCCATCCTGCCGAGGCAGAAGAGGTAGGGAAGCCACCCACTTGGGCATTGGCATGCAGTACGGTGATGGGAGATTTTTTATAGTGCCTGTGTGAGCTCGCTCATTCACAAGTCATCAGTCTGCGCGGCTCTCAGCGCATCTTCTCATACGAGCTGTCCACCCACGCTTGGATCCGTTCGATGAATCTGGCCATCTGAAATTTGCTCTTGTAGTCTACTTGGGCTGCGAAGAAGGGCTCGGTCACATCGAGTAAAGCAGCTGCCTCCGCTTCACGAATTGCCAAATTCATCCCGATGCCCCAATAGGCCATCGCGAACGCTCGGCCTATGCCTGAATTACCACCGGTCATTACCGCAGTACAGCCCGGTCGGATGGCTGGAGGAGATGCGAGCGTCAGCCTACGCCCTTCCGGCGTAGATGCAGGGTGCGTAGCATGACGCAATCTCATCCAATTCTTCCGATACCCCGTAGACGGATAATCGGTGACTGACTCGACTTGTCTGCCTGTCGTGGCATCTCCGAGGCCTTTACTCTCCCGACGCCATGCCCGCAAGAGGTCAAGGTTGCTCACTAGCGCAGGGCCTCATGGTCTCACAAAAACGCACCAAATGGCGTCGACTGCGACTGTGGGACACATGTATCCAAGAAGTTCACCAGCTTCCGACTGCCTCGTCTCTCCATGTCGTGCCTTGCCACACTCAGCTTGCAGACTCTGGTTCGGCTAGTAGAGCAGCCAGGACCTGTATCGCAGTGCCCTGACAGTCTCGTCCCATGAATTACAAAGTGTGACGCACAAGTGAGAGTCAAGATTTGCAAGAACAGGAGAGAGCCCCAGACCGAAGCGCTGTTGAGCAAGTGCACCACCTTTGTCCGCCACGAGGAATAGAGAACGAGGCGCAGATGTTATGGAGCTTCGGACGCGCGAGGCGGTGAGAGCTACCACTATGCTCAGGTATGCTGAGTGGCACATCACCTTCCGCTCCTTGCACAAGAACACCGGGCCACAGACGTGTTTCAGCTACCCCGATCGCGCTGGAAAGACTGTGATAGAAAGAATAGGCATTGCAAAGTGGCGCTCACCGTATCGATGGTGTTCGACTCCAAGCACATCACCGCGAACGCCGAAACAAACTGGTACTTTGGATATGCAGCGAGAAACACCTGTGAAGACGAGCGTCCACTGACACCCTTTTGACGCCCTCGAGGCTGTCGGTCGTCATTATGGGCAGCGATCGCTAGAACAAAGGCACGCACGCGCTGCCCCTGCTGGCTTTGCTTCCTGCACCCGAACCGCGAACCGGCACGAAAGCTGGCGGGGTTCTACTATAATGCATGCCCTGGGTCTTCTGCGCTCCCTGTTGCCCGCATTGAGAAGCTGAAGTGGCCGAACAAGTGCTAGACTAAGCGCTATCTTCCATGCGCCCCATGTCGCGCCGGAGGAGGATCAAATAATTGCGGTCGATGGAAGCCACCATATGGAGACATTAGCCGAAGCGACAAGCAGGACAGCCACCCGGCAGCCGAGACAATGGCAAATTCACGATAGACGAGCCAGACGAGGCACTGCAGACAGCGAAACAACGAGCAACGTGGACCCCCACGTCGTAGCAGAGGAAAACGCTCATGACCGCTGACGCTACTCTTGTCCAGAACCACGGCGGGCCCGAAGCAGTGGCCACTGTCGCTCGAGGCGACCCGCAGCGCCAGCAACCGAGACTGTGGCAAGTTGTGGGTGCGATCTGCCTCTGTATCGCTCGTCCTGAAGATCATTTGCTTGGGCTCTGTTCCCTGTTCCAGAATTCTCCTTTGACCTCTGCGGTCTGCCTTCCTCTCCTGTCGGACGTGTGGAAGCTTGAGCTATAAATAGACTGACCTGCCTGACGAGTCAGAATGGATTTGAAATCACGCCCCTCACGGAAAGGGGAATGCGGGCAAGCCTCTCTTGCTTGACGGAGCTGTCCCTGCTTCCGCCCTCTGTATAGGATTTGCCTCTTCTCAGCAAGACCAGTATCCCCTCGTCCCAAGCGTCATGACCTGCGAAGATTGTGCATGCTCTCAAGCCTGTGGCAGTGCCCCCTCGGCCATTCTTCCCCACAAGCCAGCAGCTCAAAAGGCTAGTGAATCTAGCCCACTCTGGTCTACCATACCTGCAAGAGACAGCAACGACCAGACGTACGGCTCAGTGTCGTCGACGGAGCCCATGCCATCTTCGACGGACCGCCTGCCACTCACAGCTCCCGGACGGTGTGAGGGCAATAATGTCTTCCGAGGAGGAGTCTGCTGCCGCGAGCTCAAGGCCAGCGATCAGAGACGCCTAATCAATCCGGACTTGGTCAGAGATGTGATCATTGGCTTGAGCGATGGTCTCACGGTGAGTGCAAAGACGGGGCCGCACACGACGGTCACATCCGCCTGCACGACAAGGTCAAGGTCAGAGCACAGTCTTGACTGACGAAAAGGTTCTCGTCTCGACTGGCCCAGGTGCCCTTTGCGCTCACCGCCGGCCTCTCTGGGGTAGGGTCTACTAGGCTCGTCGTCATTGCTGGCCTGGCAGAGCTGGTCAGTGGTGCCATTTCCATGGGTCAGTAGCTGGAAAGAACGCGATGCTTCATGGTGATTGTGCTCACTCCTAAGTTGCTGCCTCATCCCCGCTGCCTTATCCACTTTTCCGCGCCGCCACAGGCGTCGGTGGCTTCCTCTCTGCCCAGGCCGAGCTGCAACACTATGAATGGACCAAACGTCAGACTCGCGAAAGGGTGAGTTCCTTGCATGGGGAGAGCCAGCATACCTAAGCTCGCATGATGCTCTGCTCCAGCATCGCTGACCTGACCCTCTGTCTTCCACACATCGCTCAGATGGCCCGCTCCTGCTCCAGCGCGGTGACAGATGAGATCAATGACATTCTGAGCCCTTACGGCATACCGACCGATGTAGCAGCACTCGTCGCATCCAAACTGCGTCTGGTGGGCGCAGACGTGCGACGATCTGACGAAGTGCCTCTTCCATTGCCCGCTACGCATCAAGGGGGCAGACAGTACCCCGACGAGGAAGCTGAGGAGAAGGGCCTCACCCCCTTCATCCTTCGTCTCGGCGAAGGTCTCGAGCCCGTATCGACGTCAAGAGCGTGGCAGTCTGCCGTCACCATAGGCCTTTCTTACTTCCTGGGTGGCCTGTTGCCTCTCTTTCCTTACATCCTTCTGGACACGACAAGGACGGCACTGTTCACGTCGATCGCAGTGACAGGGCTGGTGCTGATGATTTTTGGCGTCTTGAAGACCAAGTTCACAGGAGGCGAGGAGGGACTCAAGGGGTACGGCTACGGCGCCGTCAGTACATTGGCTGTGGGCGGCCTAGCTGCTGGAGCTAGTTGGTTGATTGTGCGAAGCTTGGAAGGTGCAAAGGAATCACATTTGTGAAGGTCGAATGGGACTGGCCATGTCGGACGAGCCAGCAGAACCTGTGCTTGCGTAGCGCATGGCGCTCGAGACACTTGACCCAAAGCGACAGTGATTCCTTCTTTGTTTATACGCCATCGCCTTTTACGACGGTATATCGGGCGCAGTCAATACCAACGGTCAATGCAAGAGGAGAGCATTTGGCACCATGAGAAGAGGATATGCTGAACATTGCCGACGCATCGCTGTGCTCAACTCGGGACATTGGAGGACATACACGCGGCAAGGGTTGCTTCTACTTGTAAGCACTCGCCGTGAGCAGCTGCGCTTACCCTCACTTTGTCTCGATGCGCTTGTCTTTGCCCCCCATGTAGTGATAGTTCTGGCCATGTAGAATGCCACAGCAGAAGCAGCGGGATCAGCACACCGATCGAACGTCCCTTCTCCGCGTTGCTTCCTCGTCGCGGGCCGGTCCCCCGGTCGGCATACTCACCACGAACCTTCCGCCTTGCACAAGTTGTGCAGAGGCATTCGTCATATGGCAAGCCATCAAGAGGTAGTTCCTTGGCGTGACCCTCCAAGCGAACCAGGAAAAGACAGTAGAGTAGCAAGCCAGCGCCGTGGTCATGGTTCCTGAGATGACCTCCTCGTCCTTTTTCAGATCAGCAATTGCTGCCAAGGGTAGACCCCAATCTGCGACAGAGGCAGATGGAAGACGAGGACGATGGAAGTGAGACGATGTCAACGACCGAACAAGGAGAAGGCAACAGTGTCTGCCAGTGCGTCTTCAGGAGAGCACAGTCCCTACGCCCTTGCGCCTTGGACCGAAGCTCTGCACAGGCCTTGGTAGACTCTACCTGATACACAGACATGACCCAGCCCATCCGTCGCGGCCTGCAATGGAAAGAAGTCTTCCAGCTTCTGGCGGCTCGGCTCCTGTCTGGGCAGATGTGCCTGCCAGACAAGGGCAGTGAAATACTTACTGGCAACGGGACCCCAAAAGTGAGTCGAGAAGAAGTATTGGCGAGCTGCTGGTGAGCGCAGCCATGCTGAAAAAGAGGAAGCCATGGCGGACACTTCGATGCTGGAGGATGGCACCAGCGGCGACGAGGTGTAGAGGCGGACCCTTGAAGAGCACTTGCTGGGGAAGCGGGGGTGGGTGGGGCGGATGGGACAGACAGGCTGGTCGAGTCTACGCGAGACATCGGAAGTAGACAGGGGAGCGCGCGGACACAGGCGACTCACCCAACACATGCGTACACGAGCTCACTTTCACCCAGTCGGGACATCGCAGCTGGAGGAACCAAATGTATAGACAAGTCATTCACAGAGGGAGGATACTAGCATCCCAAGCGCTCGCCACAGGGTCAAGACACTACACAGTCACATCAAGCGGCCTACCACCGAACCTAGAGATCAGCCTAGCATAGCCATCGAAGCCGACTCCTTTCTTTGGAGGGCTCACATACTTCATCTTGTGGCCCATCTTGTCCCCCGAGCTTGCCGCCCATGCCACATCAGGTACAAACAGAGTCAGGAAACAGCTCCGAAGCGCTCGAGGGCTCCACGAACCACGTCACGAGAGCGATGATCAGGTAGACCATGATCAAAAGCCAGCCCTCCATGTAGTTTGACTTGCCGTCCGAGATGGCGTAGTTGACGATCAACACCGCCAGGAAAAGGAGTATGGCAATGAAGGGGTCAAAGAGGAGACTCAAAGGCTTCCCTGCTATCCAGGAGATGACGACCAGCAGTGGAATGACAAAGGTGGAAATTTGAATCGACGAGCCAACGGCAATGCCCATTGCCAAGTCCATCTTGTTCTTGGAAGCTCCAGACACCGCGGACCAGTGTTCAGCCGCATTCGAAACAATGGGCAAGAGGATCAAGCCCACCCAGGTTTCTGAAAGGGCGCCTGTGCAAGTCACACCATTGATGCTGTCTACAAGCCATTCCGATGTGACGCCGACGAGAGCGGTAGAGACGCAGAGAAGACCGATTGCTACACCGACGTTGAGAGAGGGCTCCTCGGTGCTCTCTTCATCGTCGTCATAGAGCTGCTTGTGAGAAGAGAGGGAAAAGAAGAGGTAGCCACCATAGATGACTAAGAGGATGATGCTCACGCCTCGAGACACTTTGAGGAGGTCAATGCGTTCCTGAGGATCCTGGATCGATTCCCCAAGTGTGGCATGAAATCCAGCAGGTATCAGGACGGCAATGACTGCCATTGCGAGTAGGCTGGAGTTGAGCTGGGCGGCCGTTTGCTTGAATTCTTGTTCCGAATAACGAAGGCCCCCAACAAGGAAGCTATCAGCCGCAAAGGAATAGAAGGGTCAGCTTGTAAATTAACGTGGACCGCCTGCCCTCTCTACGCTCGCCCGGACTCGAGGCGCAGACTTCTTCCCGCCTTTACTCACCAAGTTCCGAGCACCAGTAAGACGTTGCTCAGTACGGAGCCAATCAACGAAGTTTGCACAATGGTGAGCTCACAGTGGAACAGCGCAATGATAGCTACAATTAGTTCCACTGCATTGCCGAGGGTCGCATTGATGAGTCCACCTAATGTCTGGCCAACGCGGAGGGCGATCTCTTCCGTTCCAAAGGAAAGGAGCTGAGCCAAGGGTATGATGGCCAAGAATGCAGTGATGAAGACAGCTAGATTGTTCCCGAGATGTTCCTGGCAACTCTGCGCATTTGTTGCATCGCCGCGATCCAAAGCAAAGTAGAGAGCCCAGGATATGGGGATGCACACGAGAAGAACATTGAATGGCGAAGCGAAGAAGACATTCTTGAGCGACTGCAAGGTGTTTGGCGCCGGTTGAAGCCGATGTTCCGGCCTGAGTAAGTCTGTGAACGATCTGTGGGACAATGCATGTGGAGTCAACACAGCAGCAAGTGGCAGAGAAGTAGCCACAGAGCAAGGGTTGAGCGGGGTAAACAGAAGCAACGATAGGTCAGGAAAGTCGAAAGGCGACAGAAGCGGATCGACGAGAGGAGACGCTCGTCGCCTCTTTTCGTCTCAAAGCTCCGTTATCGGGTGCTTGCGAGACATCAGACTCACTTGGCTCCCTGCTCGCTCCTCATCGTCATTCTGCGAGGCGGCGCACCATATCCTGACAGCCCAAATCCCTGACTGGAAGCATTCTTTTCATTCTGTGTGTCTCTTGTACCGACCCTCCTGCGTGTTGCACTGCCTTGAGCGACTGGCGTCTCGTCCAGCGGCGCGCCACTGCTCGCGGGAGCGCCGTCATTGGATGCACCATTGCAGTCTAAGCTCACAGTGGAAGCTGCCTGAGCCGATCCTGAGGCTACCGCAGAGCGAGAAGCGGATTTCCAAGTCACTTCGGGAGATGCGGTCCCTCGCTCTAGATCAGCGTTGGGTGGCAATGTTTCGATTTGATCGCCATTGTCAGCAGCCAGAGTGCTACCTCTGTGAGACTTCGAGAGTGCGGGTGCTGCTTGGGGCATCGTGAACGCGAAGATGGGGAGGGTAGGAGAGGGTTGCTACTCTTGCTCTGTGTTGTACACAAGAAGAGCTGATGCCAGTGTTGGAGACGGAAGGCTAGGGGCGACGGACCCTTCGAAGCTCGGTACAGGGAGGCACTGCAGAGGGCGGTGATGCCGCGGAGGCAGGCGGAGTGCATCAGCCTGCACCCCGACGCCACAGGGCGCCTGGCAGCAGTGACGTAGTCTAGATTCAGCTCCCAGAGCAGCAAGGCCCTTCGCACACGGTCAGCCATACATACACTCGTACGCAAAGAGCACATCTCTAACAGCTGCTGGGCATTGCAACACAGCGGGTAAATGGACAGATCAAAGCACAAGGGTATACAAATGGGGTGATTCAAAGGTGTGCTACTCCTTGACAACCGCTCCAGCATGCGACAAGCGTTTCAATGACAAGGAGGCTCCCTTCCATCAGCATCAAGAGCCATTGGCTAGCCTCACTCGTCCGACGGAGAAAGCTGTGTCATTTGGGAACCAGCGAGGCAACGCAGACGAAGACACTTGTTGTACAGCGTCGCTTCCGCTTCAAAGGTGTATGCAGCCGCTTTCTGTTGGAAGGCTAGGATCGTCTTTACTGTAGACCCCAACTGCTCGATCTTGCGCATATTCAAGCTCCACTGCGAAGGGACATCCGAAGGCGGCGAGACCAGGTCTGCACGCTCCTGATGGGTCGCCTGCAGGTCGCATTCGACACCCTCGGCCCGAGGCAAGGCATGTCCGGATTCCCGAGGCCCTGTCGGGCGAATGAACGAGGGCAGACGGTGCCACTTCGCCAGATCCGATACAAAGAGGCCAAAGAAAGGAACGCATCGAGTCGTCGCCGCTATTTGTGGCTCGCGGCCACCCAAGAAAGTGGCACCTCGAAGTGCTGGGGGAGGACCACTGGACGTGATCAATTCTTCTAGATTTTCGTCGATGATCATTCCATGCATCGCTGCTCGCAGATGGTGAAAATCATGTCGAGGACTGGCCAAAGCCTTGAGATCTCTGAACACTCGCATCTCCCAAGAGCCAATCCTCGCCCAGGTCTTATGAAGACGCTCGACCCAAGGAGATTGGAGACCGAGGCAGATCTCCACCAATGTGACGAAGTTGCATTGCTGATAGCATTTGAAGGCCACGCGAATGAACTTGGAGATCACCGCCACGCGTTCTTCCACACGTCGGGTAAGTACTACCTGACTCGCGACCCAATTGCAAGTCAAATTGAAGCGAGCCACAACAGTCTCCACATCAATCCGAGGAGGGAGCTCTCCGGCAGCCTCGGCATTTTGACGAGCTTGACACTGTGCCTTGTAGTAGATCTCCCAGTCGACGACCTCGTGCGGATAGTTCCGTTCTCGCCATCGATCGCTCACCAATTCAGTCCATCCAATAGCGCAAAACAGTTCCCTTTCGATGAGCGTAAAATGCTTGGCGATTGCCTCGGATTTGTAGTCCAGCAAGAAGCAGCGGTGAACAGGAGGCAATGAACGTAGTGAAGGTGTTCCAGTAGGCGACACTTTGTCTCCGGTCTTGTCCTCCTCTTTCGCATCTTCGAACAACACTCTCGGAACTGGCCCAGAGGCAAGCGATGGAGCTTGACTTGCTGTATCGGCCTTCACCGAGTGCCTGTCGCGACCGCATGCCGCCATTCTAGCCGGCTGCAATCCAAGAAAGGACTGTTCAGCTGAGGATGACTGCGCAATGCCTGACGCCGCTTCTGCAACGAGCTGTGACACAGTGTTGTGTCGTGGGCCTTGGTCTCCAGTAAGCAGGCAATTGCCTATCCCCAACGTATCCGCTTGCTCCACTTCAGCCTCTGCAGTGGACCCTTTCGCTCCTAGGGCGGCTTGACGACTTTGACTGTTTGCCCACAGAGCTTCCACTCGCTGTACACGTGCCAGTCTTTTGCCTTCATCTATAAAGCCCTCCAGGCGTCGCAGGGCTTCCTCGACGTCCCCTGGTCCATCGTCTTCGTCGCTTGCAAAATCCTCAACGCGAAACCCTTTGACGAGCTCATAGCCTGCTAATGCATCGTCAGGGTCCATCATCTCCACTTGTGCGGAAGCAGAGACATCACTATCCCGACAAGAGCCTTTGGAACAACCGCGAGACGCGCCAAGGGAGAATGTCGCGGAACGTGCTGACCGAATCCTTGTATGTGTCTCGCCCTGGACAGACAAGGTGACGGACGAGGTGGAAGTGCTGCCTGAGTGCGCACGCCTGTTTGCCATGCGCAGGTCTCTAGCTCCGGGGAGACGTCTGAGTGCCTTCATCACTGCCACGTCATCTTCGTCGCTGGACAGGTCAATATCATCAATCTGGACAATATTCGAGCGCTCGGTAGACGCAGCACTAGAGTTCAGCAGATTTCCAGACGATAATTGTGAGAGGAACTCAGGAAAAGAGGAGGAGCTTGTGCAGGCTCCCAACGCTGTCGGGGTCCGTCCCTTTTGTGTGTCAAGTTGAGGGTCAGCAGCTCTGTGTGCAGCATTTGTCAGGCTGCTGATGACAGGATGCACTATTTTCACAGCGCTTTGTCGCTCTGCGCAGCTCGAATGAGAGAACCGTGGTTGGGACCCGCATTGTGAGACCGAGCATACCGAAGGATCCGAAGAGCTGTAACGGAATTCTTTGTTCGTCGCTCTCAACCGGAACCGATCAGCACCAGCGCCGTCAAGCGAGCACGCTCTTGCTCTCTGATTGATGGTGCAGTGACCAAAGCCTGATTCGTCCCGCGAGCTTCGATCGCTTGCCGCCCTAGGCAACAGACCAGCCTTGAGTCCTTGCTGACACCATCCGAACTCCGAGTAGGGGTCGCTTCGGCCACTGACAAGGTCCAGTGCGCTATTTGGAATGTTGCTGGAGATGCTGTTAGCAAAGCCTAGATTGGAAATTGGGTCGTGGACGCCCAAATGCTCAAGAGCACAGTCCTGGTCTCTGCAAGCCCCATGCTTTCCGCTCTCCTCGAAAGAGCTAAAGAGGTCTTTGACGCCGTCACGCACAAAGAGCAGATCAGAGCGTCGGAACCCTGACTGGAGCAGCACATCCGTTGTGCTATACCCTTTCATGCTAGCGTTGCCCATTGTCCTCCTCATTCGAGCCAACACATCTACTGTGCTGGAGATGGCTCGAGTCAAGGGGTCATATGTGAGTATCGGCAGAGGCGCCGGCCGAGCCAGATCCCTGGTGCGGGAATGACCCGATGACGTGAAGCCGGAACGACGAAGAAGGGGAGCACCATCCACACAGGGGTCCGCAGGATATCGGTATTTGCTAATATCGTTGCTAGTCCGGTCGGCCCGAACAGCCGCGTCTCTCGGCGAAAACAGCGTCTCCGCAGCTGCTGTCGACGCGCCTGTGTCGTGCTCCCCATGCACGACGTTGCAACGTGAACCACTCGATGCTGACCGGCTCTGCACATCCTGTAATAGCGCATTCACGCCCGTCTGCATATACTGTGCCTTAAGATCGCGAATCACATTTTTGAGATTCTTGATGACATGAATCTCCACTGTGCTTCCCGAAGCGCTCGCTCCAGTACTGACCGCGTTCAGCCATTTCGTTAATCGTTCCCGTAGAGTCCTATCGCAAAGGTAGTCTAGCTCGAAGAAGTGTAATAGCCAGTACTTGAAAATTGCGTAGGTCCTCACAAGGACCACGCGGCGTTGAGCTGAGTCGTAAGACAAAGCGTTCATTGCCCATGCAAAGCGCTCGATCAGCAGGTCGAGGAGTTGGCGTGTAGTCATGAAGATTCGGAAGGTAAGGAAGAAGTTGGTCATCAGGCGATTATCGATGGCAGATGTGAGCACAGCGATGAGCTCAGTGATGGTTGGAGCAGACGCCGACACACTGGTGATTGGATCGCTATACTCTTGGGTCGGCTTTGCTCCTACTGGTGGAGATGGTACGCCTTCTGAGCTTCCAGCACGCTCCAAGTCCCAGGAAATGTCGGACGTTGCGGGCGACTTCTCGTGAGCAGCATTCACTCCCTTACCGACTTCGCTGGAATTGGATGACACTTCCAGTGCTCTTGTCGATTGACAAGCGCCTACCCCTGGATGTCCCTGACGAACAAGCGAAGGCGCGAGAATGGGGAAGGAATCCAGCCGTACGGAAGGCGGATTGCGAGGGAGGCGTCGCGACTGATCCGAGCTTTGCGACTGGCTCAAGATGGCTCCGAGAACATCGCCGGCTCGTAGGCAGTCAGTACGGGACGAATTGCACAGTCTGGTCGACAGAGAAGCTTGTGCAGTCGCCGTGTCAGTTCTTGGGCTGGGCGTTGTGGGTCCCCTTTGCGAAGTCGCCTGGCTCAATGCACCTGCGCTGTTGAATGCAGCCTGAGTAGACGGCGTAGACGGCGAAGACGACGTAGCGTTAGCTCCTGTTGAGAGACCCCTGTTCTTGAGCAGACTCATCGAAGCTTTCGACCCAATGACGGGAAATCTCTTTGCTGGCTTCGCCTTGACTTCGCTGAACTCCTCGGCTTTCGCAAGGCAATAGACGGCTCGCCCGTGGGCTGTGAGTCTGGCGGTAATGGTCCACCTGGATCGGTCTAGCGAGTCGAGAACATTCACCCCAGGTCCTGGCTGGCTTTGCTCGTGGTCGACGCCAATGAGCTCTCGGAGGACGTTCTCGTGGGCCCGCAGAGAAAGATTGTATTTCCGAGCTACTGCCTGAATCGCAGTCCAGCTAGTGGTCTCGAAGGGCGCACCATGGCAGCCATGCGGTGGCGCAAAGGAGGAGCCCGTGTCGGTGGATAGATTTTCATTAGAGTCCTGCATCGTGTGGGTCGAACGAAAGTTGCCGGCGAGGTTGCCGTCGTGGAAGTGCGAGGAAGAGCAAAGGCTAAAGGTAATCGTCAGAGGGCGTGAGGTATCGTCAGAGGACAGCGCCGGTGGGCGAGGGCTGCTGAAGATGCATCTATCAGCTAGTGAGCCCGCGGCGATAGTGGGATGAGAGCATGAAGAGGTACTAGGTAAGGAGGGGCTCACTCAGCCTTGGGCAGGCCAGTGAACCTCTGGAGGAGATGGAGGAGGAGATGGAGGAGGAGCAGCTCAGGGGTCGCGTCGTGGTGAGTCGAAGCGCAGGCGCACAGGCAGACAGGCAATCAATCCAAGCGCCGCCGCGCCTTGACCGCCCAGATTTCCTCCGCTCTACCTTTCTACGGCGGCTCAGTCTCTTACCCCCATCGCCTCCGCACTCTTCTGCCCCTTCCTCGTCGCCCTCGCCGCTGCCACAATGGCCAACCTCGACGAGATCGACCTTCCCATACAATCTCATCAGGCCGACGACGCTTTCGACGCTCACAATGGGACGGCAACACTCGCCATATCAGCAGAAGACGACGGAGATGACGATGCCGAATTGGAAGCTATGAAGGCGCGAGTGGCAGAGATGGAGGCAGAGGCGGCCAAGCTGAGGCAGATGCAAGATCAAGCGGACAGGGACATGGCAAATGCAACGGGCTCCACAAGGCCCAGCGGACCCACTGAAGAAGAGAAGGAGGAGGTAGATGCCAGGTCCATTTACGTTGGCAATGTGAGTGCAAAACACCATCCTGGGGTACATGGTCTGGGACCTGCGACCGAGCTCAGTCCTTGAGAGGTTAACAGTGGATCAGAGAGCTGAAGGTTCAGCGATTCGCACGACTTCCTATTGACTCTCAGGTAGACTACGGAGCCACGCCAGAGGAGATACAACAGCATTTCCAGAGCTGTGGAAATATTAATAGAGTGACGATACTTTGCGACAAGTTCACAGGACATCCCAAAGGGTCAGTTGCCACTGAATACACCAGACGAGACAGGAAGGCCGAAGCTGACCCATCGCTCAGGCGCTGTTTCGGCCACTCTCAGATATGCATATGTCGAATTCGCTGATCCATCGCTAGTCACCAACGCAATGGTCTTGAACGAGTCGCTCTTCCGAGGACGACTGATCAAGGTACGTACTCCAACCCAGCTGTTCAGGGGATGCAACATGACGAGGGAAGCAAAAGCTGCAACGACGCTCACATTGGGTCTTTGTGTATGTCCATAGGTTACTGCTAAGCGAACCAATGTCCCAGGTCTCAACACAAGAGGGAGAGGTAGGGGGCGCGGCAGGCCATACAGGTCCAGAGGAAGGGGTAGGGGTCGGGGCAGGCCATGGTAACGGCATGCGCGCCAATGAGAAGGGCAATTTTTGGGGCTGCCGCGGACGGCCGAGGTGCTCAACCCAAGCGATCTCTCCGGGCACGACCTTTGAGCCAGCGTCATTTCAGAGCAGTTTCGGCCGTCAACAAGAGCGCCTGGCCGCTGTGTTGCGCCAGAGATGTTCCAGAATCATTCTTCAATGCTTGACGAGCAGAGCATTGAGGCCCTTGCTCACTTTCTCCACATCTCGAAATGTGAGCGACACCCTCTTCTCCCTGATCAGGACGTCGTATTGATCAAGGTCACTTCCTGCATTGGGTCCGCACGCAGCCTGAACTTTTGCCTTGATCGCTCTGTCTCTCACGCTGCTGCCGTTGACTACGCGGGAAAGGTGTGAAGTCTCCTCCCGCGTCCTCTCCGCGATGCCGTGAAGATACATTCTTGCAACGGGGTCGCACAGAGAGGTGTCGGTTGTCAGCAATCTGTAGACTGCTCTCGGGAAGCACATATTGCGATTTTGTCTCACCTATATGCATCTCCAGTAGTAAGCAAGAGGCTGCGTGGCTCCTGCAATATAGAGAAGGCTGGGTCGCATTCCCGAGCTCGAGTGGTGTGTTGTGAGTCGACTGCTTCACCATCGTCTGCCCAGCGATATATGTCGAGCACTGTGTGCGAGGCAAGGCTGATGGTAGCCACTGTCGCGTGGTATGCGCCTCCATCCTGGTGTGGCATGATGCCTTGTCCCGGCAGATATTCGTTGATCAGCTGCACAGGTCGAGGAGTAAGGATCGCGAGAGGGATAAGCAGTGTGCTATCAAACTGCTATGGCCAGTTGTAGTATCTCACACAGTGATTGGGCCTCTGGTGCAAGCTTTTGGCGAAGCATCCCGTAGCGGCTAGCCTATGCACGAGAGGGGGGTAATGAACCAGCCAGTCAGGCATAGCCTCTGGTATGAGGACGTTCCTTGAGGATACTTGACCACCTAGACAGAAGGTGCCGATACGCAGGGGCCAATAGTCAGATGTGTTGGAGTTCCTTGTTGTAGGGCTCCATGAGACCGCCAGTGTCCTCACTCACCCCAGCTCTGTAGTCTGTCAATCGCGCCAGTGCAACGAGCAGGGGGCAGGCGGTACCGTGCTGAGAATCGACTTTGTAGGCGCTTGACCAATATGATGCTGACCGCTCACCTCCTGTTCTGCAGTACTTTCCACTTGGGCTTCGGGCATTGCTCGATCTGACAAGGGCGGCCTCATTCCGTCAGCATGCTGCTGCTGCCACGACGTGTGTGAGCTTTGCTGATTGCTCACCTTTTCGAGCAAGTACCTCTCCTCGTCGCAGGAGATGAAGTCTGGGATGTAGAAGAAGCCGCCACTTGCCTCTTCATCGCCGTGGCGTATCGACCTTGGCAGGGCATCGTCGGGGATCACGAGTCGATACTTTTCGAGGTCCTGTGGTGTCATTCTGTGCGGGGAGTATGCAGAGGTCTCGTTGCGTACGCAATTCGCCGTGCGGCCCGGCGGGAGCGGAGAGCGGAGAGAAAAGGGCGCCGCCATGCTCCTCCACTCGCTCCGAAGCCACTCTGCCTACGCTACCGGCCACCGTCCGGCCGCTACCACTCCTCCCCCACCGAACCTTCCTTTTCGCCTTGAGGTGTCGTGTGCCATCCCTGGGCTCTGCCACCTGCCAGGCGCTTCACCGGGTCGCTTGGCTCTCAACTTCTCATGTCGCGTCATCTGCATGCCACACCCAATGCCCGCTGCCAACCCTACTTCCAGATCGATCCCGCCCCCTCGGAGGACCTGCTTCCCAGACCGCCTTCGCAGGCCAAAGAGCATTTGATAACTCCCGTTGAAATCTTCTTCGACTTTGACCTCTTTCGCGACCGGGCGAAGAGTATAGGCTTGCCGCCTCATCCTCATCGTCGACACCGGCCCTCCATCGGAGAGGAGGACACCAAAGATGACTTGGTCTATCTTGGAAAGAGGAAGCTGGAACCCCCCTGGGAAGATGCACATACGAGAAGGGTCAAATCAAGCGAAGAGAGAGGGGCGTCTTGCAGCCGTCCCGGCCCTCCTTCTGGGTCACCTCGCTCCAAAGTCTTCTCAACGTCATGTCTCTTCCAGATTGAGCCCCTTCCGAACATGTCAGACTATTGCGAGGATGACCTCCTCTGGGACACCGACCTGGGTCCTGTCCTATTATCCGAGGTCTCATGCGAGCCTTTGAAATCAGGCTCAATCGTTGCGGAGTCGATGTTGGAACTCTCAGTCTCTATGTCCTATGATGACGGCTCGCAATGGCAGCCTCTGTGCCTGTTGCCGATTATCGACACTAAGAGCCCGATCCTCCCAACCGAATCCGAATGCTGGAGGTCGCCCAATGGACAATGGCTCTTTTCAGCACTTCGCCTCGATCGCGAAGCAATCATTCACATGGAAGCCAAGGCGTCTGTGGCATCTGGGGGTACGATCTTGAGCTTGTCTTTGACTGGGACCCTCGGCCCTCAGGTATCCCTGGCAGATGAGGGCAAGCTCAGCAATTTTCCCGTTCTGTCGATGGCTCACATCCTCGATGTAGTAGAATTGATGCGTTTCACTAGCCCGCATTCGGGCATGGTCGAGGAGGAGCAGAGACGGAGGGGCATAGATGCAAGTGCTATTTATTCGAACCTTGCCCCCGCCAAGTTCATCACCAACGGCGAAGCGCAGAGTCCTGGGCTGAGACCTAGACTCTATCCCTTTCAAGAACGTTCTACTGCGTTTCTCCTCGGTAGAGAAGGTAGGACATATGTCAAGGGGATCCTCGCGGACATCGCTGATACAGTCATGACTCGTAATGGGCCATCGGAAGTAGGGATCTGGTGGGAACCGATTCGACCCAATCTTTTCTTCAACGTCTGTACTGGGCAGTTTGCTGCTGACAGCAAAGCAACTCTGACAAGCAACACCAAGGGGGCTCTGCTAGCGGAAGAGATGGGACTTGGCAAAACCGTCGAGATCCTCGCCCTGATTTTGAGCCATCCTGCCCCTGCATTTCGCTCAGAGCTCGACTCGTACACCGACGAGGCCACTGACGTGAATGTACGACCCGTCAAATCGACTCTGATAGTAGCTCCAGAGCTCTTGCGGCAACAGTGGATTGACGAGATTCACCAGCATGCGCCTGATCTGAAAGTGTACTGCTTCCAAGGCCATGTGAAGGCTTACAAGGATGTGCCTCTGGGTTCGTCATGGGAAACCTTCGCCCAGAACTTCGATGTCGTCGTCGTCTCCTTTGCTGTGCTGCAAAAGGAGATTGGAGTGGCACTGAAGGAACCGCTTCGTTCACGGCGAAATCCTCGCAAATACGAGCGCCCACGATGCCCGCTAATTCAGCTCGAATTCTGGCGAGTCGTCTGCGATGAGATACAAATGGTCAGCAATACAAGCCAAGCGGGGAGAGTGGTAAGCATGGTACCCAGAGTCTCGTCCATCGCTGTGTCAGGAACTCCCTTTCGGAAGCCCAGCGATATTGTGTCATTGATGCACTTTCTTCGTTTGCGGATTCCGCAAGCATTACTCCGACAACCAATCCCATGCAGTATGGCACCCTCACTCTTCACGGCCCTTGGCATCCTGACCGTTCGCAACAAGAAGGCCGACGTCTCGGCTGAGATGACACTTCCCAAACAGCATCGGTACACTGTCCCTATCGATTTCACCGCCGTTGAACTGGCCTACTATGAAGGTCTGTGGGCTCACGCTCTACACGTACTCGGACTGGATGCTCGTGGCGGACCCCTGCGAGGAGATTGGCAACTTGATTCTCACGAAATGCGCAATCAACTGTTTCTGCTTCGTCAGGCCTGCACTCACCCTCAAATAGCTGGGCGGGCGTTGGGCAGCGGGGCCATGGCTCACGGTAACCTCAGAACATTGCAAGAGGTGTTGAATTTCATGCAGGAGCAGGTTGCCGGAGAGCTTCACAAAGAGCGAAGCAGACTCTTTGCACTGAGCATCGACCGGATGACAGTACTTCTGTTAGATGAGACCCTCGCATCCAGGCACGACATAGCCAAGGCATCACTCGAGAATCTGCTGAGTCAATTAGATGAGCTGCGACAGCAGACAAAGGATGCTCTTCGAGTAGCGCGCCATGTCGGCCCAGGCTATCGTTTCACAAGCCGAGAGGCCTCCTGTCTGGAAGAAGAATCTTCCGAATCTCCGAACAGGAGCGTCAGGGAAGCTGCCAGAGTCACACATGTACAGACTCTTCAACAGAGATTCCGAGCCTACACGGAACACGCTGCTCGGGCCTCGCACTGGCTCGGTAGTGTACAGTATCAGTTGAGCGAGCTCAGCAAAGACATAGAGCAGAGGGAGTATCTGAAACTAGGAGAGGATCACGCTTACGATAGAGCCGAGAAGTACCGAACAGAACTGCTCACCGAGACCCGGGAGGGTGTCGACAAAGCAGTCAAAACTACTCAAGAAGTATCGATCATATCTGACGAGCTCGAAAGGGTGGAAGACGCGGCACTCTTCGATGTTTGGGGACCCAAGACCAGAGCAACATTTGAATTGGTCCAAATTGGCATTCAATTGCTCAATCGGAATACTCAAGTGGTAGTACAATGGAGGGGAGAAGCACGGAAAGCGCTATTTACGCCCGTAAATCGGGAAGTCTCCGATGAGAATGCTGAAGATGATCAGTACGCCGAAGCTCTTGAGTGCCAGCATCAAGCAGAGATCTTGTTGGAAATGTATCGGCCTCTGCTGGCACGGAGGCAAGCAATTCTGACTTCACAGATTGCGAATGGTTCGACGGATCTTCCCAACAGCATGAAGGACCTGGAGTCGTCTGTCCGATTTGCCAAGCAACAAAAAAGGCAGGCTGCTCTACGTGGGAAGTCGCCGAGTCTGGCGGCTGAGGTGCAGGAGTGTGATCTGGATCCACTTGCAGAGCACGCAAGGTCGCAGCTAGCAAAGTACCGGCGTCTGGCCGAGGAGATGGGAGGAGTCTCCTTGTCCTCGCTCCCGCAATCTCATGCTTTCGGTTCGCTCGTAGATCTGATTGCCCGCTTGCGCGAGGTCAGCAACGAAGAAGGAGGTTACCTCAAGGAAGACGGTCTTGCTCAAGACGGTATGCTAGCTTTGCGCACTATTTTGAGACGTCAGAGCCGACTCCTCGAGGGTCTGAGAAGGGAGCTGGATGCCATGGCCAAGCTTTTCAACCGCCGTGCGGAATATGTGAGTTTTGTGGGAATCTACCTGCTCTCTGTAACCGTGTTGCTGACCTCGACGCCCTTCATACGCCTTGCGGATGCGGCGCAGTTCAAGCAGCTTCAAGCTCTAAGTGATGCTCTTCTCGATGCTGCTGTTCCTTCGGCAGAGCTCGCGTCTAAGCTCGAGGATCTGGAGCGGAAAAGGGATGCAGCAGCGCTCGCAACAAAAAACCACGAAAGTAGACTTCGCTACCTATGTCATCTAGAGGAAATCGGCGACGAGGGAATCGAGAAGGATTGCGTTATCTGCCGCGATCCTATGGAAATTGGCTTGTTGTTCAAACGATGCAGCCATAGTTGCTGTGCCAAGTAAGTGCCGTACCTGTTCTATAGTATCGGATGTACCGAGGTTTTACTCACAGACTTTGCCTTGATTCCTGGTGTAACTGGTTTGTGGCTCCCTTTCTAGATGCTTCAATACCTGGTACAGCTCCAGTCATACATGCCCGACTTGCAGGGCTCCTGTACAGGGTCCGAGGGATTATCACCGTATCGTCTACTCGCGAAAGGAGGAGAATGATCGTTCCATTGAGTCACATCCTTTGGCGGATTCGCTAGAAGGTGCACGGGCGAATTCGGCCGCTTTTCGAACGATCGACAACCGTATTCGTCTGGAAATAGAGGGACGTAAGCCATCTGGCCGCTATGGCAGTAAACTCGATATGCTTACTAAGCAGCTGCTTTACATCAATCAGGAGTCGCCTTTGGAGAAAACGATCATCTTCTCTGCCTTCAAACGAGGTCTTGATTTGGTGGCCGATGCCTTGCGACAAAGTGAGTCCACCCGACTATCCCGAGTTGGGCTTCTGCAATTACGCTGAGCTGATGTTCTGTACCATGGCTTGCAATGCAATTGCTAGATGGCCTGCGCTTCGCTTATGCGGACAGCAGTGGGAAGAACACCGCCATCGCTGTTCAAAGCTTCACCACAGGCGACACTAGTATCTTACTCCTGCACTCGGAGACAACTTCTGCTGGTTTGAACCTTGTGGCGACCAAGAACGTCATCTTGCTGGAGCCCCTAGTGAACTCCGGGACAGAAAGACAGGCACTGGGCAGAGTGTCGCGCATCGGTCAAACAAAAGAGACTAATGTCTTCCTCTACTTTATCCGGGAAAGTGTCGAATCAAGAATTTTGCACTTGGCAGCTGGCCGAGGTCAAAGCTTGTACCTAATGGACCAAGAAGAGGAGGGCCAGGAGAAAGACTCGGGAGCTCTCATTGCGGGCCATGGCGCTGGATCCGGCAACACAAGGGAGAAGGGTGACTGTAAGTGTAGAGATGGCGCGAGACTTGTGTGAATGAAGCTCTGAAGGAACCTTTTGCTCTCGCCTCAGACGTACACACTGTCGATGATCTTCTAACTTGCTTCTTTGCAGAACATGCCGGCCCAGCTCTTGGGCGGACTACCAACAGCGATCAACACACCTCTGCGGGCTCCAGGAGAGCCAGCGCGCTTTAGGCTGCTGAGCCGCAAGACAGTGATACGGGGCGTCGTCACCTTTACGATGGCCAGTGCCTCCAATGGACTTCTCTGACCGCCAGCATGTGACAAGACTGAGCGGACGCAGACCGCAGCGGTAGCAGAGGACCAGGAGAGGTATCGAGAGTTGTTGAGGTCTACTTAGTAGCTGTTATGGCTGCATTGCTTGGCCCTCTTGCAGACCTCATTGTCGATTTTGTGACTTCGTAAGAGACTCTCGGAGCTCTGCGTCTCACTTCACAGCCACGCGGGCGAGCCACCAGTGCGACGCCTTCGACCTACTAGAGTGGCACTATCGCTACTTCCGCTTGTAAGTCAGATTTAATCGTTGTCCGCAACTTTCTATAGCTGTATGGTGGCAACGACTGCAAAGGTCAAGGAGCCCAGCAAGCAATGGACACCCTGCGCAGACGAGAAGAGACCATCGAGACGCTTGATCCCCCGAATCAGACGAGAGGAAGAAGCGCACATGAGCTCAATGCGAAGAGAGCAGCGGTGGCAGACAACGAAGGCAATATACATGGCTGAAGGCTAAGTAGTACAATGATACGTCAGGCGCGTGCGTCTTGAAAGTTCGAACCGCCGGACATCGTCTACAGCCCCCCTGCAGTGACGTCTCGAGACGGCGGTAAAGGGGCGTTATTAGAAGAATTTGCAGAGCCAAGAGCCGGCATTCTGCTACTTGCTGAAAATCCGTATAGCGCACCGATGAATTTGGCGTCGTCTATCACTCCTTCGAAAAATCTGGAGCGCAGTTTGAAGAATGTAGCTGCAGTCAGAAGCGAATCGCTTCCAGCTTGATGTTGCTGCCCTATTCTTGCCACGCCGAGTTCCTCAGCAACGTCTTGCAGACCACCCTTGAGATTTTTGCAGGACCTCATGAGATACTTGATGTCGTATATGCTTGGGAACCAGATGCGGAGAAGTTGAAAGAACTCTGCTTCAGTGGACGGCAGGGGTGCACACGAGACGACTTTGACAAGGTAACCGAAGTCGTAGCCGCTGCATAGGTGTAGGAGCGTCGAGAAGTATGGCAAGATCAGCAATCCGGCGCAAGGCCCTCATCGGTTCGGCTTCTATCATGAACATCGTCCGCACCGCGACCCACCTGTGGAACGAGACCCATTTGACCTGATCGAAGAGGGCCAATCCGCTCGTGATCAACAGCTCGCCGAAGTATTCCACGTCGATGCCTAATCTTTCGTGCCTGTCAAAATCCAGGCCAGCTTTGTTCAGGAGCTCGAGCGACTCCGGCGCGCACATGTCTTCATGGGTGCTAAATCTGAAATTGAACTGCCAGGTACTGACGCCGGATGGGTATCTACCATTCTCGTCAGACAATGTTATACCAAGCTGGATGAGTCTGAGGAGGTCAACGTTGCACCTCAGTGTCTGGTAGTGGTAGTCAGAGGAGCCTTTAAAGGTACCGATTGGCCTGGCTACGATGCCGGGAAATTCGGTATCCTATTGCGCAATGGGGACGATAGGCGGGCAAGAGAGTATGGAAGTGTCAACAAGCCGCGTCGGAAAAAGTGGCTAATCGGGTCATCTGGAGGTAAAGACGCACCATCGCGACGTAAGGATATCTTTCTACCATGTCTCTGAGATTGACCATCTCCACCTCGAGATTCTCGGCCCAGACCTCTCGTATCTGGTTGGCCATATCAGCCCTGTGGCGGACGTAGCCCGCAAGCGATTAGTGGAGCCCGCAGGAGCTTTCGGAGAGGACTATGAGGAGACGTCGGTGTGTAGGAATGGAGATTAATGCGGGAGAGAGAAGGGGAGGAAGTGTAGCAGGGAGCAAGAGGTTCTGGGCAGGAGCGCCCGCGGCCCCGAGGTGTATGAACCGGAACGGAAGGGCAGCCACGCGTCTCTCCACCTCGGCACACGCACGCCCCTCGTTACCGCCTGTCCAGGCCCGCCCTGGCAAGACAGACACCTGAACATTTGTGGAACTTCAGCCGTAGTCTCTCACTACACACATCCTGTCTGTCACGCGCCTTGAGTAGCGGACTTCTTCCCTTGATTCTTCCGAGATGCCGGAAGCAACGATGCTGGTGTGAGTGTAGTGGCTGGGGAGCTTGTCGGTACGCTCTTCCATCGCTCAAGCTGTCCCCCCAAACCCCACTTCCAGGTTGGACAACTCGGAGTACATGAGAAACGGTGACTTCATCCCTACTCGATGGGGCGCACAAACCGATGCAACAACGATCATCTTCGACGCAAAGACACAGTCCAATCCAGAGAACATGGTAGGCGTGATGACCATGGCTGGCAAAAGGTGAGACTGCGAGCTGTAAAGAATATGGTGCAGCCATCATGAAGGAGGTTGGCTTCGACTGACTGCCATGTCTATTGCTTCTTCTTCTCTGGTTCCTTGCAGTCCACGAGTGCTTTCGACGTTTTCGACCGATATCGGCAAGCTGCTGCAGTCTATGCATGCAAGCCAGATCTGTGGCGATTCAGACGTCTCAACGGGCATCAACATTGCTCAGCTCGCCCTCAAACACAGGCAAAACAAGGTCCACACGCAGAGGATTGTTGTTTTCGTTGGCTCGCCTGTCAAGAATACAGAGGATGATTTGACGGCCTTGGGAAAGCGGCTGAAGAAGAATAACGTCGCCTTGGATGTCGTCAATTTCGGAGAGGACGCGGAGAATGAGGCGAAGCTGCAAAAGCTCGTAGATGGCGCAAATAGCGGCGAGAACAGGTGAGATGGCCCATCGATGATTGCACGGTTGGAAAATGTCGTGATCGACGTACTCCCAGCTCACACCCTCCATGCCTATTTTCTGTGCCCGACATAGCCATCTCGTAACTGTAGCGGCTGGAACGGCTTTGCTCTCTGATGTTCTCATCTCCTCTCCTATTCTTCAAGACGGCGGCGAGACAGGTGCAGGGCCCTCTGCTGGCCATGGAGGCCAGAGCTTCGAATTCGGAGTGGACCCGGGTATGGATCCTGAATTGGCCATGGTAAGTAGGGCGGTATAGGCAGAAAGCAGGCCGAGAGAGCACAAGGTGAAGGTGCTCATCATCACCATCTCGTTCTACAGGCTCTCCGTATGTCATTGGAAGAAGAACAAGCTAGACAGAGGGCCGCTGAGGGAGACAGCGCAAGCGCTGACCGCGGACACGCGTCGAGGCCGGAAGCTACCGAAGGACAAAGTGCTACACTGCAAGCTGATGGCCGCTATCCTACGACAGCGATCCCAGCTACCGAAGTAAATGCGACGACCTCAGGATCTGACTCGCAATCCGGGGCATCGTTGATCCCAATTGGAACAGGAGCGGCCGGAGACGCCGGATATGAAGAGAATGCGTCGGAAGACGCGATGCTCAAGCAAGCTTTGGCTCTATCCCAAGGGCGGTCCGTAGATGAGGACGTACAAATGAGTGGCATGGAACAGACACAGCATGGAGGCACTTTTCAAAGCTCTAGCGATGTTATGGGGCAAGCTCAAGCTGCATCCTCAGCGGTAGGCGCAGAAGACGAGGAGATGACAGAGGAGGAGGCCATTGCTAGGGCCATAGAGATGAGCCTACAAGATGAAGAGAACGGGCAAGGATAGTACAGCAATGGCCGTCAGTCTCGCCTTACGAGTCACAAGGAAAGGTGGGTTCCGGAGCTACGTGCCAGTCCACAAGCTCGAACCTCTGCCTGTTCGACCTATCCTCTGTCCTAGTCGTGTCTGAGAAATGCAACCATCCATCCTGCAGGATCTCTGTGCTCTGTAGTCCACGACTGCCGAAGATGTGGCAATGCCTGGAAAGAGATGCGTCGCACACGGCATGGTCTGAGCGACCGAGGACTTTACTGTCCGAGTCGATGCGACATTCATTGATGTTGTACAACATGAGTGATCAGATGCGCCCAAGGCATTTCGTCGAGTCTTTGGACAGAAGAGGGCAAAAGTTGGAGGCGGGGAGGTAGACTCCCGGAATAGAACAAAGGCACCAACGGAGCTTCGGAGTGCGAATCTGAGACTCGGCAGCGGGGCAAACAAAGAGGTTCATCCGAGGACAAGGCATACCCGAGAAACAAAGGCGACGGTCCCGCTTTGTGCTACAAGGACTCCTGCGCCATCGTTTTGTCTTGATGACGTCCCCGCTGTGGAATCAGCCACGGACACTGACTTGGCCGCTGTGAGCTATCCTCGCAACCATCCACCTTCGCCTCCGATCTGCTACACCCGCATCAACAAACACCTAGCCACAAGAAGGAGAAGCACCCACGCCTGCAGACAACAAACGTAAGTTCGTTGTACATCGTCGTGATACTTGCGATCAGCTTCTGTAGAAAGGCCGAGGGCCTAAAAGCCATTGAAGCCTTGTCCTCTGCAGCTCGCAAGTTTCAGGAGCTGCAGTCCTTTGTCCAGGCGTGTTGGGTCAGAGTAGGAGAGCTCTTGCGATCTACTGGAACACCTTACTGGCGAAGCTGTCCCAGGGCAGTCACCTAGGGGCAGCATGCTCGGCTGAGAGACAGGCCTCATTGGCGAGCCAAGTCGGCTATATAAGGAGGGCTCTGACCTCGCTTCTTCTCGTCGCCATCTTCTCCTCATCACAACAGCTTCCACTCAACTCTTCACTCACTTCACTCCCAGCACCGAACTCTTTCTCACCTTCAACTACCTCACTATGAACCCTCTCTACGCCGCCGTTGCCCCCATCGCCAAGACCGAGGTCGCCTCCCAGGAAGGAGCTCCCACCGACGCCGAGGCGCAGAAGAACCGTACTCTGTCCGTTGCTTGTACTATCGCTTAAAGGTATGTCGGCCGTGATCCATCAACTCTGGCCTGTCAGACTCTGACGCTTTTGATCTTGTTTTCTTCTCAAAGCGGTGCTGAGAGGCTAACTATCAGCCCTCCAGTCATGGCAAAATTGTCAGGCTTATGATCTCTTGGTCCGAATATCATTCCTCCCCACCCGCTACCGCTACCGCTACCGCTACCATCCCCTTCATCTTCTCTCAAATCAATATCATCTTTTTTTCAATTTTTTGTTTGTCCGCCTTCTCGATTGTGTTCGCTCCGACAGCCGCAATGCGCTCTGATTTGCGTTAAGGCTACCCTTCCTGTTCGCCGACATCTCTGGAACCGCCACATCTCAGTGGCAGACATCATCGGTCTGCAGCTTGTGCTGACAAAATCGGGCAGCTTGACGGGTCCAGTATACTCAGTCTTGCTCATGTCCCCTATTCCCCAGGGCAAGGCGACCAGCACCGCCTGCGTCATGGTAATGAAAGGCGGGAGAGACAGAGAGACGCGAGCAGTGCGCCTGTCAATCGAGTGGTTTTCGAAGTCCGAATGCAGTCATGCAGTGAGCAAAGCGCAAAGTTGCTGACCTCCTTTGTTCCAGTAGCTTGGCTGAAGAACAAAGGTACACGATATGGGTACATAAGTGCCGGAGAATACAGACAAGTTGACAGCATGGACCATTTCACTTGCTCTCCCCCTCAACACGAATCCGTCACACCAACATGAAAGACTATGCATTCCCCTTCTTCGCCGGACTGGGCGTCATCTTCGCGCTTTTGCCTCTGACTTGGCACTTTCGCTCCAAGAATTACAGCGTGCTCTTCCTTCTGTCTTGGGTCGCAATATGGAATTGCGTACTTTTCATCAACTCTCTCATCTGGTTTAGCACCACGGAAGCGAAGTGTCTGGTCTGGTGCGACATTAGTGGCAAGATCATCCAGATGGCCAATTTTGCCGTCCCCGCTGCAACTCTTTGCATCGCCCGCAAGCTCGAAAGCATTGCTTCGACTCGCCAGGTTGCTTCCACTGACGATGAGCTCCGGCGTCGAGCTCTTTTCGACTTGATTCTGTGCGTTGCTCTCCCGCTCATCTTCGGCGTCCTGACCATCGTCTACCAGGGACACCGAGCTGACATATATGGTCAGTGCACAAAGGACCGTACATACTACGTCGTTGCATACTGACGACCGTTTCTCTTGCGCCCAATTATCCTGTATCACAATAGAAGGCGTCGGGTGCTTCATTCCCGTGTATTTCTCGTGGCCCTACATCGCGTTCGGTCTTGTGCCCTGCCTACTCGTGTCTTTTGTGTCACTTGGGTACTCAGGTGAGTTGAGATACCGTGTAAATGATGAGTCAAGAGCTGACCCGTTCGGCCCATTCAGCACTTTCAATGAGATGGTTTCTGCTGCGACGTCGTCAATTTGCGGCTGTTCTGTCCAGCTCTGGCTCTAATATGAATCGGGTCCGATACCTCAGGATGATCTGCTTCTGTGCAGTTGACATGGTGGTCACTATTCCAATAACGGTCGGCCTGATGACTGCAGCTCTGGTTGACAGCAACGGAAAGCTCGAGCCCTATACTTCATGGGCAGCCGTCCATTATCAATTCGGCACGGTCCTGCAAATTACCGCATCCGAACTGGACATGTTCAGCGTTCAGCGCTCGCGTATAGACCTTGGGCGTTGGGTGGCGCCCATCTCGGCATTCCTCTTCTTCGCTATCCTTGGATTGACGCACGAAGCCAGATCGGAATATCGAAGACTGGCCTCAGCGGCTTGGCGTTGGGGAAACAAGAAGCCGAAGGAACGCCCAGCGATCTTGGTACAAGTGCAGAGGTCCGTGAGCCAGCTTGAAGCATGTGTGGAAAATTTTTATTGACAACATTCCACGCCCCTCTCTCTCTCTCTCTAGGTCTACATTGACAGATAGTGGGCTGTCTGACGCCGAAGCCTCCGTCGAGGCCAAGAGTTTTGAGATGCATCTAAAGTAGCTTGCAGGGTCTCATAGATGCCCATGCACACAGTCTCAGATGCGGTTGTGTCCAGTCCTTGCCTGTCTTTCTCTGTAGTGAAAACCTCCTTCAAAGTCTGCTGCGTGTTCATACACGAATTCATCATCATGCGGCCGGAGGGAAGGGCTTTGCGTCTGTCAGAGTGTCAGAGTGTGGGTACGCTGCCACGCACGTAGGCGAAGGGCTGAGATCAAAATCTAGCCCTCTGGCGGGGGACACTGGAAAACTTGCTCTGAGCAACTCCGCTAGCCCCTCTGCATTCACGACATTCGTTGTTGCTGGTTCTGCCATCACTACCATATACCGTCTCATCTTCTGTCCCTTGCACCATACTGATGGCATCGATCCTGCGCCAGGCAAACAAGCGTAAGGCTGCCCCTACTGCTGCTGCAGGTGAGGATGTGCAGCAAAGTGGTGCTCCAGGCGAGGTCGTTCGGCGAAACAAGCAGAGGGTCTTGCTGATTCCTTCTCGTGGTGTGACGAGCCAGATGAGGCACCTCGTATCTGACCTGGAGGTTCTGATGCCTCACTCCAAGAAGGGTGAGTACACTTCCCACGGTGTATGATCCAACCTCGTAGTCCCTTTCGCCTCCAATGGGTATGCCTTGCGTAAGTGCAGGGCGGTTTTGGGAGGGACTGCGCTCAGCCAAGCACTGCAAAGCGTTTGCTTGAATCTTTCGAGGCTGGGAGACACTCTCACTGCACACATACTGGAAAACCCACGCTACGTCGATCCATTTCGATTACCCTCTCTGGTAGCCCGGCTGCTTAGGGATGCATCGCCAATTGGCAAACCTAGCAGAAGCTGACCCTGTTCTCATTGTCCCTCCCCGAGCCTGTAGATTCCAAGCTGGACTCCAAATCGAATCTTCATATCATCAACGAGCTCGCTGAGCTGAACAATTGCAACGTGATTACGGTTCCGTGGTGATGGGCATCTGTGCCTGTGTCTCTGCTGACTTTCGACTCGTCCTCTCTACCTATACTTAGAATACCCTCTACTTCGAAGCTCGGAAGCATCAAGATCTCTATCTATGGGCTTCCAAGACACCCAACGGACCCTCTGCGAAGCTCTTCATTCAGAACATCCATACAATGGATGAGCTCAAGATGACTGGCAATTGTCTCAAGGGCTCCCGTCCGATCCTGTCATTCGACTCTGCATTTGATCAGTCCCCTCACTGGTCGCTTCTGAAGGAACTTCTCACACAGGCCTTTGGCGTACCTCGCAGTTCAAGGCGTACGAAGCCCTTTGTGGATCATGTTCTCACGTTCAGTGTGCTGGACGGGAAGATTTGGTTCCGCAACTACCAGATCATAGAGGAGGATCCGGGGAGCGCTGTTTTGCGAAGAGCGCAGGAACTGGCCTCGGGGGCTGAGCCGGACAAGAGGGCAAAGAGGAGCAAGAAGGCTGGGGCAGAGGAGAAGCCCCCTACACTGGTGGAGATCGGTCCGCGTTTCGTCATGACACCCATTAGGATCTTTGAAGGAAGCTTTGGCGGTGCGACATTGTACGAGAACCCAGGTGAGTGAAGGAGCTCAGTTGCAGGCCAGGCCTGGTATGTCCAGGTCGGAAGCGGTTCAAGAAGAGGGACAGAGTCAGGAGAGGTGCCGGCTCACTCCCATCCTCCTTTGTCCGCCCTATGATCTTCCCACCACACCTCACCCTCATCCCACATTCCTTACCATCCCTCACCCCAGAATACGTCTCTCCGAATACCGTTCGCCACCTGGCTAGGCACAAGAAGGGAGAAGAGTACAAGTCGCGCGCAAATGATCAAGACGCCTTTAAGACAAAGGTGGCCAAGTTGCAGAGGGAGAGAAAGGTGAATGAGCTCGCCACCGATCGAGTCTTTGCTTGAGGAGGGAGGGGGAGGAGGAGCAAGAGGAGAGGGATTGGGAGCCATGCGATTCTTGGGAGTTGCAGAGGCGAGGACACGACATGGCATGGTGTGAGCGGTTACGAGTTTGGTCAGACTAGAAGCGGGACGAGTAATTGGCAGAGAGGACTATGAAGGGAAGAGTCACATGTCGATTCAAAAATAGACGAGGAGGAGGCGGGAATCATCGACATCGACGACGACGACGACGATGATGATGATGTCTTCCTGCGCACTTCGCTGTAAGCAAACAAGCAAGCAATGTACCATTTACAACTGTAAATCTCCAGCCGGCAGAAAAGGATGAGCTGCCCTTGTCCCCCCCCCCCAAGTTCTCACCTGCTCCTGCTCCTGCTTCGCTCAGCTCTTCTCCCTCCTAGCTTTTACTCCCTTGCTCAACTTTGCCAGTAGCTCCTCTGTCGTCTCCCAACTCACACATCCATCCGTAATGGATACTCCATACTGCAATTCCTCCACTTTGCCTTCCTTTGGCTCCCCCTGCTTTCCCTCATGCAAGTGCGATTCGATCATCACACCTGTAATGGCCCTCTCCCCTTGTGCAAGCTGCTCTGCCACTGCCTCGATGACCTTTGGCTGATTACGATAGTCCTTTTGAGAATTTCCATGAGAGGCGTCGACCATAATCGAAGGGTGTCGATCCGGCAAGGTCTTTTGTAGGACTTGGCGAGAGGCGGAAATCGAGGCAGAGTCGTAATTTGTGCCTTTGGAACCGCCGCGGTGAACAATGTGAAGGTCGCCATTTCCGGCAGTCTTGACAATGGCGGCGAGACCTTGGGTGGTGACACCCATGAAGGCGTGCGGTTGAGAGGAGGCACGGATAGCATCGACGGCGACGCCGAGACCGCCGTCTGTGCCGTTTTTGAAGCCGATGGGCATGGAGAGACCAGAGACTGAGGCGGAGGGGGAAGGAGGGGGGAAGCAATTGGTGGTCAGAACCTCAGTCACTTTCTCTTGACGAACACTCGCTCTTTCGTCTCCTCGATTGCCTACTCACCCAGCTCCCTGTGCAGCTGCGACTCGGTGGTACGAGCGCCAATGGCTCCCCAAGAGTACAAGTCGGAAGTGTACTGGGGTGAAATGGTGTCCAATACTTCGCAAGCGACGGGTACGCCAGCAGAGGTGAGGTCCACTAGGAGATTACGTGCAATCTGAGGAAAAGAAAGTGGGAACGTGTTTAGTACAGAGATGTCCCATTTGTACTGGCTTTGTGCTCGATGGTAATCTGCACTACCCACCTTGAGTCCCCTGTTGATTTGGAATGTACCATTGATGTCAGGGTCATTGATCAGTCCCTTCCATCCCACTGTGGTCCGTGGCTTCTCAAAGTAAGCTCTCATAACAATGACCAAGTCGTCCTTGTACGTCTGAATACTCTGTGCCAACTTCTGTGCATAGACCTTTGCCTGCTCTGGGTCGTGAATGGAGCAAGGTCCTACGACGACTAGCAATCGGTCGTCTTTGCCATTGATAATGGCCGATGCCTGACCACGGGCTTTTGCGATGACGCGCTGTGCCTGGGGTGGTACAGGGATCTCGTGAATGAGGAGGCCGGGGGAGATGAGGGGCTCGTAGCCTGTGACGCGGGTGTCGTTGGAGTAGAGGTAGGCGTCGGTGTCCTGGTCTGCAGAAGCAGAAGAGGAAGAGGCGATCTTGGTCACGTCTGCCAGTGGCTGGCCAGTGGGGATTGCGGCCGTTCCATTTGCGACTGTCATGGTTTGGTTGGGTGTGGAGTGGGTTTGGAGGGAGGGAGGTGAGCAAAGGATGGTTGCCTGGCTGCTGCGAGATGTGGATCTTCCTCTTCTGCCGCGTGACTCCTCTTCCGCTGAAAAATCGAGGGTCAGGCCAGGCCTCTTGGCAGGAAGGGGGATGCGCACACACGCACACACGCACGCACACACTCACTCACTCACCCTGCACGCCCTTTCCGCAAAAGCACCACCACCACCACCACGCAGCCACAGAGCATCACAAAGAAGAGCATACCCGACGCAGTCACTCTTCACCCCCGCCCCTCCTCACCACACTCACACCCACGCCATCTCATCACTACTCACAACGACGGCGGCGGCGGCGACTTACATACCACGCCTCGCCTGGCGGTCCATCTCATCGCTACGGACCCCTCGCAGTCCTTCTGCCCTACCACGCCCGCCACTTCGCCTCGTCACTCCTTCCTCCTCATTAGCCCGCTTCCACTCGGCGCCCATCATGCCTTCTCGCACCAATGATGACGTCGCTTCATCCTCCTCCTCTTCTTCCTCGGTTGCAGGGCCTAGCAAAGCCTCTGGCAGCACACTCCCTCCCATCCTGCCCCTCTCTGCCTTCCCTAACCCTGGCACCCCCATTCACGAGAAGCCCAGTGGGTACACCTTCTACAAGGAGGTGCTCAACTCCTCAAAATACATCGTCGCACCCATGGTATCCGCCTCGGAGCTACCCTGGCGCACACTCTCCCGCAGATACGGCGCTGACCTCTGCTACAGTCCCATGATCAATTGTCGCTCCTTGGTCGACTCGCTGCATGGCAAGAGCAAAAATTCGCGCGCCAAGGCTCTAGAGTGGTTCGATGTAGACCTCGGTGAAGAGGGCAGTGGAGAGGATAAGATGCTGGTGGTTCAGCTGGCAGGAAGCGATCCCAAGATTATCCTCGAGGCGGCAGAACATGTACAGGACCATTGTCTTGCTGTAGACCTCAACCTGGGTTGCCCACAACACATTGCCAAGAGGGGTCACTATGGTTCCTACCTGCAAGAAGATTGGCCTCTCATCTTCAACATCATCAACACTCTCCACCTCAACCTGCGCATCCCCGTCACCGCAAAGATGAGGGTATTCGACGATGTAGAGCGTACAGTCGCCTATGCCAAGATGCTACAGCACGCCGGAGCACAAATTGTCACAGTCCATGGTCGCACAAGAGAGCAAAAGGGACACAAGACGGGCGTTGCAGACTGGGAAAAGATTAGAGCTGTCAAGCAAGCACTCGATGTCCCTGTATTCGCCAATGGCAACATCCTCTACGGAGAAGACCTGCAGAGCGCACTAGACAAGACGGGCGCAGATGGAGTCATGAGCGCAGAGGGGAATCTGTACAACCCAACCATCTTCTCCACCAGTGACCTCAGGGAAAAACTCCCCACCCACCTCTTCCCACATCGCACAGACGGGCCAGAGCCGAATCCAGAGTGGGCCCCCTTCCCTTACATTCCCGCCATCGCCCACGCCTATCTGGACGAAGTGGTGCAGTGCAAGACTCGCACAGAGCCAGGAGCGGTCAAGGGTCATATTTTCAAGATTTGCAGACCGGCACTTGAGAGACATACCGACATTCGAGCGAACATTGGGAAGGCCAAATTGCTGCATCTGGAAGAGGGACAGGATCGGGGAGTGGTTGTGAAGGAGTATCGCGAGGCAATGGATCTGCTGGACGAGAGGTTGATGGTGAGTCATCGTCGCCGCCGCCGCCGCCGCCACCAGGTGATACAAGATGGGGAGAGCTTCTTCTAAATCTGACTTTACTCCTTTTCTTCTTCTCGAACAGGTCGATCGCAAAGACTCTACCTTCTCCTCGGCCCCAACCGGCACATCCAAACACATCCCACCATCAGAACAGCGCTACCTCCCTCATTGGCTCTGCCAGCCTTACTTCCGTCCTCCACTTGCCGAGCCCGCTGCAGAGGCGAAGCAAGCCAAGGGTGTGAAGGAGGTGGGCGCTACTGGAGCTGCCTCTGGAGATGGAACCGCTGGAGCTGGAGCTGTCCCTGTCAAGTCCAACGGAATGGTAGATCCAGCTGACGTGCAGACCGAGGGGGAAAAGAGGGTCATGATGGACGAGAACGAGGAAGCAGACCAAGGTGGCAATGATGCTAAGCGGATACGTGTACGTTGAGTGCGGCTCGTTGTTCTAAATGGCGAGGGGAGTCCTGTAGATGATTAATTTCTGAAATCTTAATACGCTCTCCCTTTTCTCACACCCCGCATCGCCTCGCCCCGAATCTCCCCTCCTTTCCCTCGCTCTGCCGCCCTGCCCACTTTCACGCCATCCATCCCACTGCCACTTGCCACTTCCCACTTCCCAATCTCCCCAGCTCCAGCAACTACGTCTCTCCCTCTCTTGCTCCCTCGCACTGAAAACACGCGCAAATGCCCTCTTTGAGCGAAAGCTGTACGATGAAGCAGTCGCGCTTTATCAGGACGCAGTGGGGGCTTTGCCCGTTAGGGAGAAAGGGGAGGGGGAGGAGGAGGAGGTGGAGGAGGTGAAAGGGGAAGAGGAAGAGGAAAGAGAGGAGGAGGAGGGAAGTTGGGTTGATCAACCTCCTTCGCGGCGGGTTGAAGGGAAGAGCAAGAGTACGAGTTCGAGCAAGAGTACGAGCAAGGTAGGAAAGAACGAAGCGCTCGCCTCTGCCTCTACCTCTGCCTCTACCTCTGCCTCTAATCCTACAAGCAGAGCAGCAACCCTCCCACAGCCTCGACCTCAAGCACAGCCTCAGCCTCAACCTCAAAAAAGCAGCGGGCTCGTCGAGCTCACTGAAGCCGAAGCTGCTGCTCTTGAGGCGCAGACACAGGCGCAGTCCCGGTCCCACGCTCCTTCCGAAGACAAGACCAAGGACTCGAACGAGGAAGAAGTGTTGGAGGAAGAGATTCGAGAAGTGGAGAAGCAGATTAAAGAACTCCGTACGGCTTGCTATGCTAATTGTGCGGCGGGGTATTTGAAACTTGTAAGTATCGACTAGAGGGTGAGGAGCGAGGAGGAAGGGGCGAAATCAGGAAGGAGGGACAGCTCGAGGAAGTGAAGCTCACTACCGTCCCGTCCACTTTACTGTCCCCCCCTCCCCCACTCTGTCAACAGGAGCAATACGCCTCTGCGCGCCACGCCAGTGAAGAAGCACTCTACGATACTCCCAATCACTTGAAAGCCCTACATCGTCTCTCGCAGGCGCTAGATGGTTTGATAGAAGAAATGTCCAATGCCGAAACTGGCACTGGCATTGGGAGTGGGAGTGGGACTGCTTCCAAGAACAACAACAGCAGCAGCAGTACTAGCAAAAGCAGTACCTCCCCCTCCAAATCCACCCTCCTCGACCTGCAGCTCCGCACCCTCCAAACCCTCTCCACCCACCCTTCCCTCCCCCCCTCCCTCCAAACCTCCCTCACCCAATCTCAAATCCCCCTTGTACGTAGTCGACTCGAGGAGGAGCGCGAGAGGGAAAAGGAGGAAATGTTGGGCAAACTCAAAGAGGTGGGAGATAGATTCTTGGGTTGGTTTGGATTGAGTACGGAGAATTTCAAAATGGAGAAGAGGGGAGAAGGCCAGGGGGGAGGATGGGGGATGAATTTCAAGAGGTAGAGAGGGGAGAGAGGTGGGGTGGTAACCTCTCTTTCCGAAGATGCAACAAGTTGTTGAAAAGCTTCTTTCAATTGATCTCTCCCTCAGTCATTGCTTCGCTACACGTTTTCGGGGAGACAGGTACGGCCCGTAACCTTGGCCTTTGCTCCTCTTTCTCTTCTCGTCACCTAGTTCTCTTCGACTTCTCATTGTCCCTTCCACCACCTCTCCCCTTCAGGCCAAGTAGATCTTGACCGTCTTGATCTGGAAGGCCCTAAAGTGCAGCGAGACTGCCGTGCTTCCATCCTTTGGATCGATATAGCTCTTCAATCCCTCCACCTCGATTCCCTCGCTCTTCTCCGTCTGGAGCTCATCTTCAAGAATCGTGCACTCGACGACCTTCTGGATCTTCAATCCCTCTGCAATCTTCAGCTCCACAGAGGCAGCCGCTCCGAGCGACTCGTACATGCGCAGGATGACCGTCGTGCTACTGCTTCCCTTCTTGCCATAATAGTCAAAGTCCTGCTCGCCGCGCTTCATCGTGTCCAACACGACGGTGCCCTTGGCCGACTGCTCGACACTGAAGGGCATCGTCGGCGTAGGTTTGGCCGAGGGCGAGGGCTTGACGCGAGATGCAGGGGAGAGGCCGAGGGCGAGGGCATTGCGCAGGCTTGACTCCTCGACAGGGTTGTTGTAGATGCGAGCGGCAGCGACGACGTCGCTCTCCGCCAAAGTGCCTGCGTGCGGGTACAGCGCAAAGGAGAATACATGCTCTCCTTCATCCTGGTGCGCATCAGGGTACGTAGCCGCCTTGAGCAGGGAGATCCTCAGCGTGCCTCCTTCAGCTGAATGTCCATACTTGCAGTCGTTGAGAATCGCAAAGCCATAGTTGGCCTCGGAGAGATCGGTGAACTTGTGTCCGCACACCTCAAACTTTGCAGCCTCCCAAGAAGTGTTCCGAGTGGTGGGTCGCTTGGTCACGCCGAATTGCGTTTCGAAGGAGGCAGTGTCGGTCTGGAGACTAGTGGGAACTTCGAAGCGAAGGAAGCGGTGCTTCTCGTGCCAATCGACGTGCGCCTGGACATTGAGGTAAGAGCGAGCGTTGCGTTTCTGCGAGACACTGCCCGTCTGAGCCGTGGCGGGCAAAGCATCGAGGCTGAGTGAGAAGGTAGCCTTGCTCTTGCCGAAAGTAGCCTCCAAGGCCAGAGTAGCCCTCCAGGGGCCACGCTGCTGAACGCGCACACGATCGAAGCGAATCTCCTCGAGCGTGTCAAGGGACCAAATGTCGGTGTCCCAAGCGTCGAACTGGTTAGGGTAGTCTTCGCAGATGACCAGGCCTGCGGTGCGACCGTCAGCGATGATCTCGCGGCCCGCAATGAGATCGTAGATGGAGGTGATGCGACCGTTGGACACCTTGATGCTAAGGTTGAAGTTGCTCAGATCGAAGTCGCCATTGGCACTCTCGACGAGAGAGACCGCCTCCAGATCTCGCATGACGAGTGCTGATGAGCGGCTGGGTGCGATAACACCAGTCTTGTTGACGTCCTCGACTAGCAGTACAGCCGTTGAGCCATCTACAGACATCTGAACAGCGGTCTGTTGCAGTAAATGGACCTCGCTACCTCCGCGACCTGCTAGAGGCACTTCAACCAGCTCTCGTCGGGGCACATCGAGCGTGTTGATAACTCCAGTAGACTGAGCTTTGCTGCTGAGAGCAGACTCTGCATCATCAAGAAGTGCTCGAGCCTTGCGATCAACATCTGCGTATATCTTCTCGGCGTCATCGTAGACTAGACGAATGGAACTGCCAGGCAGAACATCGTGGAATTGGCACTTCAAGAAGGGCTCCCAGAGCGCGTCGAGCTTCTCCTTGGGGTACTTGTACTTGCCACTGGCATCGCTGATACTGGCAAGAGTGGCAACCCATTCGACGTTGTGCAAGAGGATCTCCAGCTTTCTGTTCCATCGCTTGATCGACCCATGAGAGGTCTGGACGGCTCTGTGGAACTCGAGATAGATTTCGCCCTGCCAGGTAGGCAGTCTGTTCCCTTGCTTGGTGGTCTTGAGCACGTGGTCGTAAAAGTCTCGAGCGTTGTGACCGACCACTACCTTTGGCATCTCGGTATAGCCGTTGTTGTAGACAGCTCGGGCTCGTCGTAGCTTCTCTAGATTTGGTGCGGTAGGTCCACCGCCGCCGTCTCCCCAACCGTACAGGTGCAGGGCAGCAGGCTGAACATTGAGATTCTTGTTGTTCCAAGATCCTTTTCGGATATCGTCTGCACCGCATTGCGAATCGTAGTTGTCTACAGGAGTCATGTGCGTGATGATCTGCGTACCATCAAGACCAGTCCACATGAAGGTGTTGTGTGGGAACTTGTTGATGTTGCTCCAGCTCAGCTTTTGCGTGAACCAGTAATCACAGCCAGACTCTCGAGCCAGCTGAGGGATCTGGGCATTGTAGCCAAAGGAGTCTGGAAGCCAGAAGATGTCGCAGCGCTTACCGAAGCGAGACTCAAAGAATCTCTGTCCGTAGAGGAACTGACGGACAAACGCCTCACCACTAGGAAGATTGGCGTCGTTTTCGACCCAAGTACCACCGATGGGAACGAAGCGACCCTCCTTGACCTTTTGCTTGACCCTTTCGAAGAGTTCAGGGTACAGTTCCTCCAGCCAAGCGAATTGTTGAGCTGTAGAAGCAGTGAACTTGTACTCTGGGTAACGATCCATGAGGTCGAGTTGAGTGGACCAGCTTCGAGCCACCTTTTGTTGAGTAGCGCTGAAAGGCCACAGCCATGCAGTATCGATGTGGGTATGTCCCAGACTCCAGAGCTGAGGTGCTGCTCGGTCGCCTTCGCTGTCCTTGTAGATAGAAGCGCCTTCGTCTTCCCAGTTTGCTCCTAGGACCTCTTCGGCGACTTTTCTGCAGCGATCGATGGACGAGAGGTCTCCCTTTCTGAAAGTCGACATGATCTCATTACAGATCCAGAGCGCCTTGTTCTGCAGTACACCGTCTTTTGGCATCTCATCGACACAGCCTCGAAGGATTTCCCAGTCCCACATGAGCTTCCAGGCTTCAGGTCTCTTGACAACGATGTCTGCCGAGGCGAGGACAAAGAAGCGGTCGGGGTCGGGGTCGCCAGTGCTGTCGCTGGGAAGGCCGAACATCCCATTGCAGGTAATCTCGATGTATAGGGTTAGGGTACCCTTGCGCATCTTGGGCTTCAATGGGAAGTCGACTCGACGCTTGTCTCCACCACCAGTGATGCCTTGCAGCGCTGCTCCATCTTCACTGTAGATCAGGGCCTCACATCGTGGGTCGAACTAAGCAATAGGGGTAAAAGAGAACATCGGGCTTGTGGTTAGTCCCCTCCCTGGCATGCTGCTGGGAATCTTGCATACTGACCTCGAGCTCCACCCAGTCCTTGTCCTGCCACTCCTTTGGTACGTTGATGGTGACTCGCACCCAGTGGTTGGTCCAGCTAGGCCCAAATGCATCCCCCTTCTTGCACTCCACATACTTCTGCTTCTTGGCAACGTCGAAAGAGGGCTTTGCGCCGATGTCGGGACTCCACTTGCCCATGGAGATGACCTCTTCATCATCGGTGCGATCTTCGAAGAGGACAGAGCTAAGATTGTAGTTGGCGAACTGGCCACCAACGAAGTCGTTGAGCCTCCTCTCTTGCTGGCTCCGGATGGAGGGACCTCGAACAGGTCGGGCTGCGTCGGCAGCCAAGACAGGGTAGGGCATGACGTTGGGTGCGCGTATGTGTGTGTCTCTTGCAAGGTCGAGTATCCTTACGAGACTGGGTATCGGAAGATGTGGTGGGGGATGGCGAACCGACCAGGAGGGATACAGACGATGGAGGGAACGGTAAGGGGGAGGACAGGAAGGACGGACAACGAGGCGAGTGGCCGGCTGATCCGGCTGACGCACGGACGCAATCCTCCGTTGCCTTGACGCCTCGACGCTTTCAACCTCCGCCCGCCGCCTTTGCAGCCTCAATTCCCGGAAGGAGGGATATTCTCTATCGAGGGCAAGAGGCACACGCTACCAAGAACCCTTTAATTGTCTCCCTCCTTCGTCGTAAAGGCTGCTGGCCCTTCCGTAGCCAGTGACCTCCTCTACAGTCAGAGATGGCAACACGGTGGAAGCCGACCGTCAAGGCCAAGCAGGCTGCAGCGGAGTCTTCCATCATCGATGACTGGGAGAATGACGAGGGGGAGCAGAGCAACACTTCACCATCTGCAGCGGCCGATGACATCGGTACTGCAAAGGATTCAGGTCAGGATGCATGGCCCTCACTGGGATCAGCGGCAGCACCTAACAGGGCCTATCGGAGTAGTCCGTCGGTAACACTGCTGGCCGCTCGCAGCAAGTCTGCGTGAGTACCATGAGGTAGCCCTTCAGCCAAAAAGGGCCACAGCTCTGACTTTGCTACCAATACTCCCTACCGCGACAGCTCTTCCACACCATTGCAGTCTGCCTCTCCCGCATTCGGCTCTCCTCAAGCCTACCCCTTCTCAATAGCTCCCCGAGTCACTGGTCCCCCAACGAACCTGCCACCTTCAGCTCTAGCTCCCGAGCCTGCACCTCAGATCCTCCGGCGCGACCCCAACAGCAGCGCCTCATCCTCCCGTGCCGGCTCCTCGAGCGCAGAAGGCGATGCTGCGAACAGGAGAAAGACACTACAAGAGCGGGAAAAGGAGTACGAAGAGGCACGCAGGAGGATCTTTGGAGATGCGCCGGTCAAGGAGAGTGCGATGAAGGCTGGAGAGGGCAAGGGTCAAGCTGAGAGCAATCCGGATAAGCGGAGAGGAGGAAAGAAGGGCGGTAGTCGGAGCGGCTCTCGGTCAGCGTCAGGGGACGGGCTCCAAAAGTCGAGGTCGGGAACCTCGACTCCAGAGATCAGAATGGTAGAAGGAACATCAAGATAGAGCATCGGCGCGACTTCTTTGACGTGAGGTTTCGTCTCATTCATACCACGCCAATGGCACAACTATACATATTCTTCATCAAGGAGTGTGAGGGTATCTGATGTCAAGGCGAGACTGTAGTGATTGACCGGATGGGCAATTGCGTTGAGCAGGGGACTGGCAAATTTTGGTGAAGTTGTAGTAGAGCCTGTAAGGGAATAAGTGACAGAGAATCAGCCTGCATTCGCGAGCCGCTCGCAGCTACTGACAATGCCCTCAAGTGAACCTCACCTGCTCATTCACTCGATGCGCCTTCCAGGATGTGCACCAGCTGGTGAGACGCTTAAGAATCTGCAAAGGCTCAATGTGCAGGACGCCTCGAGCTTTGATATCCTCTTCATCATCGTCCGCAGAGCTGAGGATGGCCAGAGCACAATACACGATGAAGGACCATGCGAATGCTTCTTGCATTGGGCTGAAGAAGGGTGATCTTCATTCGCTCAGCGTGTGCTAGGAAAGAGAAGGCAGAGCTTCGCGACAGTCGAGTAGTGTCACAAATCTCACAAATTGTACCGGAACCACCTGGGGCATGGCTACTAATGACCTTGGACAGGGCCAAGCCAGGGGCCGGGACCTCATTTGCTCACGGCAGATGAGTGCTTCATTCGGTGGGCAGTAGTAGCCTTGGCAAGGGCAAAGCATCGATCACTCGACATCGACATTGAAATGGGACAAGCATCATCTGTGCCTCGATGTCGTACGACCAGGGCGATATGGTTGTCGTCGCAGACAGTCGTGGTATGCGCCCTCTTCCGAGCCGGGGGGACCAGGGCTCCGATTCTGATTATGCACTTTTCGGGATGGCACGGCGACGCAAGGAGAGCAAGTGCGGAGACACAATGTCATCTCTCTGCCTTTCTGACTGTACAGGAGATACGAGGACACTGTCAGGCTTCCTGACAGAGGCGGACCTGCTTGCTGCCAGGCAGACATGAAGCCCCTTCCGCCCCACGCCGGAGTTGCGAGAGCATGCCTGCAGGAGGGTGCCGACGATGGGGCAAGTGTAGATCTGGGTACCTCGTTCACGGTCTCTTGACCACTGCTGTGCTAAAAATGAGTGTGACTTGTCTTTCTTCAATCTCAGTCCGGATGCGCAACACAAGGGGGGTTTGGTTGGTTGGTGGAAGTCTGTCGCTGTCGCTGTCAGGCGGAGGAGCGCAGGAGGTAGAATCCCAACGCAGCAACGTCGGGGTCCAAGAGGAGGGGTGCTTGACGGCGGGCGTGTGTGCGTGTGTGTGCGTCTGTGCCTGCGTCCGCGGGAGTTGGGCCGGAGCTCGGTGCTAAGCGTCAAGTAGACTTCTGGCGTGGCTTGAAGGTGTCCTGCACATGCTCCCCACGCCAGCCACGCCCCGCTGAGCTCAGGAGCGGCTTCTGCTCTTGCCGCCCTCCCGCAACTTCCTATGCTCTGCGCTTGTGTGTAGCTCCTCCCTTGTCTGTCCTGTCTTGGACGCACTTCTCCTCTTCTTCCTCTTGGGCAGACTTACGGAGAAGCAACTCGCGGCGACGACAAAGTCAGCAGCACCGTAGTCCCGGGATTCTGGCCTGCCTGCCCGAGGGCATCTCAGTCGCACGGCCAGCTACCCACGCTCGCGTCTCCGGCGGGGCAAAAGGCCACGGCGGCATTTTCAACTCGAGCCTCCCCCCCTCCCCGCCTTCCTCCGCCTTCCTCCTTTGCTCACTCCATACCGAGTGCTTACCGCTCCTCGTACCACAACATCACCACCTTCCTTTTCCGCTTCTTCCTCCTCCTCTTCCTCCTTCCTCGGATCAAATCACATCCCATCTCCTCCTCCGCGGCTAGTCTCATTCAGAAGTTCCTTCTCCTTTCACCCCGGTCCCGCCGCTCGCCTGCTGCTGCCGCTTTCAAGTCGCCTTGCGCAAGACGCCGACAGACGATTGGAAAGCCGTCGCGTTCCTCGCCGGGGTCCGCATACCAGCGCTCAGCGTCCTGCGCCAAGAACAAGTGAGGCAATATCAGTGTCAAGATCACGAAGCCGAGGTACGGTATCCCATCAGGCAATAGCGGCATCCTCTTCTGCTACCTTGCCTGCTGATCAAGAGCCAGGAGAGCTGTAGCCGAGGTCTGCAAGATTGACCTCCTCGCGTCAGATCGATCTTCTATCGCTCCTTGATACGCAGGAGCCCCCGCTGCACAGCATCGTCTAGGCGTCCCTCAAGTCGCTCTTGCTGCCTGCTAGCAGGTCTTCGGATGCTCAGCAGTCAAACAAAGGCAGCTTCGAGTAGTACTCTACCGCAATCCCCCAACGTCTCGACATTGAATCCTTCCTACCCGTCTCTGGAACAGCCGAAAACGGGAAGCTCAGTGCCTCGAACCATCCCGAGCGCTTCCCTAGACTGGGTATCCAGACCTAGAGCTGGCCCGAACCCAGCTCCAGCTCCTACGCCTGAGAGCGAGTCGCTCGCCATGACGAAGCATGGCGAGCAAATGAGTCCGGAATCAGAGGAGGACTCCTTTAATTTCGGCGAAGGCAGCGAGAGTCCTAGTCAGGGCGGCGTAGCAGGAGACAGACCGAGGGTCAGAGCAGAGGGACCTGGTGGACAGGACCTTAAGAGGGGTGCTAGGATCGCTTGTCTGGAGTGTAGATCGGCAAAGATACGATGCTCGGCGCCGAATGATGGACAGGTACCTTGCAAGGTGAGTGGCAGACGGGTCTGACGTCGATGGGGAAAAGCGATTGGGCTTCGATGCTGACTCTTACTCCTTCCAATTGGCATATCCAATCATCAGAGATGCTCGAGACATGACAAGGAGTGTGTCTTTGAGAAGCATCGGAGAGGCCGCAAGCCAGGAAGAGGGTGAGTGCAGAGTCTCGAAAAAGTCTTCCGGTCCAAAGATCCCAGTCATGACCGTTCACTTCTATACCTACATCCTGACAGTAACCTGCCGAAGGAACGAAGCGCTGTTGATGCGAGGAGTCTCAGCCAGAACGCTGGACCATATCGTCACAACAGTGGCGAGCACGCCAACTCTGACATCTCGCCAGTATCCTCCTCTTACCAAAGCCCCAATCAATGGCTCCCACAAAGTGGTTCAGGCCCCAAACCAGGCTTCCAGATGCACCAATATGGTGGGCCCGTACAGTCGCCTGGCCCCTTCAGCAACAGCCCGGGCATGGGGTCACGAGATGCGTACCGACCAGACCTTGGCCCGTATGGCATGGACAATGGCCGAAGGGGAGGTCCCTCGCAACCCTCTCGAGCCTATCCCGGCCCTCTGCCACACTTTCCTCACCGAGACCAGCCCTTCAGCTACCAGCCGCGGCACCCGCAATCTCCTTACGACGCGCCAGCTCCCCTCATCTCCAGTCATGGCCATGGGTACCAAGCACCACTCTCATCCTCCTCAGCGTCAAGCTCGCATGGAGGTGGCTTCTTCTCTCCCCCACTCCCGAGAGCTGAAACGTCCTTTCCTGGACCGCAACAAAATCAGCAGCCAAGAGATGAGCACAGATGGGGACCCAATAACCATCTCAACAGTTCGTCCTACAGATCGGGGTACTCTAATCCGCGTGCCTTGACTTCGGAGCGGTCGCCAAAGCAAAAGCCCGAGAATAAGTCTTCGCCTCAATCTCAGCCCCAACAGACGCCGATGGGACCTCCTACGCAATATGCCAGGTATCAAAATGGTGGAACCTCTTCGCCGAGAAGTCTGCCGCCTGTGCCTCACCAAGTGAATAACAGTAGCAAGCTCAGCCAGGCTTCGACACCTCAGCCCAAGACGGAAGCTCAGGAGGGAGAAAAGGCAGGAACGGCAGAAGAAGAAGAGGAAGAAGAAGAGGATGAGCTTGTCGACGAGGATGAGGTGCTACAAGCTTATCAAGATCCCGACGTCCTGTCGCGACCTCTGCAGCTACTGGCATATGCTTCCACTGCCGCTGCTCGCAGACAGACTGCTGGCGGGTACAAGGACCCTCGTGGTATGACAGCTGCAGCTACACTGGGACTTATTAGCAGCCCGGGCGCAGTCAAGGTCAAGAGTAGCATCGAGGTTGCAGCTCAAAAGGCAACTACTGAGCCCGCTTCACTGGGAGCTGGTGGAGCTGAGCCTTCGACATTGGAGAACGGCAATTGGGAGTACAAGGCAGGACGAGTGCGCGCTATCAGAGGCAGCGACGCTTCGCAAAGTCCAGCCAGCATCGATGAGACTGCAAAGTCGGAAGCTGCCAATGCTGCCTCGACCAGCACACGCGAGGAAGAAGCACAGGTCATGGAAGATCTCGGTCCTCATCTGGGCAAGAGGAGAAGAAGTGACGATGAAGTGCTTCCCGTCCCAAGCTCTCGGCGCCACTCTGTCATTGCTGAACAACGACGCATGTCAAAGCTGGGTAGCATCGAAGTGCGTAGCAGCGGGCTGGAGGCACAGGTCGAAAGCACAGCGGAGGACCCATCAGAAGAGCAAGATCGTGCTCCCGCTGGAGCTTCGCGAAAGGGCTACTTTAGGTTCTCGCTCTACGCATCAAAGCTGGACATCGACGATGCCAATGATCCCATCTCAAAAGCTGTGCTGACCCTAAGTGAGATGGAGGACCTCTTTGATCTGTTCTTCAACCGCATCAACCCGTCCAACTTCCTCTTCGACCCCTTCCTGCACTCTCTGTCCTACGTCAGGGCCAGGTCGAAATTTTTGCTCACTGTCATTGGCTCTCACGCTGCTCGCATGTCCGAAGGTGAGCGAGGAGCCGAGCTGGCGGAGAAGCTCGAGGATCATTGGAGGAATAAGCTGCTTCCCGAGGTCCTCATCGGAGGCTACAAGAGCATTGAGATTGCTCAGGCCTTCTTGTTGGCCAGTCTCTTCCATCGTCCCACTCATATCATCGTGGAAGACCGTGCCTGGCAATACCTTGGCTTTGCCATTCGTACTGCTACCGAAGTGGGCGTCAATATCGCTCTGGCGCCCAATGCTGAAGCTCAGGATAATGAGCACCTCTCTCGCAGACTGCGAAACCGTGACCGACTCTGGCTGTCCCTCGTCATTGCAGAGGGCACCTTGAGCACACAATTTGGACGACCATGCACGCTTCTTGTCAAGAACTCCGTCTCTCAGTCAGCATGGTGGAACAGAGAAGACTTTGCTCTTCCGGAAGATGCAGCTCTGATATGCCAGGTTGAGCTCAAGCGCATCGTCGAATACCACACGGACGTCTTCCAGAAGTGTGTCGCTACGCTAGCAATCACCTCAAAGGAGAACAAGGAGCGCCTGGTCAAGCTAGGTGCACTGCACAAGGTGGCTTGGCAAGAGCTTGAGTCTTGGAAGAAGACGTGGTGTCCCACTGGCGGACTGGACCAAGCTGGCGTTGGGGGCTCGATGGCCATGGGTGCTTTCCTCGTTCGCTGGTCTCCCTATTCGAGGCTCATCTACTATTACTGGCGCAGCCACCTCAACTCCTTTATCCTTCAAGCCGCCGAAAAGCGGGACGACATTTCCTCCCTGGTGGCCTTTGACTCGATGCAGTGCGCAAGAAACCTCATGGCTATCCTCCTCGACGAGAATCAAGTCGGGGACCGCGGGCTCGCCCTCGCACCCAACGGAGTCGTCGTCATGGCGACCTATGCAGCCGTCTCAGCTCTGCGGCTCACCAAGCTCGATTTTAGCAAGCATGGGTTCATTGACCAGCGCGCCATCTTCGATCAGGTCCACAGGCTGGCCGAATCCCTCGAAGTGGCGGGCAAGACGCCAGAGCATCGAGATGGAGCGGCAGCGCCCTATGGCACCTACCTCCTCTCCGTGCTGGCTCTATTTGACAATGATTCCAAGTCGAGCTCTGGTGCGAGCGTGGCTTCAGAGGCCGCTGCTGCTGCTGCTGGTGCTGGTGCTACTCCCAATTGGTCTGGCAAGACTTCCGGTTCTGCTGGAGGTTCCACTCCGGGCTACGCTCTTGCCACTGCGGAGCATCTTGCGGCTCTGAGTGGAGCGGGATCAGCAAGTCTGATGCAAACCCCAAGTCCGCAGAGAAAGGATCAAGGAGGACGAGGTCCCAACGGTGACGCACTCGCCTACGCATTGGCTCAATCCCAAAACCCTTCTGCTGCACTTCTACAAGCGGCTGCCGCAAGCAGTAATAGCAACAACAATAACAACTCTGCCGGTGGCGGTAGCAGTAGTGGTGCCTCAAGCAATGCCAATACCAATCCACTTCTCCCTGCTCACTTGAGCGGGTCTACCTCTGCCTCTGGATCAGTGGGCGGGCTGAGCTACGCTGGAGTAGGCGTCACTGGGCCTCCACCTCCTCCTCCATCTGCACCTGCACCTGCACCTCACACTCTCAACCACTCCCACCATCATCATCCACATCACTCGCATCACTCGCATCACATCCACCATTCAGGAATCGGACCCAGCCACGAAACAATGGACGAAGTCGCCCTCGCTGGCGTGTACGCAAGTGATTCAGAAGTATGGGGTTATCTAGGTGGAGTTGGAGATCCTACTAGTGCTGGATTGGGAATTGGAGCCTCCTCTGCACCGGGAGGAGTAGGGGCGGCAGGAGGAGCAGCGGGAGGGGCAGGAGGAGGAGGTGGAGGTGGTGGAGGTGGTGGAGGAGGAGGCTTATGGGCTGTCCCGCCCGGTGGGGGTTGGAGTGGTCTCTGATACCAGTATGTAACACTTTATTCGTCCATCCGTCCGTCCGTCCGTCCGTTTGTTTGTTTCCCTTCCCCTTCCCCTTCCCTTCGCTTCGCTTCCATCCATCTGTTGTCTTGTCAAGTCAGTCACCAATCGCCACGAGTACGTTGCGCTAGCCTAGAGTAGAGTTAATTTTAGAGTCTACAGTACCATTGGTCGTCCCGTCTACTTTCAGTATGCTCTGATCACGCCAAATGAGAAGAGTGTGCGAGTGTGTGTGCGTGTAGGTGTGTGTGAACCAGGATTGATATTGATATTGCGCCATTGACATGACATTCACAGATGGAGCTCTCAAGTCCCCCCCCCCCCCCCCTCTACGAATCCCAACAGCCCTGCTCCTGTTAATCGAGCGAAACAAGCTCATCCCGATGAGCGGCTAGACGCGTCACGCTTAGAAGTGGATGGCCTTGTGGTGCGCCTTATCCGTCGCAGCCAGTGCCGACTCCTTTACCGCCTCACTCAACGTGGGGTGAGCATGGCAGACCGCCGAGGTATCCTCTGCACTAGCACCATACTCAATGGCCAGCACTGAAGAGCTGATGAGCTCACCGGCATTAGGTCCAATGATGTGCACTCCGAGGATCTTCTCCGTCTCCTTTTCCACAATCGTCTTTACGAATCCTTCCGAATCCTGGTTGGTCTTGGCACGGGAGTTGGCGAGGAAGGGGAACTTGCCAATCTTGTAGGAAACGCCGGCGTCCTTGAGTTCTTGTTCTGACTTGCCCACCCAAGCTACTTCAGGATGAGTGTACACGACGGCGGGGATGGCTTCGTAGTTGACGTGGCCGTGGCCCCTGGCGAGCATCTCGATAACGGCAATACCCTCCTCTTCGGCCTTGTGTGCCAGCATGGGACCAAAAGTAGCGTCCCCGATGCACTTGACACCCTTGCAGGTGGTGTTGTAGGCATCGTCCACAACGATACGTCCCCGCTTGTCAGTCTCGACACCAATGGCCTCGAGGTTCAGACCTTTGGTGTAAGGGCGTCGACCAATGGCGACCAGAACAACGTCGGCGTCAATCTGCTGCTTCTTGCCACTCTTGGCATCCTCGACGTTCAGGAAGACCTTGCCGTCCTTCTTCTCGGCGTCGATGACCTTTGTGCCCAGGTTGAACTTCAGACCCTGCTTCTCCAGAATCTTCTTGAAGTTGGCAGCAACCTCGTGGTCCATACCGGCTCCACCAATGGTAGGCAGGAACTCGACGACGGATACCTGGGAGCCCAGTCGGTTCCAGACGGAACCCATCTCCAGACCGATGACACCACCACCGATGACGATCATCTTCTCAGGCACCTTCTTGAGGGCGAGGGCGCCAGTGGAGGAGACGATCTGCTCCTCGTCGATCTCAATGCCGGGGAAAGGGGTGACCTCGGATCCAGTGGCAATGACAACGTTCTTTGCCTCGATCTGGGTCTCGCCACCGTCGTTGAGCTGCACATTGATCGAGGTGGGGCCAGCGAAAGAGGCAGCGCCCTTGATGTAGTCTACCTTGTTCTTCTTGAGCAGTCCCTCGACACCCTTTGTCAGAGCTCCCACGGAACTGTCCTTTGCCTTCATCATCTGTCCCAGGTTCAGAGACATGTCCTTGATGTCGATTCCACGGTTCTTGAACTCGTGACCAGCAGCATGGTAGAGCTCAGAGTTGTGCAGGAGGGCCTTTGAGGGGATGCAGCCGACGTTGAGGCAGGTACCGCCGAGGGTTCCGCGCTTCTCAATGCAAGCAGCCTATGAGGGTCAGGAAGAAGCCAAATTGAGGTCAAGGCCAAGAGTCTCTTGTCAGCTATCTGTACCTGTATAATTCGCAGTCCTCTCCGCTTATTTAACGTACCTTGAGACCAGACTGTCCAGCCTTGATAGCAGCAACGTATCCACCGGGTCCACCACCGATGATGACTACGTCGTAAGGGTCAGCACTGCTGGCCAGCCCTCTCCTCGAGCCGGGCAGAGAGCTGCCCGAGGCAGATACGAGACGGGGGAGGGTAGAGCTTTGGAAGGCCTGGAAGGGCAGAGGGAGGGGGAGGAGGAAGGTCAGTCACAATGTCCACTCGAGTAGAGGCTGCTGACATGAGCGCAGTTTTGCGAACAGCTACTCGTCAAGAAACCGGGCTCACCTTGGCTGGCACGGCGCTCCTGGAGGCGACGAGGTTACGCAGCATCTTTGATAACTCAATTGGGGTTCTGGAGTGGGTATGCAGTCTGCTAAGACCAAGAGGTGGCGCAAGGATGGGCGAGGGGTCGTAGAGGGAAGAAGTAGGCAGGGAAGACTACTCCAGATGGGGGGATAGCGAGGCAGGAAGCAAGCCCTCGAGAGGTGTTGGTGGTGATAGGAAGGAGTTGGTAGGTGAAAGGGAGCAATGGGTGGCGGAAAGGGAAGCAAGTAAGAAGGTGTGGGTGGACTTCAGTCAGACACTCGATGAAGACGCCTCGCCCCGCCCCGCCGCCGCCCGGACACTTCCGCCTCAGCTGCACCCAACAACATCGCACCGGAACGGAGCCAGACTCCCTCCCGCTCCGACTGACCCCACAAGCACGTCGTACGCGGTGCCTCGCTCGGCCCTTCCAAGGTGAAGGCTCAAACGTCAGTCAGGACACCCTCGAGATGCTGTGGGCTTACAGGAATGCTGAACAGTGATTCAAAACGACACTCGCAGCACGCTTCATCTTGCGAACGGATCCTTTAACGATTTCGAGAAAAGAGAACACTGCGCGACACCTACTTTACACGTCTTCCCTCTTCCCTCCTCTTTCGCAGCTTCGTACCTTCCGGCAATAAACAACAAGGGTCCGCGAGCAATGCGACCCGACTTCCCATTTCTTCATTTCGCATTTCTCGTGTCTGTCGGTAGTGGATGGAAGGAAGACCACAAATCGGGGTCAGCTCGGCTCTTCTTCAACCAACAAAGGTGAAAAGAAAGAAACGAAAGCTGAATGAGACGCCACCTTCAGGGGCAGGGTTAAGGGTCTCAGGAGTTCAAAGATCTACAGAGGCTTCCTGTACAACGTCTCTTGCCACCAAGAAACGAAGGGACTCTACCTTCTAACATGCTCCAAGGCAAGTACATGTGATGGAATCGGCTTAGAGGGAGATTGAAAATCAATCAAGCCTCCAGAGGCCTCTTGTGACAGTGCTGCGACCGACGCAGATGCGAAAGGTGGGATGGGCGTGCTTGACTATCAAGCGATGCTAGAAGCAACGAGCCCATGGGCAGTCGGAGCATCACAGATAGGCAGAGTCGCCCCTCCATAGATGACCGTCACATTCCCGTTTCCGTACACCGAGCCGCAGAGCTGCGCCGTATCAATGCGAGCAGTGTGCATCCCTCCCAACGCATGTTCAAGCCGGGAGACATGGGGGAAATCTCCGCAGTTGCCGACATCTGCAAAGGATTGCAAAGCATACTGGAGGCGGGCCTAAGGCTCACAGCCTCTCCAGTGGGGCGATCGTAATCAGGACCACCAGAGGCAGTACCACCAAGTGTAGTCGTCCGTCCTCTCCTCACGCACTTCATGCACTTCCGTCGGGGCACTCACCAAGTAGCATTACAGCACCGGAGACTTCTTGTTTCTGACCTATTGACTCTGATCCAAGTGGAGCTTAGTCAGGTACCAATCTTGTTCTTCGTTGAGGGCCGTGATGATGTTGGCGGCTTGACTACAGAGGAATGTACCGTGGTAGCACGAATCCGTCAGCATTTTGGGCTTCCTCTTTTGATGGGAGGCCCTCTTTCTACTCACCGGAAACCATGTCCTTCACCCTCAAACTCAATGTACTTGACTCGGTCTGCACCTCCCTTGGCAGCTTTGATGCCTTCGACCATCAAATGTGCCTGATTGGGAGGCACCACCTTGTCAATCGAACCCTGGAGTACCAGTACGGGGGATCGCACCTCGCTTGCAGAGTACAAGGGGGAGCGATCGTGGTAGATCTGAGGGACCTCTTTGGGTGTGCCACCTAGTAGTCGGAACAGGTAGTTGCTCTCGAACTTGTGCGATTCTTCAGCCAACGCCTGCAATTCACTGACGCCGTAGAGTGAGCATCCAGCAGAGAATACACTGAGAATTGGAGAACAGGACAGGAGCAAAGGTGCAATCTTGGTCAGCTCGAATCGACTTAATCTCTCATACCCTCTCATACGTACTATGGCTGCTTGGTGAGACAAGCAAGGACGGTGAAGCCGCCAGCCGAGCCGCCAGAGATGATTGCGTCCTTGATACGAGGTGTTCCCAATCTGGCCTCAGCCTTTTCGTCTACTTGACTGCGAAGTGGCGGCACGTTGGCGGCGTTGGCAACAGGGTTCGATGAGGATGAGAAGATCACCGGGTAGATGGCTTTGTAGATCCTTTCGACGATGGGCAGACGAGGCTCAAGATGGGGAAAGAGGACCTTGAGGTTACGGGTGACAGCCTTGCTTCCCGCCTTGGCGGAACCTGCTCCCATAGGATGACTGCGAATGCCAACTGCAAGGTAGTCCCTGATGGACCATCCTTTCACCGTTGTGTTGACCATGACGTCGAGCACCCGATCTCGAGGCACGTGTGTTGCGGAGATCCTTTGGAAGAGAGGCTTGGAGAGGAAGGGGAGCTGCAGTCCGCGGGTCGTCTCGAGCTGGAGACCTAGAGTAGGTGACGCAAAGACGGCCTCGCTGAGAACGCTGGACGACTTGAAAGCAATGTAAGCCGCTCCAGCAATCAGCGGTGCTGTTAGAATTGAGGTATTGGTCGGGACAGCCTGGAGATATGGGATCAGAGCAGCCAAGCCAGTTGTGGCCGGCAAGGCAAGAGCGTCGAAGAGACTCCATTGCTTCTTGTGGTTCTTGAGTGTGACTCGCACACTGCCACTGGAGTCATAGCGCTCCTCGAGTGCTTTCCATTGTGCTTGAGCCGTTGCGGTCATCTCACGTACTTGTTTGCCCTCGTCTGTCGACGGAGCGCGCCTGGAAGTCAGGTACTTGGCAGCTGCACAGCAGTCCAATACATCTACGAGACCCCAATTGTCATTCAGACGAAGCATATATTCTCGCCCGTAGCCGGTTGAGCCTCCATAATTGACAAAGCAGATGCTGTATCCCCTTGATGTCCAGTAGTTGACTTCCAAGGACATGGCCTTGCTAGCGGCTGACGTTGGGCCGCCGTGGATCTTGAAAATACAGGGAGGAGCTGAACCCTTCGCTGCCGAGAAGTTGGGGTTTGTCGGGGGATATAGGATGCCGTAGCTAGTAGCGGGTGTGCCATCGGGTAGAGTGGTGGGAAACTCGAAGTCCTCGGGAATCGACAGGAAAGAGGCTGGGATCTGCCCGCTCGAGATGAGATCAGACGAAGCTTTGATGGGTCTGACGTTGTGGTCATCAATCGATGTCGACGATCCTTTGATTGCCTGCTCCAAGTCGATGACGACAACCGTACTAGGAGCGTCCGACTTGGCGACAACGGCGGCAATGCTTGTGCTCGAGACTTTGCGCAGTTGACCGAAGGCAATGTAGCTTGAGGACAGCTCAGTCACTCTGCCCGAGGATACAGAGACTAGAGCGAGGCTTTCCGTGGAGCCTCTGATCAGAACGGAGACAATCACGTCACTGTCAAGCGGCAGAAAGTGCGAGCTTCGGAAAAAGGGGAGAGCAGTGTTCAGAGGAGGTCAGCGCTCGAGGCTCAGGCCTTTGCTGTCAGTCTATACTCACTTGCCCATTGTCCATTGAGGTCTGATGAAGTCGGCCTTCAGGGGTGACGGAAGGATTGGCTTGATCTCTCCGAGTGACAAGCCAGCTCCAGACTTCTCCACTGTGATCTTGTAGGGGTTGCTGAAGCTGGTACGGTCCGAGGTGAATAGCAGGGTATCAGGCCCTGTGTGGCCAGCAGGTCGTGGTAGCCATATAGGATGTTGAACACTTTCGCCGCCCTTGGTGCCAGCAATGGGTTTTGCATCTACCAGGGATGCCTTGTGATCGCTCGTGGTCTCGTCGAACCGTGCTACCCAAGTTTCTGCGTCCCACCAGGGCATAGAAGGATGCTGCCAAGTGACCCAAGCCACAAAGTCACCTCGAGGAGACCAGGCGGCGAAGCTGTAGAAGTCTCTGCCCGATTGAAGTTCGGTGACAGACTTTGCGCTGGCATCGATGAGCACCAAGGTGTTGACGACCTTGCTAGGCTCGTCGATTGTGTGATCCTCCTGAATCGCGAGGATGAGGTGCGGCTTGGTGGGATGGGGCACGAAGCCTCCGTAGCGAAGGGGAGGACTGTCGGGTGTGATCCTCTCTGGCTCAGATGGTGTCGAAGTGGTGGCATCCTTGACTCGGTATACTCCCCAGTCATTGGGCTTGTAGTCTGTAAAGATGACGGAGCCATCGACGGAAGAGGCAGCGACTGCTCCTCCTCCATATTCGTGAACGCCGCTTCGAGCGTTGAACTTGGCGAGAGTGAGGTCTTGACCCACCTGAGCCGTGGTGGAAGTAGACTTGTCGAGTGACCATCGGATGACGGCTGCTCTCCCCTGCTCCTGAGGTCTGTTCTCGATGAAGATGAGGTGAGAGGCAGAGGGTGACTTGGAGAGAGAGGGGACCGCGAGCTCGCCAAAGGTTACTGCTTTGCTCGTGAGTAGCTCTGGAGTGATGGGTGACTTCCAGGTGCCATAGGGTGCGATTGTCCGCCTAGCCATGTTGCTTGCCATTTGTCCTTGTTGGTGAGGGGCTTATTGGTACAGTGGGTATGATGGTATCATCGACGGGGATGGCCAAGATGCTGAGCACAAGTGAAGTGTGCTGAGCGCCCTGTCGGCTTGTCGGCATTCTTGCCGAAGGTGCCCCCCTTAGTCTACTCCACGGTCCTCCACGGAAGGCGGAGTTGCAATTCGAGGGAGCACAAGCCAAGCACTCCAGGCTCACTCACTCACTCACTCACTCACTCACTCACGTCGTCTACTCGCCTCGCCTCACCGCGCCGCCTCATCCCGCCCTACCCTTGTTCCCCGCCCTAGTCTTGGTAAGAGGCTCGCTCTCCGCAGCCTCGGACCACTGCCCGCAATGGACGTGACCAAGTCCATCTCGTCGTACCTCACCCGCCTCCTCTCGCCCTCGGCTTCCGGCGGGTCAGGAATGAAGGTCCTCCTCCTCGACTCGCATACCACGCCCGTCATCAGCTCCTCCCTCACCCAGTCCGCACTCCTCAGCCACGAAGTGTACCTCACAGATAGAGTAGACAATGAGGCAAGGGAGAGGATGAAGCATCTCAAGTGCATTGTACTCCTCAGACCTACAGAAGCTAGTATCGAGGCACTGTGTAAGGAGCTCAAATGGCCAAAGTATGGAGGCTATTGGCTTTATTTCACAAATGTGCTCAAGAAGGGGGATATAGAGAGGTTGGCAGAGGCAGATGAGCATGACGCTGTGAAGGAGGTCCAGGTGAGCCGTCGTGTGATGCCAACGAGGGCAAGGAGACCAGGAGTCATGACCTTCCATCTCCTCTCCTGATACAGGAATACTTTGCAGACTATCTCCCAGTCAACTCCTCCCTCTTCTCCCTTTCGCCAACGCCCCTACCTACTGGCAATATCACTGGTCCCATAGGACCTTGGGCTTCCAATGCCAGCGAGTGGGACCCAGCTGCTCTCGATCGGCATACCCAAGGACTCATGGCCCTCTTGCTGAGCCTCAAGAAGAAGCCAGTGGTGAGATACGAAAGGATGAGCGCGCTAGCGAAGAAGCTCGGCGAAGAAATAAGTGTGAGTCGTTGGATCAAAAGTGAGGCGAAGGGTGTCCCATTAGGTCTCACTGACCCGCAATGTCGACCTCCTCTGTGCTCTCTATAGTATCAAACCACGCAAGGTCAACCTTCTCTATTCGACTTCCGGAGGTCTGAGCCTGCACCGCTCCTTCTCATCCTCGACCGGCGAAATGACCCAGTGACGCCCCTCCTCTCCCAATGGACCTACCAAGCCATGATCCACGAACTGCTCGGCATCAACAACGGCCGAGTCTCACTACCGGCATCGTCGGGTCTCAAGCCAGAGCAGCGGGAGCTGGTCCTCTCCTCCTCGGAAGATCCCTTCTTTCAACAGAATCTCTACGACAACTTTGGAGACCTGGGAGCCTCCATCAAGAGATATGTGCTGGAATTTCAGACAAAGACGGCTTCCTCCAAGCAGATTGAGACTGTGCAGGACATGAAGCGATTCGTCGAGGAGTACCCAGAGTTCCGGAAATTGAGCGGCAACGTCTCGAAGCATGTGACGCTGTTAGGAGAGCTGAGTAGAAGGGTGGAGGGAGAGCATCTACTGGAAGTCTCTGAGCTGGAACAGAGTCTGGCCAGTAATGAGAGTCATGCTAGCGACCTCAAGGTGAGTGCAGAGACGCGGAGAAGAACAAGGAGTCACGTCCGTCTGCTGACTCAATAGTTGCTCTGCTATCGCAACTCCCAGGCCGTGTACGATCTCCTTGCTCGGCCAGACATCCTGTCAGAGGCAAAGCTACGGGTTGCCATTCTCTACGCGTTGCGGTATCAGCGATACTCGGGCAATCAAATATCCAATGTTGTCAAGCAGCTACTCGAGAGCGGTGTGGAGGAGAGCAGGGCAGGTGTGAGTGATCTCTACACAGGCCTAAGGCGGCATCGAAGCCGCAACAACTGACAATGCCCCCCCTCCCCTCCCCCTTGCCCTCTCGCCTCTTGCCCAGCTTGTCTTTGTGATGCTCAACTTCGCCGGCGCAGACCAACGGCAAGACGACCTCTTCTCCAATGACAACTTCTTCTCACGCGGCAAATCCGCCCTCAAAGGGCTCAAGGGCGTGGACAATGTCTACACGCAGCACACCCCACATCTCCTCGAGACCGTCGAGCTTCTAATGAAGGGCCGTCTGCGCGAGTCGTCCTACCCTTCTACCAGCAGTAGCTCAGCAGGCGGTAGCGGGCCCGGTGGTGCTTCTGGTCCAGGAGGAGGGGGAGGGTACAGCACCTCTTCCTCCGGCCTAATCACGCAGCGTCCTCGGGACATCATCCTCTTCATCATCGGCGGTGCGACCTACGAAGAAGCGCGTGCCATCTCTCTCTTGAATTCTCAGGGAGCCAATGGACCTGGAATGGGAGCTCGCTTCTTGCTAGGAGGATCCACGATTCATAATTCACAGAGCTTCCTCACAATGGTACAAGATGCCGCGTCTCGCTTTCCGGCTAGTATTGCTAGACCACCACCCACTTCTACTGGACTCGGTGCAGCAGGAGCATCCGGATCCAGCGCTGGTAGCGGACAAGGTCAAGGCTTGAACTTGCGCATCGGTCCCGTGCAGCTCAACGTCGGCCGTGATGGACGGGGAGGCGGAGGCGGAGGTGGGGATGGGTTTACGGGTGCTGGAGGACTTGTGGACCCGGGAAGGATAGGAGAAGCAGCGCAGGGGGCGGCTAATCTGGCTGGGGGTTTGTTGGGTAGGTTGAGGGATGCGATTTGAGTTTGAGTTTTGGGGGAAAGAAGAGGGGGAGAGGGCTGCCCCGCACAGAGGTGCGAGGGGAACATGTATAGTACAATACGATGCAGCTTTGATAATGCAACCCATACTCCAGCAATGCCGCCCCGCACCCACGCCTCAACCACAGTACGAACTTTGAAAGTTGAAGAAAGTCCAAGAATGGTATGATAAGGTATGGCATAGTATGGCATGGTATGGTAAGGTAAGGTATGGTATGCATGCTATTTCAATTGCCAAAGTTCGAATACGAGACAAGGAAAGAATAAGAATAAGAATTATGCTAGGAACTGTTGAAAACTGCTGAGAACTGTTGGGAACTGGTAGGGAACTGTTGGGGATTGAGACTTGAGACTTGTACTGCTAGTGGTAGTGGTAGTGGTAGTGCTGACTTGTAATTTGTACCTTGACTTGAGATTCGACCTTTACCGCCACCTCACATGACCATGGCCATTTGCCCGTGTTCATTGTATAATTCCCGAGTTCCGGAATGCAGATCGACTATTACCCGCTCAATCCCCCCTCTCGCTCTGCCACCCTGGCCAAAGCGTTCTTCGAGAGGTGCAAGCACTGATGAGAGAGGACTCACTGCTTCTCC